TCATGGACGGGATCATGCCAGACCTTCCTAGAGTGCCATTAGACATGTTCTTTAAGGATGCGCCAGAGAAGTATATTCTTACCATTGAATAATGGCCCGAAGCTGGTAGGGGTGTAGAAGGTAGTAAAGGTAACCCATCTTGGCGACGTAGAAGTTAGGGAAAAGGGGGGTAAGGAGAGGTAAAAGTTGAGCGCGTGAGAGGATGAAGCAACAGTGCACGTCTTGTTACAGCCGTACAGAGTCAAATGAACGGGAGGGAGAAAAGGTTATATACCAATTCAGTTACGAGGAAGTCCCGGAAACGTCTTGTGGTATTTTTGTTACCACACGATGCTTGGAGAAGGAAGAAAGAAGACAGATAAATGCAAAGCAAAATAGGACTGGATGACCTCCGCTCCGGATAAATCCCACAAAATATGCAAGAGCTCAATTTCTCTCTCGCCTTGGAGGTGGATGCAGCTGTTCCTTGTACAACGATGTGAGAAGCTGCATAAGCGCCCCGCTAAGCGCATTAATCATCGTATTCGGTTTCCCTACCACAGTTCAGTATCAAATTGACATTGAACTCAATCTCGTGTCAGATTTGAGTATGCAACAACTGAGAACCATCTGACATCTTGGCCGGATCTCGCATCTTGTTAACAACCGGAATGCCGGTGGTGATGTCGCTTTGAAGAGCAGTTTAACTGCCGGCCCGGACACGGTAGTGTCGTCAAACAAAGCAAGGAGAAACATTCAAGCGAACTGGTCTTACCCTGGTTAGGCAGACCCTTGAAAATCGAAACAAACATGTTGAGGATGAGCATCACGTCCGTCATGTATCTGTTGTTTTGATGCGGTTACAACCCACAGAACAGAACAAGATCTCCATGCCCCAGTTTGCCGAACAGCTTTCAGTACCGAATGGGTACAATGAACCAATAGATGAACAACTATAGATAGTTGTCTGACCTTGACCGCCTTGGAGCAACCATTCAATTTGTTCGAACAAGAGCTTCTGAGGTGATTGACAACGGACCCCTATGCATGTAGACGATCCGGAGGCCCTGACCGCCCTGCCGGACTCAACCCAAGCAAACTCTACGCCTGTGCACCAGCTTGACTAGACTACCGAGTACGGTTCGATTGGCTTGGATGGTTTGGACATGGCATTTGCCAATCTCGATTCTGGGATAGGTTGCAGTCACTACGGGAAATTGCGCTGCAATGCTAGTCATCTGCCAACCGGTCAAGAGACAGGGGACACGAACCCACTGAAAGAGCACTTATGTTCTGAAGAGTCTGTTATTACTATTCAAGTCTCAGTAAGAAATGAAGAGTCTTTGGGATCAAAACAAACCTGTCATTGTATACTGGGTTTTCGAGTTGGCTAAGTAAGAATATATCACAGACGGCGCATGGGTTTATAGAAGACTGTACCAAGGTACCTATTAGGTAAGTAACATGTTGCAGTTGTATATACCATTCACGTTCTGTGACTTGACTATCTTTGTTCCATCGGCTGAAAAACGGATATCAAACTTTTTATATAAAATCGAAATCTTGCCGTAATTATCGTACTGACTTGACGAAAATTGTGTCCATAGATAAGCGCTTGGCTGATATGTCTGTAGTTCAGACTTGAGCTTATGCCTTTCGCTGATGAGAAAAGGTAGATTACTACTGTCACCCTAGATTAGTCACAGATACTAAAAGTTCGCAGAATACCGAAAACTTGGAAATAAACTGAATTATTCTACTGAGTCCATGAAATGGTTGACGTGGTAAAAGAGGCGCTGCTTCTTCTGTCCAGACACTGCCCCACCATTACGTAGACGCTAATACGTACCTGTCTTCAAGACCTAAAGACCCCTCCTTCTCCAAGGCTGGTCTTGGCTGGGCTGCCATTGCGCTGGGCATGAAGCCTGAAGGTGAAGGAAGCCCAGGGAAGAGAGAAAGTTTCTTAGCAAGTTTATACCAGGAAATTTCCGCCAAGCCAAGACTGGGCGGGCAGGCGGTCATTTTAGGCCAAACCGACGCCATCATCATCTAACATTTCCATTTCAATCTTTTTTCCTACTTGCTACAGTGACTGGGTTTCCTATTTTCTCTCTATACCATATCTACTTAGATACCCACCTCCTGTCTAAAATATCTATATAGATATTTACTTTATACCAAAAACACACACCTTTGAGCCTGGGAAATACCATCCATCATGGTTGTCGATACCGCCTATTACGACACCTTGGGCGTTCAGCCAACAGCCACCGAGCTGGAGATCAAGAAGGCTTATCGCAAGATGGCTATTGTCCATCACCCAGGTTCGCCTACCTCAACATCAACCGATTCATACATTTCTTGCGAGACTAACCATGCGGTACCTAACAGATAAGAACCCCAATGATCCTACCGCACACGAAAAGTTCCAGGCCATCGGTGAGGCCTATCAGGTCCTATCCGATTCCGACCTACGAGCAGCATACGACAAGTTTGGAAAGGATTCTGCTAGACCACAGGAAGGCTTCGCCGACCCCGCCGAGTTCTTCAGCTCCATTTTCGGAGGCGAGGCCTTTGTCGACTGGATTGGTGAGATTAGCCTTATGAAGGACCTTACAGCGACCATGGATATCACAATGCAAGAAGAGGAGGCCGCCGCCGCTGAAGCCGCTGCCGCTGAGGCTGCTGGAGAGGAATTCCCCGGAACCGAAGAAGCCAAGAAGGAGAGCATGAAGGACCAGGAGAAGAAAGTCGAAGAGAAGACCGCGGCTGACGCAGAGCAACATGCTGGCGCACCTCCTCCTGCTTACACTGCTGCTTCCGTGAGTGACGATAAGGAAACCAAGCCTGCTTCGCCTGCTGCTGCTCCCGCCGCCGCCGCCGCCGCCCCTCCTCCTGCCGCTGGCCTTTCCACCGAGGCTCCTCAACGATCCGATGCCACATCTCCCGCTCCCTCGTCGAGCTCCCGTAACCGAACCCAGATTCCCCTCCGACCCGCATTGATGGACAAGTCCCACTCGGACCTCCTCGAGGCCGAGGCCAAGGGCGAACTCACAGAAGAGGAGCTCAAGAATAAGGAGAAGAAGAAGGGTGGTCTAACCAAGGAGCAGCGGGAACAGCTCGCAGCTTATGAGAAGGAGCGCGCCAAGATTCGACAGGATCGTGTCGATACCCTCGCCCGAAAGCTCCTCGACCGTCTCAGCGTGTGGACAGAGACCGACAAGGGCTCCGATGTGACCAAGGCATTCCAGGAGAAGATGCGCCTCGAGGTTGAGAACTTGAAGATGGAGTCTTTCGGTATTGATATTCTGCATGCTATCGGTCAAACTTACGTCTCCAAGGCTTCAGGTCTCCTCCGCAGCCAAAAGTTCTTCGGTATCGGCGGTTTCTTCAGCAGACTTCGCGACAAGGGCACGCTCGTCAAGGAGACATGGAACACCATTAGCAGCGCGATCGACGCCCAGCAGACTATGGAGGATATGGCCAAGATGGAGGAGAAGGGTGGTGAGGACTGGACCGACGAGAAGCGCGCCGAGTACGAGAGACGTGTGACTGGCAAGATTCTTACTGCGGCGTGGAGGGGTAGCAAGTTTGAGATTCAGAGTGTCCTGCGCGAGGTTTGCGACAGCATTCTGAACGACAAGAAGGTCCATCTCAACAAGCGATTAGAGCGCGCACAAGCTCTGGTTCTTATCGGTGACGTTTTCATCAGGGTATGTTTAAGAATCCTTGTATTTTGTTCGAATATGTCTGACTAACAATTCCTAGGCTGAGCGATCTCCTGAGGAAGAGGGAGACTATCTCGTCTTTGAGCAACTTGTCGCCGAGGCCGCCATCAAGAAGGACAAAGAAGAGGATCACAAGAAGAAGGACCGCAAGTCCTTCCACCTCCACAGGGACAAGGACAAGGAGCCTGCCACCGCCTCGACGCCTTGATTTGCAGCACGCGAGGAAGAAAAAAGAAGATTCGATCTATGAGTGAGGATCAGACAGAGTAGGGGAACAGGATACCTGTATGGACGGATTATATAGAGTAGGACGACTGGCATTGGTTTAGACACAAATTTTCATGACGCTATTCCCCCTTGTTTAATATGATCTTACAGCCATTTTCTGGGGAAGCCCACGCGTGGGTATAATATAAGTCTCCTATTATCGACAGACAAGAAATGCAGTATCAGTCTAGGTAGGCAATATAGCTTTCGGATGCTTATAACAGCGTGGATGATATATAAGTTAAAGCGAGTTGTGATCAACTCTACATGCAAGTCAATCCAATCTGGGGTGTGGTGAGAGTTTGAGGTTGAGTTGAAGATTGGAGTTCGTCTCCTAAAAAGTTCATGTCCATTTCCTATTTGACAACTACTTGATTCTTCTAATTCCTTCTTTTCCCAGTATGAGGGTACCCTATCGCAAGGAATCCAAACAAGGCAATTCCAGTTCAAGGCTCTCTCATTCTCTGCAATTTCCTTCCAATGATTCTATCTCAGACCCGCCTGCTGTGGCGTGTAAAACTTCCTTTGGGGTATCTGTTATACATAGTATGTATTCAAAAACAAAACAATACGAGAAAAAAAGCACAAATCTCTGCAACAAATGAAAATTTCAAAAAAGTGTCCAGGTTCTTTAAAAAGGGCGTATGTCTGCAATGTTGTCCAGTGTTGATTGTGATTTTGTTCCGGGGGCTTCTCGCGGGAGAAGACGGGTGGTGATTCAAGATCGTTTGAGAGGTGGAATTGATAGCTGCATGATGGGTCATGAAGTCGCTGGCAAGCAAAACGCGGATGAAAGAAACAAAAGAAACACAAAAACGATTGCTTGCTTGCCCAACGCCTTGTATGCCTGCATATTTTTATTCCATTGACTTCGTTGATCTTCAAATTGGTGGTCTTTGTCGTAGTGCCCTGAGGCTTGGCTTGTGTGTAAATAATCGAACGCAATGAGAAAAGATTCTGTGCTGTGTGCGCATTGCTTGCTATGATGGGTATCGTGTGCGTGTGTCAAAGTGATGTTCAACGACGTTAACTGCTGTCTGGCTGCAACTCAATGCCACTATCACGGTCCTGTGAGCTCTTTTCCCAAGGCAGAGGGGGTTCATCCACCGGACTGCCGGGATCAGTTCCAAAATCATCAATCTCGGACAGATCATCGTCTTCGTCGTCATTAAGAGGAGGCAATATCTGGCCAACTAACTCGACATCTGTGACGCGGACCTTGTATTCCAAAGCCTTCTGGCCCTCTTTGATGAGAACCTCGGTCCAGTTGAGACATCGCTTGATGCTCTGGTTGATCTTTTGGCTATCAACGAGAATATCGCGGTGCTTGGATAGGTCAAGCTGTAGTCGGTCCTCATCGCGTTTCCGACGCGCCATGGCCTTTTCCATGGCCTTCTCGTCATTCGGATCGAGAGGAGCTGAGATGGAATCGGTTGACATGTCAGATTCATCAAGCGAGTCTTCGTCCTCAGAAGGGGGCTCCGAGTTCTCCTCTTCGCTGAGATCGGAGAGACTGATAGGGACATCCGTCAATGCTGCAGAGGTCACTCGGCTAGAGGCAGCCGAAGCAACGGCAGACAACCGACCTGACCTCGATAGTCGCCGGAATCTGCGAATCTCAGCCTGCTGCTTTCGCATTTGTCTTTCCAGAGTGCGATTTATAGCTTCGAGAGAGGCATTTGTGATTTGCAAATCCTGCACCTTTCGTTCCCTTCGAGCATTAGCCACCAGATCGTTCACGGGCTCACCATGGCTAGACTTGGTAGGGCTCTGAAGGTCAGGCTGGGATTCATTGTCCTGGGTATCCTTTTCTTCATTCTCTTCTTCTTCGTCGCTAATGTCCTCGGCCATCTGAAGAATCGATGCCATTGTCAAAGCCGGCTGTATCGTGCCAGGGCTACTAGGGGGTGAAAGTTCATGCTGCCTCCGAGCTGGTGACATGGGCAGCCTGGGCGAATTAGCATGATCAAAATTCGGCACGCTGCCGGCTCTCGCATGACCTCTTTGCTTTTTGGGAGGCGACTCAATGCTGACCCGTCTTTTGGCAGTGATGGACGCCGCAGGAGCTAATGGCGGTGGAGAAGCTATCTGAAGCGGTGACACTACTTGCGGTCTGCCGCTAAGTCCAGGCGCACCCGCATTCTTGAGGATGGAAGGATTTGGCTGAGGGTTCTTGGTAGGAGAGTGTGGCCTCGAAGGTTGCGAGTTATTTGAGTTATTTGTTGAACTGCTGGTGCTTGGACGCTTGGACTGCAGCCTCGAGCTGGAGGCATTGGCTGAAGTAGGTTTTAGATCAAGGTCAACGCCATTAGCATAAAAGAACTTTGAAGCTAAAGGCTCGGGTGCGGCGTTTGATGCTGAAGTATATGGCGCGGCAGAAGGGCTAGTGGCTTTCTTGAATTCCGAGGTTGCTTTACTGGCATGAAAGAAGTTGTTCGATTTTTGAGAGCTTATTGAAGGGCGGCCGGACGGCTGTGATGAAGTTGGAGCGTCGCTAGCACGAAAGAATTTGGCATCTGGATCTGCGGGAGATTCAGCTCGCGATAACCTCCCTATCGAGGTCAGAGAGTTTCGCGGGTTCCAACTCTCTTGGTCCAGATTCGGTGTTCCACTGGGAGTAGTGGTGTTGCTATTGTTACGGCTTTGTCGACTGCCAGATCGGGGAGTGATGGCAGTTTCATCTCGATGCGACGCAACAGCGGATAGTCCCTGGGTCGATCTTCGAACTAAAGGAGGTGCACCCAATGCAGGGCCTTTTGGTGTCGAGGCAATCTTGGGCGTAAGGGGCGTTCGTCCGACCGTCTTTGCAGCAGAGGCGCTGAGTTGCGGGGGACGATGTCTCGATTCGCTGGGGGCCATTTTGGTGGTAGGAGGTGCGGAACTCGACGAGGTAGAACGGGTCGAGGTAATTGTTGCGGTTACTGAAAGAACATGTTGTTGATTCGGGTTGTGGAAGCCAAGGGATGGCGACGTGCGTCTGTTGCCAGCCGAGGAGAATCGGGGACGAGCCTGAGCTTGAGCCTGGGCCTGAACCTGGGTCTTTCCAGTAGCCTGGGATCTAGTCTTGGGAAGAGGTTTAGACGAGGTGACTAGTTTATCGTTTGCCGAAGGGGTCAGGGGACGTCGAGTGCGAGGCTGAGAGACGGATAGACCTGGAGATGTAGGACGAGAGGATGACGAGTTGATGGTGTTTAGAGTGCGCATCCTGTCCGTCCACGAGTTGGGTACAAGTCGGAAACGAGCCTCGACTTTCTGTCTGGGCGGGCTGGCTCAGGCTGAGATGACTAGTAGCGGGACGGAGCGGTGAGCTCTCATTGGCCAAGGGGCGAGGCGGTAACAAAACAGGTTAAGGGGACCTCCAGTAAATTCTGAGCAGTGGCCTGGAGCGCCTATATTACAGTGCTGTTGATCACTAGAGCGCTAGTGGTCTCTGGGTAATTAGAGTTCCAGTCTTCAGGCTGGGCCAATGTCAAGGCGACCACGTCAGAAAAAAGTAAACAAACAGCTCGAGAATCAGAGACAGGACAAGACACGAGGGCAGTGGGGGTGAGTCGATTCTTGGATGAACAAAGTCTGGTGGTTCTTTTTTGTCTGAGGAGTATAGAAAGCGGGGGGGGGGACGTTTTCTTTTGTGTCTTGCTTGTGCGTGCTGCAGGTAAGAGGAGACGGCAGTTCACAAGCAGCGTATAGAAATAAAGACGTTGTTCACCGCTAATAATGAGCCGCGGTAGAAACAGAGATTGTCACGGAGTGGATAGATAGATAACTGGAAGAGTTGTAGATGACAAGTACAGGTAGAAGGATGGAAAATAGGAAAGGGAGACGAGAGTCACAAATACGACCAAAGCACGGAGATGCTAGGGATATTGCTCCATAAGATGCCTTGACGAGAGACTAGCGGGATGAACGGATTGTATATTCAGTCATGGGCATGGTTAGGATAAGACCATCCTTGCTCTGCCTTGTCCGTCCAGTCCGTCGAGTAATAAACTCGATCATGCTTTACCGACTTGTGAATATTGTTTATACTACAACAGTACCCCAAGTTACACCCACATGTCATGCTATTGAAACACGTCTCATATGTGCTTCAATTGGCGTCTTTAACTGGTTCTTATCATCACGAAACATGCCTGGCGGTCTGCAGACGCCGTGATGGGTTAGCCGAATGTTTGACTTGACTACTGTATATCAATCTGAACATAATTGATGAATGATCTGGTATAATATTTATCCAATTCCCCTTTCTGAAGCCTCAATGAACCTTCATTATCCACTCTTATTACATTCTCATGCCAACCGAGAGAACATTGATCATGAGGCGACCCCTGCTCGTCAGGTCTTCATCTCGTCCCCCGAGTGCCCTGGTCCTTGCCAAATAGTTATGCCACTGTCGATCGCTTGTGGCATGACTGTTTTGAGAGGCAACCTACCATTTTATTGATAGTAACATTAGTCTCATGCCCGAATGAAATATTGTAGAGAATAAGGCGTTTGACTTTTGCGGGTGAGGCGGTAGGAATTCAAAGTATATATGCACAATGTTCTGGAATTATTCTAGCTTTCCCCATTTCATCTGATACTGCGGATACCCGATTATTATTCACATGGATACCACATTTCGGCTGTCTTTTTTTAGACCCGGGAGGCGTTACAGATATTCGAGATCCCGAACACGGCGAAGTTATGCAAATCCTCCTTTGTTGGTATCTCATAGCTTTTGTCTACTAACCTACAGCTCTGAATATCAGACAAGGCTAGCTCGAGAGAGGTTGTCATTCATATTCTTGGCTCGAAATAGGTCGCTATTCCCAGCAGTTCGTACCTGAGGGGCACTGTCAGGGACCCTAGAATTCAAGCTTCTCAACCAATCAACGTGAATCTATACCAAGACTCCAACTTTGTTTCGGGCTTTTTCAGCTCCAGCTTTGGAATCAAAGTCTGGTCCAGGCCCCCACTATTCAAATCCATACCCTTTCTTTTTCCTTTGTCCGCTGACATCAACAACCTCCGAGGCGCATCGCAAAGTGGCTCGATGATTCTGCAATAACCATTCCACAACCCACTCCTCTTCGTCAATCGACCCCAAACTCTACAAGTCACCTGGGGCAAAGCAAACAAACTCATCTCGTCTCGTCTTGTTTCTGTTTCCCAGGAGGGAGTTTCCATCATGGGTTACATCGGTATCTCACTCATCGTCGTCTCTGTCGTTTGGGTTCTAGTCCGCCCGCCGTCATGGATACCAGAACCGCTGCAAGTCCTCTTGCGCTGGAGAGGAGGAAGCCATCCTGCTATTGCAGCCAAGGACAAGGCTGAAGCTGAGCATGATTCCGATCCTGGGCCCAGTATCATGGTATCGGATCACGAGGTGGAACCGGGCCCTCGACTCCGGGCTCGTCCGGCCGATAACCGTACCACTCAAGACGACAACCAAGGAAAGGCTACCACTACAGCGACCGGTACCTCTTCTTCTCTGAAGACCACAAAAAGCAATGTCTTGTCTATGTCACCACCTCCCCTGCCAAAGGTTGCGCCTCCACCCCCGACCATCGCCGAGCCAGAAGAACAAACGACCCCCAAGGCTGTCGCATCGAACCCTCCATCCATCAACGTCCCCAGCTTCAGCCTCGATAATGCTCCTATTGCGCCGAGCTCCCACCCCGCGTCCCGACGAAACCCCACAGCTCCGGGCCCCGCACCCTCACTCGGTCTTCCTACTGCGCGCCAGCCTTCTATGATGCCTCCGCCTCCTCCCCCGAGACGTCTTCCTCCTCCGACGTCCACTGCGAACCCACCGGTTGGTCGCATGCCCACGCTTTCCCAGTTCCCTGCTGCGAACTCGCCGCAACGAGCTCGTGGTCCCGTGCCGAATCGAGGTCCTCCATCATCAGGAGGCCTTGCGCCGCCGCCGACACACTCCGCTAAGCCCAACAAACCAAGCCGCAAGGTCCTTCTCACACCTGGCCATTCTCCTCTCGACTGGGCTCGCATATCTGGACCAAATTCTGACCTTCGAGGCGTCGAACCCTCAACACCATACCTGCGCGTTACTCCATCCATGTTGAAGCGCATGACAGGTCGCAAAGGTAAGGATGCTTGGATGGCGCTCAACGGCAAGGTGTACAACGTCACTCCCTATGCGGACTTTCATCCTGGCGGTATTCCTGAACTGATGCGTGGTGCTGGGCGTGACGCTACGAAGCTGTATGGTGAGGTGCATCCTTGGGTGAATTACGAGACTATGCTATCCGCTTGTTTGGTGGGCCTCCTCGTTGAAGAATCCGAAGGTACAGAGAACCAGATGGACCAGATGGACTAGACAAAAGGTGTTGCGAACCGAACTTAGACAGATGCTAGAACCACTCGATCATTTACGATACAGTGAACGAAACCTGATGTATTGGAACACAATGCTTGCGCCATAGAGCCCGCTGAGACAGATAGATATATGTACACTAGCTAGAAAGATACCCCATAGAGTCCGGTCTCTACCGTCTCTTGCCAAACCGAAACTTGAGCTCATCGTCACTGTCATCACTCTCGGCGATTTCCACAGTCTTTCTCGTTGGTCGCGCCCGTTTTGGAGGCTGTTGTCCAGCAGCAGGTTCTGCTGCAGATCGTTTGCTTCCCTGGCTGTTAGCAGTAGTCTGGGATGCTTGACTCTTTGTTTTGGCCTGGGACTGTGACTGCGACACTGCGGCTTGCGCTCCGCGTGTTCGTGTTGCTGGCGCTGATGATCGCTGTGTGATTCCACTGTCCTCTTCGTCACTGCTGTCAGATAGAATGGTGGGGACTGTTCGTTTCTGAGAGCGCGTTGGGGCAGAAACAGGAGTTGGTGACGGGGCTGAGGGCTGTGTCTCTCTGTTTGGGTTGCTTTTCCTGCGATCTGTTGACTCGTCCTCAAGCCAGTAATCGTCACCAACGCCATACTCCTTCGTTTTGACTTCTATCAGGGGCACAATGGTCCTCGCTGGTTGTCGTCCTGCTACCTCGCCTCTCGGTCTGAATTTTTTGAAGTTCTTCATCCCGTTCCATTTAGGGTTCCATCTTCCATCACGGATATCTTGTTCTCTAGTGCGGCCTTGGGCGGGCTGTCGCACCTCCATCTCTTCCACAATGTTGAGTCTGCGAATCTCTGCAAGGTCAACGTCGTCGGGAAGATTCGCCAGGTCCTCTTTCTCTGCTCGAGCACGGGCTTCTTCCTTTTCTTTGTTTTGAGCAGCTATTGCCAGAATATCGAACTCTTTCTTGATTTTCTTCTTTGGTGTCGGGACTGTCTCTTCTTTCTGTACCTCCATTTGCTCGGCTGGCTCGTCCATGTCTTCGCCTCTTTCTATCCGTTGACGCTTGAACTTCTCTGCCGCTGTTGTCATACCATCCATGAGATCATCTTCAGGTATTGGTGAGGCTTTTCTCTTCCTTTGCGATGAACGAGTGTTGCTAGATGGCTGAGGCTCAGGAGGGACATCCACTTCTTGAGAAACAAACAATCCTTCTTCTTCTTCTTCTTCTTCTTCTTCTGGTTGTACTTGTGTAGTGGGTCGGGTCCTGGGCCGAGCCTCAGGCACTGGAGCCGGTGCTGGGGCTGGGGCTGGAGGGATACTGTCCATATCAATATCACTCTCATCGTCGAACCCTGCGAACCGTCTTTTGACGGTTTTCCTCGTTCGTCCTCGACGAGGCGCGGCTTGTGTCTCTTCAGCTGGCTGTAAGGGTTGAGCTTGCGTGTTGAGATTCTGTGAACCGCCCGATACTTCGGCCTCTTGTTGAGTGTGGTTCGGTTCTTGAGTGTTGTGTGAAGACTCGACTTCAAGAGGTCGTCGAAGAATACTCGCGTCCTTGATGAGAATTGCCTCCAGAAATTCACTCTGCTCAATGGGACGATGATCCAATCTTAAAGACACAGTCTGAAAGAACTTAACATACCAGTCGGTGGTAGCTCCTTTCGAGGGTATAAAGCGTACGACCACGACGCCTTTGCCCTCGCTGCCGTCATCAAAAGCGCCGAGGCCTTTCTCTCCAGCGACACCCTTGACATATTGCACAAATTCGTCCACTTCGGTTTCCATCGGTACGACTTTACGTATCAACGCCTTGCCGCCGCCACTCGTAACGGGTGCTAGCAGGTTATTGTACTGGACCTGGTCGTAGAAGATGAAAGTGTACCCCTCGAAAATATCTCTCCGTCCCGTGTCTGGGGCATACGTAGAGTTGGGGTGCTGTACAGGCTCACCACCTCTGGGAGGTAAGTGCTGCAGGGCATCGGGCCAGTTTTGGATCAAGTCTTGTTCCAGTGGGCTTAGCTCTGTAGGCTCCGCACCTTCTGGTAAAGTCCCTGCTTCAACGACAGCGTCGAGGAAAGTCTCTGTGACGATATGCTTGCCATTTATCAGGGCTTGCAATCCCTTGGCAGTATTTCGCTTCTTTGAAACAACATGTGTAGTGGTGTTGACATATTCGTGCACGATCTTGATATCGAGCTGTTCAAATCTCTCTCTAAGGGTCGCTAAAGGGTCCGTCTGAAGTTCCTTGCTAGTAAACGAAAATGCGAAGACGATTGGTTCCCACGAGATGCTGCATATAGATTGTGAGCGAGAGTAACACGAGATGGGATGAAACGGGTTACCAAAATTTGTTTGGGCATTTTCCCATAGTAAACTCAGCCTTGTCTCCCTCGACCACCTTTTGTGTACCCTTTATTTTTTCTCCATTTACAACGGTGCCGATTTTGGTCGCGAGGTCTTCTATCGTGAGGGTAGAGCGACTCGAGGGATTGTGCGACTGGCCTGGTTCGACGGGGCTGACTGTGATGGTCAAGTGCTTGCGCGAGATGGTGTTGTGTGATATAGCCAATTGGCCAGCTATTTTACAGGTAAGCTTGCGATAGTATTCTGCAGAGATGGCTACTTACGTTCTGCTGCGGTTCGGCCGAATAAATATGTTTTCCCTGGTCGCAACCATAGCTTTCGGCCTAGGGATGATTAGACTGGGTGAATACGTTGAGCTTGAAAGGACCTGTTTCTTGCCTTCAAAGGCCTCAAAGTTTTCCAGGATCCACATCTCCGGGCATCCAAGTGCGACACGACGTCGCTCACGTTTCCATACAAGATATTTGACAAGTAGAATTATGACGTGAGGTTAAGATCGCGAATCTTGCGGGGCGAGGAGCGCGTTCCAGGCATTCGCGACGCCAGATCACGTGTCTACCCTGTTCTCTTTCATCTGTTCACCTAGGCAGGTGAACGAACAAAGAATAATGTTAGATGAAGTTTCTCTGTTCTCATATTGAGCGGCCATGATGAACATTTTATATGTATATTGTATGAGAACAAAGTTTCTTCTTAACCTTCCCTATTGTAACTTTTATCTGCAGAGTGAGGGGAAAAGTCAGCATCAATTAAAATCTGGGAATCATCAAAATCACCAAATTCTAAGAAATTTACAACCCAATTTCCCGTCCCAGCATGATTAAAAAGGAAGCATATCGACGAAAATATTATGAATCATGTACTGATATTATCACCACAATGCAGATATCTTCAACACATCACTTGCTCCTGACCCATTGAGTTTCGCATCCCGAGCATCTCTGATGACGACAATCTACACAGGCGACATACAGGTCACAAATCCAATATTGAGAACAACTGCACTGATCCCCATAGTTAGTAACTGGTTTCTGTAACAGTACATCAGGACAATGACCAACACATTTCCAATATTACACGGTTGTCTTAGGGGCCATGTTTGGCTGTGTTGAGTACTAGATAAATGATTGGTGGTGTGTATATGGAGGTCAAGTATTAGACGTTTCTTTATGGAGGGGCTTTGGGTGATGGTAGAACTTGTAAGGTATGCTCGGACACATTCAGAGCACTATACATGGGCCCAAAGACCGCAATTTATTCCGATGCGGCTCTGCGAACTACTTGTCCCTAGAAGCGCAAGAAGCATGTAAGGGACGCGACGTCAACATAAGTTGGATAATCTTACATATGATACAGATGTATGAGTGTTCAGGCGATAGGATCGAAGCATGCCATCTGACATCAAATGGATCACACGCCCGCACACGCCTGGAGTTGAGTGGTGGAATTGGTGATTCGGTTGTGAGTGTGTGTGGGTTGCATTATATCCATCAGAGGAAATTCCGTACATTCGGGCAATGAATAGTAGACGTCAGCTGTTATGAATTTCACGATCAGATCATTTCTGAAGTCAGTATCAATACATTCCATCCTTGTCATCATACCTGACCCAACCAGGCTGAAGCGATGGCAATGGTACTTACTATAACAATACATATATAAGGATTGAACATGTAAATTATAGCGTCTGCCTATATAATTAACGCTAGATTTTAACCTTGAATTCGTATATACATTTGCATCTACATATATGAACGATGCGACAGCATGGTATGTCATCTAAACCTTACCAGGCTTGTAGCACTCGCCCAGCATCTTCTTCCGTCCAACCCTCCTACTCTTGATGCTGATGGCGCCGCTAGCCTGGGATCTGACTCGAGTGATCTCATCAGGATCGTGGTTTGTAGCGCGAGATATCTCAGCGATTTCACCAATTTTCCATCCCCGAAGGAAGAATAGGCACAGTCCTCCGGCGATATACATGAACCCAACAAATATCTGAGCTCCAATATATTTTCCTGTTCCTGCCACGATTTGCAGTGCGATTGGAGTACTGAATGTGCAAGGCAAGGCGATAACAAGCCACGTCAAGTTGAGTGCGGCAGGGACGTCGGCAAGACCGACAACTTCGGCTGTGACCGGTCCAACAGTCGCCCAGTACGTTCCGGCCATGGCACCTCCGACGATAGTGAAGAATAGCAAGAGTCCGTATGACTTTGCGTTGATCCAAATAGCAAAGACGAGAATTGCAGCCATCCAGGTAGTTGCGCAGGCCATATTGATACGCCCTGTCCGATCACTGAAGTATCCGATAAAAGGTCGACCGACACCCTGCCCTAAGTTGAAGATGGCGCTAACCATGGCTGCTTGGGAAGCATCAAGGCCGATAAAGTTGGCGTAGTTGGCTAAACTGAAGATGAGAACGACGTACCCCAGCATGCTGAACCAACCGTAACCGAGGAGCAGGTGGAATTCGGGGCGCTTGAAGAGACTGAGGTCAAAGGGAGCCTGTCGAGAGCCAACGATCTTGTTACGGTCTTTAACGAGGATGGTGCAGATGATGTTAACGATGAAGACGATGATTCCAAGGATCCTATACGCCCATTGAAGACTGATATTTCGGATAATGGCCCCGGCCGCCAAGGAGTAAAGAAGACCACCAAGACCCGATCCAGCAGCTGAGATACCATTTGCGAGAGATCGACGAGTAGTGAACCATTGAGGAACAATACCAACGCTGGGAACAAAGAGAAGACCCATGCCAAGACCGAACAAAACACCTTGTGTGAGGAACAGCTGGTAAATCTTGGAGGCAAAGCTGGCGCATATGAGACTAGCAGTTTCGAGGATAATGCCGAAGAAGAGGGTTGGCTTTGTGCCAAAGTCCCTGACACACATTGTAGCAAGAGGGGATATCAGCATGGCACATGCGATACTTAGGGATCCCACAAAGGCATAGTGGAGAGAGGTCGCGCCGGGGAATGTGTCGTTTTGGATGTAATAGGCGAGAAAGACTCCGTAAGACGAATTGAGGCCCCAGGTATGAGCATTGATGATAGCGACGCAAGCTGTACATACCCATCCATATCCTCCATTCGGTGGTGGAGGTGGGACATCGTTCTGTGGGGGAAACATGTCTCCTCCATTGTTATCCTTCTCCGAGGTTGAGACTTGTTGATTCTGCTGCTGGACTTGAGTGATGACGCCTTCTTCAGTCGTGGTAGTATCTTGACTCCTCCTCATCTGACCCATCTCGTTCTCTGGAGGTTGGCTCGTCTTTTTCTCTTCTGAATCTGCCATTTTTGATGATTAATCGGTCAGAAAAAGAATGGAGGAGTCATGGGGAAAGGAAAAGTGCCAGAGTCCCTTTTTATTTTACCCCAGCTCGACTTAGAGGACCCGGAAATGGCGTCCGGGGATAGAACGGGCCCAGTTTTGGTGCATCTAAGTTTCGGATGGCGGCGCATTTTCCACGCGGGGCTTAAGCCCATTTACCTAGGCTAAGTTGAGTATTATTAATGATCATGAATTCTTGTCTTATTACGGACGACTGGATGAGTGTCTTGCCAATAATCTAAAAAATCAACCGTTTTATGTCGTCTCCTTCTGGCTTCCTCTTTCGGTCTGTAGATGTCAGAGTCAGACTCTGTCTCAGATCTCGGTCTGGGGATAAAGCGGGGGAATGAATCAATAAATCTCGGCCGATTTGATCGGCTATGACCCGCTCCTGCTTCCGACCCTTTCGCGGGGTACAGAAGTCCAATGATCAACAACATCCTCCTCTTGGTTGTACTAGACCTAGCCTGGGCATAAGAGACGACATCAAGCTTCAATTAGTCTCCAATAAAGACTTACAAGGGTTGCTAGGGTACTGTAGTATATGTTCTGGGAATAAGAATGTCTAAAACAATGTTAACATACCCAATGCGACTGTTCAGACATGTTCTACTGTGAAAACGACAATGCCATTGTTGCAAGTCATGTTCAGTTATTGTTACAAGCGTTCGAACACAACTTCCATAGAGTATAAAACGTCTAATTTCTACCTTCAAATGGATTCCAATCCTCTTCATCATTCTCAGAGAGTTTGTACCATTCGACACTCAAGATCCACACAGTTTGTATCATTCAGCACTCCTGATTACCCAGACTTCCTGTATCTTGTTCACTAACCAAACCAACAACCCAGCACTTCGCCCAACATGTCGTACTCATTCCTCTCCGAGACAGGCGCTCTCGCCCTCGCCATCATTCTCATTATCCTCTCGACTATCCGCTGGTTCGGACTCCTTTTGCATCACCTTGGCCGTAAGGTATACCGCACTACTCGCCGTCGTGGTTTCTTCCCCAACATCTTCCTGGAAAACGTCGCTATCATTCTCCCCGTCGTCGACCACCAGAGCGAAAACTTCATGCCAACTGTCAGAAGCATCCTGAGGAATATCCCTGGACAACTCTATATCATGGTTGTCGGTAGAGAGGCCTACGACGAAGTCATGTCTCAGATGGAGATTCTCAGACAAGAGTTTCGATTCTCTCAAATCCACATCGGTGCGGTGCACGAAGCTAACAAACGTCGTCAGATTGCTCACGCTTTGAGTACTCTCGACTCTGAAAGTTCTAGGTTGACGGTAATCACTGAGCAGGGTACATACTGGCCTACCACACTCCTCATGTCCGCCAGTCGTCATTTTGATGACCCCGAAGTCGCTGCCATCACCGTCCCTAGGATGGCGCACATCCAACCTATAGGCGGTGTCCGGGCAAACATCAAAGCGCACCTCTTTTCCTTCCACTACGGTGTTCAGGCTGAGGACAACCGCGCTGTCAACAGTCTGGATGGCTCTGTCCTGTTTGGTGGCCCTACAACTCTGGTGCAAACTTACCACCTGAAAGAGGACAAGTTCAAGAATGAATTCGAAAAGGAGATGTGGTTCTTTGAACGATCTGACCCTCTCAGTGGCGACGAGCATTTTTACCTGAACCGTTATCTCCTGGAAGGCAACAAGAGGACTCTCTTCCTGGACAGCCCCGAGGTGACGGTTTCGGTGGAGATGAACTCTGTCTGTGAGTTTATTGGTGAGTTCCTTCGTACCATTCGGAACAACTGGAGAACTTGCTTCTCCATGGGTCCCCATTGCGCTTGATTGTATGTTCGCTGGAGATATCTTATCTTCCCAGCTGCTGCTCATATGACCTGGTGGTCAACCCTTTTCTTCCCTCTTGCTCTAATGATCGATATCCCGAGCATTATCCTCACCTTCAACTATAGTGTTCTCAACAAGGCAGCTCTGGTCGTATGTATCGTCGTTACTGTCTTGGTGGTTGGTACGCAAGCTATCTCGAACCTGTTGGTGGCTAGACGCATGCATGGCAACAAATCTAACGTCTTTGTCACGTTATTTTGTGTGCTGGTAAGTCTTCCTTTTCAGCATGTTCTCGAGATTCTCAAGATTGTAGCTATGTTGACCTTTTGGAAGACAGATGTTGAGTGCACATCGCAGCACGACGTCAATGTGCCAAAGAAAAGGAGTATTCCTTGGAACTGGGGTTAATGGGGTGATATGGAGTAGGATGACCTACACTGATACATACCGATAGGATGTCCAGGTGTATGTTCATGGTGGAGGTAAGTGGTGGCGTGGGAATTTCTTTTGTCAGATTTCCGCGAAATGCAGGATCGTGTCGAACAGAGAGGTAAGTGAAAGACTAAAATAGACAACATTGAATGCCGAACAATTTGTGTCTAGTGAAGTGTGCAGCTTCTGAATGTCCAACCTTTTGTGCCTAGTGTGGGTGACATCCGAGTTCTCTGGAAGAACCAGAATGAAGATGTCTTTACATATTATCTGATTAATCGGTGACAAGTTTTAACAGGAGTAAGTGAGCTAAACAAATCGAGTATGAAGTAGGTATGTCGCTCATTAGAAATTAGTTGTATACTCTCTCTCCTCTTCAGTGTTGTGAAGGCAAGTAGTAAGGACGTCTCATGTCTATACACACCATGCAGCTACAATCCTCACCGAGAGTGGAGCTCGGATATCACGGCAAGAAGGAAATGCTACCAAGATACATGAAGATCTCAGATTGAATGATACGGTTCCAAAGGGCCCCCTGGGGAAGTTTGCCCCGTGGGGATGTGATATGTTGATGGACATACTTGTGCTTGCGGATGCGAGGATCATGGTTGAATCTCAGATCAAGTGGCATGATTGCGGAACCGGTATAATAATCTCTTTTTGAGATCTGCCATGTTTACATCTCTGTTCAACTAGTGAGTCGCGAGGGTTTGTAGGTTGTAGGGTCGAGTATATCGGTGTGGTGCATAGTGCTTCGAGATATCACAACGTTATCAACTAAACTGGAAACTCATTCGCGTGTGATACACCAAATCATTGACTGAACCTGGCGTTTCACTTTGTAATAATAGACTATGCTGAAACCCTGGATAAGAATGTCGACGACTGAAGCATCAGTGTCGAGCGGGAGGACAGGAGCGGAGCCGCCTCCGCGCATCGGCAATGGGTATAATAGTGATACGAAGCCCGCCCTCAAACTTTGATGTTTACGAGTAGATTTTGCTTTTCCGAAGAAGAATGAAGAAAGAGGTTGTATACACACCCTATCCAGGCCTTTCAAGAGGATGGGATACGGTAGCATCAGCCATACTACTACCGGCCCAACCAACGAGCTGTATTCAGGAACACTGGAGAAAGAACTCTTGAACTACAAAACGCGCACCGGTTAAAGTTGCTCAGTGCCGGTCCATCCGGATACTGGATACTCTCATGTCGCTTAGACCAGAGCGTCTCTACGAACCGACAACGTGGGTTTTTGTTCAGGGGCCGAGGTTATGTTCAGTGAACAGATTGTTGTTCTCAACGCCGAAGTTCATGAGAGCCATGATAACTCAACAAACACCAGAGATGACTAACCGGAGAAAAGGAAGTTACCTAAAGGGGATGTGAAAACTCTTTTGTTTATTGTGCAACCGAGGATAATTCACGGTATGGTGTTGTTATACTCATCAGGGGCAATGGTTACAGTGGACAACCACCACAAAGTGTCTACAGTATGGACCACGGATATTGAAATCCGGTATGCAACTAGGATCAAGATGTGAACGGCATTTTTGCTGCCGGTTGAGCCTTCTCTGTTCCTTGCACAGATCTGATCCTTGCTGGAAAGAGCACAGTTAGCGCGGCTCTTTTGATCTTGGCTGGCCTAAGCTGCTCTGTGAGAGATTGAGAAAGGAAACAAATTTCATCGGTGGTCAAGCAAGTAAGACTCCTCTCCATGCTGTGCCTCTCTTTACTGCTTGCTTCGGGCTCAGATAAATTCTTCAGTTCAGCTGCATTGCTACTTCGGATCCGCAGATTTTATTCACTGCCAGCACAATTGACTCTGAGTGTGTCTCGGATAGAGTAAAAGTTGTGGTATTTCCGCCTGCGGAATTTGCAAGGTGGCGAGACTGGATGGTATGGATCCCCAACTCATACGATGATCAAGGATGAATAGTGGGCCTTGTCAGGTTGTGACGATGATGATGATGGGGGGCAAATTTCATTGCTTCTGCAATGCATGCATACATGAGTTGTATCTGTATGCAGATGGTTATGTCAAGTATATGTCTGAAGCTGATGAGGATAACAGAGACAGTCCAGTCTTGTTCAATGAGAAGCCTTCAACTGTAGAGACTTGGGGTATCGTCATTAGTGATGAACAAAAGTGAATTCAGTTCGTGTACCCGCTGAGCCCCTTGGAGCTAAAGCACGAGAACCACTAAAAAAATGTGGTAGATCCCTGCGCGTAATTGGATCAAATCCATTGCTTCTGGAAAGAGTCTTTTCTCACTGACAATGTTTTTGGAGCAAAGAAGGACAACTCGAGTCAGAATGATTTCCATAAAGTCATTGTCAGCATATTCTGATTCAGACTCGATCCTGTACAACTTATCGGTGGCTTCGTTTCTTCGCCTCTTGGCTAAAGAGCCGCTTTACCGCCAAGAAATACATGCCGAACAGCTATCAGTACCCCTGCTTAGCGGCCAGGAGGCTCAATTCAGAGGCTCAATCATTCATTCGACAGCAGTTTCTAACAGCCCGTCTTGTAGCCGACTGGCAACCGAGGATAAAGTCAGGTGGACTTGGGTATATCCCCCTTATTACACTAAACGGCCTTTTTTATTGTCCCCGTGTTCTTACTGTGCTGTTGTTTATTGTTAGGGGATTGCTTGGTCTTTACGGAGTAGGGCACTCCCTAATTTATTCCCGTCCTTCACCCACCTGAAAACTTCTCCAAGTCGTATGAGGAGAAACCCTACCTCTTGACAACACAATTTTTGGAGAAACAAGTCTTGGCTGGTGTCATTTCCTTCAAGGGCTTTTGAATTCCTCGTCACAGTGATTTCATGAAGACAGTAAAATACTCTTGGCTAGTATTGCTTTGAACCTATCTATTCAGTATTGCATAGAGATCAACCGTAAATCTTTTGACTGTACGGATACTTCGGCGTAATATGATATAAACTGGGTCTGTGACGATGATGATATGATGCTTCAAGGTTCCACATTTAGACCCAAGGTCCATGAATTTCGTCTCTATCTAAAGACTCTGATACAGAGACATTTCGGATAGAATCGGATTGTATGTGTTGCATTCTCCAGACCCCAGAATCTCATTCACCCCAGAAATCTTTAAATCCAAGTTTAAATTCTTCTCCAGGTTTCTTATTCTCTTTCTTATCTGAGTCTCTGTGAGATGTGAGATGCAAAGGTGGTGATGCTGTCATTGGGTGTGTCAACCTTCGGACATTTAATAAGCACACACCCTCCTTGCTAGAATTTCTCCAATTCTTCTGTGCCTCCTCATAGCCTCTTTTTTCCCTCCCTCTTTCGCTCTTGGCCAAGTTGGCATTTCGGCCGTAGCCGTCGGTGCATTACAAAGCACACACACTCTCTCTTCCACTACCGCTAACACCGCGTTCTGTTCCCTTAATCGACTGATTGACTGTACGCTTTACATCATGGCTTACAACTAATTTCTTTAGTTGCGACAAACCTCGTGCGTCCTCCAAGTTTCTTTTGCTCCAGAATATGGAACCTCTAATGTGATCAGCGATACGCTAGGCAGTAATTCCGCCTTTCTGTCTCTACGGTTGATCGCCCTGAGTCTTTGAGTGTTAAAGACTTTTGTTCTACTAGTTCTGCCTTAAATATCTCGTGGGGGTTGTCTCAATGAGATTGAGATTGAGATTAGAATCGTGAGATTTGGGCATGGTTACGGGTTCAGTGTTACGGAGAGATTTCTCCTTAGACGGTTCGTGCCAACTTGTATAACGGCCAGTCCTACTCTTGTTTGGTTAAGTTGTAATACTGGGCATTGATGGGTGAAAGATAAACAGTCCCTTGAGATAACTGGACAGCAACACATAGAAAGACATTGAATGTCCGCCCCAGCGTACTGGAGAGTGGTCCATCATCGTCAACCACTTAGACAGCCCTTCTTCATCCAGTGATCTGTGTAGTATACTTCTCTACCGACAATAATTCCCGAACTATCTTACTCTATCCTTAGTCAAACAGTCTACCCTCACACAAGCCACGTCCCCTTCTCCGCAAAACAAAGGATCACCCCAGCACAAGCGCATCTGAGATACTAGCTGTGCCAGGGATCAACCTGCATATGGTTGACTTGATTTGATATGTAATACACTCACGTTGACTCCTTGAAACGTCTGGAAGTCAATGGCCGATAGGACACGGCATCTTTGCCGCCTACCATCTTTGGCCGTGCGTGACAGTTGGGTCAGGTAGACCATCAGGACTGAACATACATACCGACAGTAGATCACCGTCTTAGAGTCCTTCCCCATGGAGATTTCCCCACATGCATTGGGACATGTCCCCGCGGGTTTGAGCCTTGTTCTCTCGTAAGGAGTGTTGGGGTTCAGACACTGCTTTGAGATGGTGCTTATGAGGTTGAAGGGGATTCTCTTGTTCTTTTGACGCACCAAGTAGGATGGGCCAAGTCTGTAACCATCTTTTCTTGGTTTCTCGTTGTTTGGGTCTACTTGCCTAATTCTTTAGTTGTCAGGAGAGAATGGAAGATACGGGCCGTTGTTCCTTTGACCTTTCATACCTATGACTACACCACAAAGAGATTGTTTCCCCAAAAGACCGATTGCCTCTGTTTTTCCTATTGACCTTTGAGTGATAGTTGTTATATCATTCTCGTGTTTATCCCCCAATTCAGGTGCATGTTGTATGCATTCAACTGCACCGTCACCCCAAAAATGCTACTTTACTAGGGTCCTTTTCCTCTCCCCACGCCCTCTCTTTTGTTTAGTGGACACTCCACTGTCACTCCACTCGAGTCTCCATATCACTCCACGGGACATGACAGTCTAGCCCAGGTCCCCCGTTCCCAACTCTTTTTCTCTTGCCCTGATGTACCTAATTAGATATTCTCATCAATTTTCTTGCCCTTGTCTCTTTCTTACTTTATAAATCTTGTCTTCTTCCCTCCATTGCCACTTGTTTATTCTCTTATTCTCTTTCTTCATACTCTTCAACTAAATTTGCTGTGCCGTCATTGTCGCTTATAGACTAGACTCTTTTACTGTTTGCATCACACCATCACCACTTATAGACATCTCGCGGCTTCACAAGCCCCCCAAACTCAATTCAAAATGGCACAAAACGATCAACTGCCCGAGTTTCAGCAATCTTACACAAATGATCTCCCTCACGATTCAGACAAGACTCTTGAGCGTCAGACAACAGCTGCTCACCAAGCTGCTCACCCTCATCTCTACCCCAATCCTCAACACATCCATCCCGCATTCGGTGGTGCTATGCAACCAGGTCTTTGGAAGCCTGTAGAGGCGCACCGCAAGTTCGCCAACCCTGCTCCTCTTGGACTATGCGCTTTCGCTCTCACCACTTTTGTCCTGTCATGCATCAACATGCACACTCGCGGTGAAACGTCTCCCGCTATTGCTATTCCCGTGGCTTTTGCTTATGGAGGTCTTGTCCAGCTTTTGGCTGGAATGTGGTATGTCTTATAATCTCACCCGAACCAACCTTAACTTTATACTGACCAAACTAAACAGGGAAATGGCCGTTGGAAACACTTTTGGTGCTACCGCCCTGTCATCTTACGGAGGTTTCTGGATCTCCTACGGTCTCTTGCTGACTCCCACCTGGAACGTCCTCGGTGCTGATGGACCTTATGAGGGTGACACAGGCTCGGTCATGGGTTTCTTCCTGACCGGCTGGTTCATCTTCACTACTCTTCTTCTCATCTGCACTCTCCGTTCCACCGTTGCGTTCTTCTTGCTCTTCTTCTTCCTCGACATCTGCTTCTTGCTGCTCGCCACTGAGAATTATGCTCATGATTTGGGCAACCACACTGCTCAGATCGCTCTTCAAAAGGCTGCAGGACTCTTTGGATTCTTGGCTGCGTTTATGGCTTGGTACAACGCCCTTGCCGGTCTACAGGACAGCAGGTACGTAACCTATTATTCCATCACCAATGTCCAAAATAGCTTACTAACATGTCTCCAGCAACTCTTTCTTCCAAGTCCCCGTCATCCACTTCCCCTGGTCTGATGAGGGCCGAGCCCACCGTCACCAAAAGGCTGAGGAGCACCTTGCTTAGGCTTTTGAAGTCTACTTGTTTGCATTTTCACGCGTCACGATATGATTTATTGTTAAAACAAAATGGGAGGCATATGCATCATCTCGACCGGGACCACCAATAGTTTGGTACGAGCCCCATTGCATTGAAGGAGTTTAGAAGGTCATTTTCGCTGTTCCAAACGGTCATAGTTGGCTTCTGTTTAGGACCTGCCGCTTGGACCATGGCATATATAGAGGGTGGTTACTATATGATATAATATGATGGAGGACGTACATATCTTGGAAATGATGAATACTCATTTGGAAATCGCACTTGAAGTTCTTGAAGATTGTAGTCCCCACGGGTTCATTAGATCTGCCGCTATTGATGTCCTGCAGCACCCCCACACTTATAAACCTCAAGGAACACTAGCTCGACGAGTTCCAAGAACCCGGTAGGATGGGGAGTTGTCAATTTGTGCGTTACAGTCTTGAGTTGATGGATTGCGATCGTTTGGTTCCGTCAATCCCGGAAGTGGGGCCGCCCCAAACCCCGAAACGCGGGACCGGCCGGCCGATGATACGTTCATGTTTAATAACCAAAGAGGAATCTTGAACTATCCTCAAATTAATGGGTAAGTATTTTCAGTCTTCCTTATCAATCGTTGTTAGAAATATGAACAGTTTGCTATAAGGCTAATAACTCCGAGACATCTCACCAATCGTACGATCAAAATCACCTGACAATAAAACAGTCCACAATGATCCAACTGCCGACAACCACCTCATCAACCGCTTCCTATAAAGCATCTACACCGCCGATCCCGCCCATGGTTACAATCCCCCGCAATTAATAAACCCCCTTCAATGCCTCGTATCCTTCGCTGGACAATGAGCAGGCCGCAAATCCTGTTCCTCTCTTGCATTGGTTTCGCAGTCGCCCTCACTGCTATGCTCTACAGCAACATCATTCATCCTTCCACTCTGACTTCTATTCTATCAAAAACCATGTCTTCTTCTATTCGTCCCGTAGTCGTCGTGGGCTCAGGTCTAGCTGGACTGTCAGCATCGTACGAGGCTCTGCAACGGGGTGCACCATCGGTTCATCTTCTCGATCGCGCTCCTAAACCTGGTGGTAATAGTATCAAGGCTTCGTCTGGTATCAATGGTGCAGGAACAAAATACCAACGCGCCGCTGGTGTGGAGAGCGATACTTCTTTTTATAGCGACTCTGTTCGGTCAGCTGGCTCGCGGTTTCATCTCAGCCAACCACCTGTGGATCGAGAGGCTCTTGTTACCAAGCTCACGACTGAATCAGCAGCCGCCGTCGAATGGCTTGTTGACGAGATCGGTGTTGACCTTAGCGTCGTTGCACCCCTCGGTGGGCACAGCGTTGCTCGCACCCATCGAGGTGCTGGAAAGACACCCCCCGGAGCTGCCATTATTATCGCCTTACTAAACAAACTGAAAGGGAACGAAAAGTTCTCTATTACAAATCTCGCCGAAGTCAAGGCCCTAGTCAAGGAAAACGATGAAGTTAAAGGCGTTGAGTACGAATTCGAAGGCAAGAAGCACAACCTCGAAGGCTCAGTTCTATTTGCTAGTGGTGGCTTTGCCGGTGATGCCACAGGTCTTTTGGCACGTTATCGCCCTGATCTAAAGGGAATCCCCTCTACCAATGATGAGAGGCCCGGATCCCACGATATTCTCACCTCCGTTGGAGCCGAGCTATTAGATATGGACAGTGTTCAAATCCACCCAACAGGCTTCGTCGACCCCGCCAGTCCCAACACGATGCTCAAGTTCCTCGCAGCCGAGATGCTCCGTGGTGAAGGCGGTATTCTTCTTTCACCCGACGGGTCACGTTTCGTCAATGAGATGAATACCCGCGAACACGTTAGCAATGCCATTATGAAGCTTCCAACTGCCACTGATGGCGACGGTATGATCAAACAGTGGGACATAACCATTCTTCTCGATCCCGGTGCTTCTGAAGCGTCGGCAAACCACATCAGCTTCTACGAATGGAAAGGTCTCCTCAAAAAGGTCAAAATGCGCGATCTAACCAACGCTCAAATCGTTGCTGTGGATAAGTATGCCCAAACTGTCGCTGACGGGTCAGCGGATGAGTTTGGTCGTACACAACGTGGAAGGTGGACACTTCCACCCGGAGAGAAAAATCGAGACCAAGATATTTACGTCGGCAGAGTGACGCCCATTACACACTTCACCATGGGAGGAGTTGCTATCGATGAGAAGGCTCGTGTGTTGAAGAAGAGCGGCGATAAGCTTGTGCCTATTCCTGGTTTATTCGCTGCTGGTGAGATTACTGGTGGTATTCATGGTGATAATCGCCTGGGAGGATCTTCGCTGCTGGAATGTGTCGTGTACGGGCGGACTGCTGGTACTGAGATTGTTGGCTCGGCGTAAAGAGATGATTTGAAATATCATGTTTGACTCATATGATGTGCGTCTATGTAGAAAATAATCAATGATATGTATTGATTGTGGTTTCTTGCTATACTTGAGAGTACTAGAAAAATTGGCCGTTGGAAGCATAAGGGACAAAATTATTAGGCCAGTTTATACTACTTAGGTCAGACTTCTTAGGTTGTTTATTTTTGTGTCCTAAAGCTTGGAGCCCAACTTTTCTGGTGCTATAGTTTATATAACGCATTTACAGTGTGTATTGATGAATAAAACAACAGCTAGGCTATTCCACAGTCTATGCCCCATTGGCAGTCTGGCTCACAACAAACTAATGTCATTAATCCTAACCATCTGTTCAGAGACTATCTACTCCTGCGTTGCATCAATCTCCATTCACCTACTCCAATTTGAGAGGGTTCGCCTTGAAGAACTCCTCCGCAGTTACAAGCTTACCCCTGGCCCTCTCAGCAGCCCAAGCAACAGACTTTTTCTCCCCAGGACCAAAGTACCCAAACTCGTCACCAGAATGAAAAGCCTCTACAAAAACCTCCTTGAAAACAGGCAACTTGTCTGCAAATTCCTCGGGGGGAATCTGCTTGTATGTGATCTTTTTCCCAGTGGCTTGACTCTCAATAGCCACGATATCTTCCATGGTGTAGTACCCAACAGCCGCGTTGAAGCCAACACCATCGTACTTTTCAGGCTCGGCGAGAATGGCACCAACGAAGCTGCCAACGTTGCTGCCGTTGTCAACCCATGGGATACGTGTCTTGGGTGAGAGTTGGAGAGCCAAAACCCAGTTCCCTTCCGCGTCCTTCTGAGGTTGCCAGAAAGGGATCTGGACAAGATTCTCGAAGAAGAAGGCGAGACGAACAAATGCTTTCTTGATGGGGAGTGTACGGATGTACTTTTCGCCCTCGGCCTTAGCGTCAAAGGGATGGATTTTGGTGTATTTGCCGCCAGAGATGTCAGAACAACTGGGAAGACTGCTAAAGATGATGTACTCAATACCAGCTTCAACAGCGGTATCAGCAATTTTCTTGATGATATCATATTCAGGCTTTAGGTCGGTAGCAGTCCAGAAAGCCGCAGTCACGAGGAAGAAGTAGTGAGCACCCGTAAGAGCCTTCTTCATGGAAGCTTGATCGGTTAAGTCGCCCTGGACAACTTCAACACCGCGCGCCTTGAGGTCTTTGGACTTTTCGGAATCGACATCACGGGCGATGGCGCGGATGGTGTATTGTTTTGAGAGTTCTGGGTCGTTGAGGACGTAGTTTATGAGGCCACCACCTTGTTTGCCTGTGGCACCGGTGACTGCAAGAACCTTTGACATCTTGGAGTTGCTGATTGTGGTTTTATAGAAGTATTGATGTTGTATTCCGGTTCTAAGAGTGGATGGCTTGTTCGAGTCTCGGGGAAAGGCTATCTATCGTCTTATAACTTTGATGAGATGCGACTTTGAAGAAGTTCATTGCACAATAATCCAAACTCCGCATAGTCCGCCAATTTTACTACAAACAACAATAAAGCGAATGCGATAATAATCCTTCGGTCTTTCCCCAATCTGCCGGCCTTTGTCTATCAACGAATAACCTGCCTCCATTCCCGAGACAACAAGGGTTAGTGCTGCTGTCAGTTACTAATGCACCTAACCCAGCGCTTACACATGCGTTAAGCCAAGTCCGCAGAAGCGTTACACAACGTTAATTGATGTCACTCTCCGCTATAATAGTTCATCCGATTGAGAGCCATGTAAGCTTGCGCTGTAAAGTTGCGCCGACATGATAAATCAGCTAGGATATGCATCCTGATAGCCAATATGGGCATTGGCGTGATTCTGCATTCTGTTCTCATCAATCAGATCTAGATATACATGGCTTTCGCATAATTAACGATGACTGTGGGCATTCTGTGTAACGGTATTAACTGGCAAAGCATGCCTGTCTATTATTGCAAGGCACTGGCTAATTAGTTGAGATCTCTATGCCAACTTGGTCAAACAATTAATTAAAACAAATCCGCTGGGTAGTTGAATGCCCAAAACAAAACTTTTCTCTTTCCGCCGCGCAAAACTCCGTCATGAATCCTGAATATGTCTTCCAAGCTCGGCAAAGTCCCCAACATCTTCTCCCGTGAGATCCCAGTCCGGATTGTTATACATAGAGTAGCAGTGCTTGTAAAAGTCATCGTGCGGGATATCCGCCATTAACATCTCCTGCTGCGAGTTTCCATCGGCCGCCTCGGCCATGGGAACCCAGAGGTTTGAGAAATTGTCCCAAAGGTCTGTGTCGAGAAGCATAAAATCGTCTGGAGATGTGCTTTGAGCGCCCGGGACAAGATCGTTTGGAAGAGCGCCCGAGTCACTGAATCCAGCTGGTGTTGCACCGTTGGTATGCGCCGCTCTGTTGTTTGCTTGGGAATCACCTGTTGTGCCATGGGGAGACACATTGACGACTTGGAGTGACTCGATCTTCTGCGCCATCACTTTCCATAGCCTCTTGACTTCGTGCAATCTCTCGCGAGCATATGTGTTTCCATGATCAGCAAGGTGCTGTAGCTCCTCCAGTGCCTGCGTCAATCCAGGTTTAGGACCGATCTTCAAATTATCTTCGCAAACTGAGTCTAGAATGGCAGCGAGGATCATGATGAATGCAGCTGAGAAGGAAGCCTCAAAGTCGTAGAAACCAAAGATTGCTGGACTACGTTAGCACAGAACAATGAATGAGGCAAACTTAACTTACCAATCATGTTTCGCTTTCTGAGGGTGGCAACTACCTTGAGCTGCCGTCTTGCGGCTTCAGCACAAGTTCTAGATAGTCTTCCAAGTGGCGAAGCATGCAGTTGCTCTCCTGTTGGACCATGGCCGCTGAGAATGAGCTTCGCAGCATGCAACATGATCGGCCTAATCGTCAGGATAGTTGCCTGTATAAATGTGAGTATCATCGTTGTAAAGTGGGAGGACTGACATACCTGGAACAGCATCAGATGCAGTGAAGCAGTCGTCCTCAAAGATTGATCACGGCCCAAGTTGTACACATCCGTGACTGAATCTGAAGGGATTTCCTGAGAAATTTCGTAAAGAGACTTGACAATGTCCTGGACACGAGGAATAAAAGTGTGTTCTGACTCGTCTTCTGGGTTGTACAGTACTGTTCAACAAGGTCAGCAGCTGCCCATCCTCGACTGTTCTAGAAGGATTCTTACCGGCCAAGATACGTCCTGTCGCCCTGGCGATCTTGATGTTTGTACACATAGGCCCTACAGGTGGAAATCCAGGGGAATCAGTAGGGAGAGGGATGTTGATTGCCTCATCTCCTATGCTTGGAGGGTTTCCCGTTGCTGCAGCCAGGCGTCTGAACAGATAAATCATCAGTAACCATACGATGAGGTTCTGTCTAGAAAACTTACCGTTCTTGCATATAGATTGTCCACCAGAGGCGGTTCATGTGAACTCTCTCCGACTGCATCAAGTGTCTTGTTCCACAGACTCTGTGATACTTTTGTGAAATTGCAAGCCGCATAGCAGTGCTAATCTACATGATATTAGTTAACCGGCGGATCTGGATGTCTGGGCATATCAACTTACATAAAGATACGCCTCTTCTTTGCGGTTCATGTTGCCGAGGTAGATAGCAAAAAGAGCAAAGATCTCAATTCCAATCTTGCCTTTGAAGCGTAGATCAGACAACGTTGGAACGTTTCTGTGGGCGTACTCGAAAAGTACAACGCCTGAAAACTCGTCATTACCCTCGGGATTAGCATCGAATAGAGTTCCAATCGCAATCATGAGAATCATCTCAAGAACCCATAACGATTCCAGCTGAGCAGGATCATCACGGTTCTGGTAGAAAGCCCACATCTTATCTGAAAACTCGCGAGCATCGATGTGATGTTGTGACTGGCCAATGTAGAACAAAGCAGTGTCCAACAACCGCTGTGCTTCATGTCTGGGTGGTAGCTTGGGGAAGTCGCTGCTGGAAAGACGCCATGGGTGGCTGATGATTTCATGAACTTGATTTGCCTCGGGGCTTATCCAGGGTTTACCACTCTGTTCTAGTTCAGCACGAGATGAGCCCAATAAGTCTTGAACTCGAGAACCAAAGGTGTGGCTGGAGCTAAGTGAAGAGCCAGCAAGGATAGCTGTAAGAGTATAAGTAAGAGATTGGATGTGTAAACTCAGATGAGTTTGACTTACTGGCAACTGGTGATGCCTGAGTCCCATCATAAGAAGGATATTTAGGTTGGGATAGAGGTGCCGAGAAGCTGGTGGAAGGACGGATGAAACTCGATGATCGTGATCTGTTATGCTGGGGGTCATGTGGAGAGGATTGAGACAATTGCGGATGGATGGCAGATTCCCTTGTTTGGTCGATGTGAGCCGTCCTTGAGACCGGGGGTTCTATGGTATATCAGTATAAGTCAATGTTATTAACAGGTCTTCACATACCAGATGCCCTAGGAGGTAGAGTGGAGGGCAGTCCATCATATCCGTCTCTTTCATATCTGGCTAGCTTGCTCTCAAGTTCTTCGATTCGACTAACGAATCGTCAGATACAAAGTGTAGAGGACATTAGGAAAGGAACTCACTTGGCCATGTACATGCGTTTATGTCCATGCTCAGGAACCGTGCAGTCTAAGCCGCGCTTGGTACAATATTGACAAGGGGTAGTCCCCGAACACCGAACCTTTTTCTTACGACAAGTAAGACATCTGTTGCATGTCAGTCACTGGGTCATTCACTTTCACTTAGACAATTCACAATTAATAGTGGAGAAACACAAACAAAAAAGAAACTCCAAATTTACTTACGCCAATGATGTTTTGCGCGCATCTTTACCATCGGATGGCGCCGAACGCTTCCGAGCCATTGAGGAGGGAGTTGTGTCTTGGGCGACGACGCTCATTGATAAGACGCACAATTTCCTCACACGAACGAGGAAAGAGAGATTCTGGAAGACTTGACCGAAGATTTGGAGGGGCTCAGATACTGGAGCTCCGAAAGAGACGCGGGGGGTGGAGGGGACTCAAGCGTTGTTATTCTCTCGGGACAAGTTCCGGACTTTGAACTTATCAGAGGCGAACTTCTCCGCGACGCTAATCCGATCACGTGATTTTCTCCCCATGGAGCCGGGCCAGCTGCCGCCCTGTGATGAAGAATTAGATCCACAAGACGATTGAATTAGCAGGGTTTAGAATGGAGTTTATCTTGATGACTGGCGTTAGTTAGAGGGGGAAATGCGATCCAGGGACCGGTTCAATTTGTAAAGAAATGAGGTCAACACAGGTCTACTACAGCAATTGGCGATTGTCGGGATGACTATACAAAAGGAGATATCTAATCCCGTTGTTTCTATACATAATTGACCAATTCTGAAATTCTTGTGACTCTTCTATCCTTAGCTGTTGTTCAATGTCTGCCTTGAATCTTGAACTGACTAATGCTTGGCCCGACATCGGACACTATGGCCGAGGCATCGGAGAAGCTTCCGATCCTGTGAGACACTAACCACCCGTTGCGAATTTATCAAGAAACCAATGGCACTGAGTGCCATCGTATATACTTAGAGAACCTAAGAGATCTTTATCATTATGGCGAAAGTCTATCTTTAAATTGGAACCGCAGATCTCTTGGTAACATACACTATCAACAACGCCGGTGGTAAAATCAACTTAGTAAACTAGACACTCACTTAACCAGCTTGGTCCCTTTCAGTCTTTATACACGGCAAATCTAAGTAATACAGAGTGTCTATACACTTTGATATATCATACTCTGATAAATCGTCTTGTCTTGAACATATCAACTCTATGTATATCCTCAAGTTTTTCGATCCTCAGGCCTATTGTCCACTGACTATGCCTTGTGTGACAGGTCATCCATGTAGAAACATGACTAACCTTGATGAATCAGAAATCTTGTACTACGGCAGTACTACTCCCCGAGCTCTCATATTACATCATAGTCATATAGCTTCGTATCTTTGTATGGGGTATATACGCCAGTCACATACACCCAATCCTTCTCTCTTTGGAACATCGAGTTTCCAATATCCATCACACGTTGAAGCGGTCTACAAAAACGTAACATTCATCGGATAGCATTCCTTCCGTGAGTATCTGCTGATACAATTTATACGAGAATTGATGTATAGACCCCAATTTCGGAGGCCATGCAGTGTATTCAAGCGGCACAAATCCTCGGCAAGTGAAGACGTGACATGAATCAAGACGGCAAGCAATTTTCGGACCCCAATAAACAATCGATCGATAGTTCTCAAAAAGAATACGAAATTTAACTTTAACGAATGACTTGCTCATGATTGCATTTTCTCGCACTCTTGTCCTCATTAGGAGATGCACTCATGGTTTAAAAAACTTCCGAGATGCAGATCCCTTTTTTAACATGGATTGGAAACTCAAAACTGTCAGCGCGCGTGTCAAAAGCCAAGACGCTACCTTACTCAATCAGGTGCTATGAGCCGCTGCCAATGCACATTGACAAGCGCCCGCACCCTGGAATAGTTGAGTGGGCAAAAAGTTGGGGTCTGTCTTTGTCTTTTCAGTTTCCTTTTCCAGTTATCGCGTCCCCCCTCCTTATTTGCTTTGCTTTTTGTTAGTTGGGGGCCGTAAAAGGGTCGTTTGTTTGCTGTCTTTCTGCACGGAAAACAAGATTCAAACAGCATTAGGCTCCTTGTTAGTCTCCCCGAAAGTGATAGCCGCCCTAGTGGAACGTTGCTTTTCGGTCTGGTGTCTGGATAGGGTCAATTATACGGATCTTTTGCGATAATCTACCTATCATGTATCGAGTTGAAAACTAGATAACAGCTCCTAAACTTGGCATAGCTAATAAGCTAAAGAGCTTCCCCTCATAAGGAGCTGTCTGCATCGGTAGCTAAGCGATAGCTGTGAGGTACCTAGCTCAAGTGGCAGCAGAGCTATATCACCAGTTGACCGATTGACGTCATTGGCATCATTGTCAGTCGAGTTCATTGTAGTCGAATACTTAAGTAACTTGTTTCATCCTTTCTTTCCCGTATTATTATTCTTCTTGTAGTCAAGAAACACTTGCAATTATTCGCTATAAATATCAAGGCTGTCATTATTAATTGTGTTGCCGCAGCTATTTTCAAATCCTGTCCTCCTCTACCTTGAACGTGGTAGTGACCTTGACTGCACCACTGCTCTTGGGTCTCAGACCTGGCGTCAACTCTTCCTCACTCGAGTTGCCTGTACCCCTTCGAGAGTCCCACGTCGACACTACTGTTCTCTCCGCCGACGGTCTACCAAAATGGTCCTTCCCAGCGTAAGCTGCCTCGCAGTCTCGCCCGTGGCCGTTCAAGTCGTCCTCCCGTGCGAATGTAGCGAGCCCAAAAAGATCGCTCTTCTTATTGCCGCTGTTGGTAGCCCTCGAAGGACCAAACTGTCCTAGCCCTGTTCCTGTTCGCTGATCCGTGTCTTTCAATTCAGACCGTCCCGATGTCGTTATGCCAAGCTTGCGGCCGAGTAATCGAAGCAAAGGCCTCAAAGTTGCCAAGGAGCCGGCGGTGATGGCAAGACCTTGTTCTGTGGCCGACCAGATGGCGATATCGACCGTTGCCCCTGTTTATGATTTGTTAGTCTATGATCAACGACTTTATGATTAATGACTTGAGACGTACACAAGAAGTCTGGGTTCTTGAAATCCTTAACAAAGGCGAAACGAACGACAACGGCTGAGCTGGCCCTGTATGGTGTGAGCTGGGGTACAAAAGAATAATGAGGAGTTACTAACACGCAAGCCATGGCAAATAGAGGAATCACAGCAAGCTTTGTCTTTTTTCCCATGTTGAGCTTGGATATCAAGAAGATGGGCAGGATGGCGCAGGTAAAGTCGGAGATGACACTGAAGACACTGTACAGATATGTGAGGGCGATGATGACGTCGGGGCTGACGCATTTTCCGTCTTGGTTCGTGTTCCAGAAATACGAGATGGGCCAGCATTGGAAGAGGGTGACAAAGAAAAAGACGATTCCGGTGCAGAGTGTTATGGCCATTGTGCCGTAAAGGATCCAGATGTCCATCTTTCGGTTGGTGATTCGAAGAAGGGTGATGCCGATGGATATCTTTGAAGTAATCATGGTTAGGCAGTACCACAGATAGCACCACCACCACCAATTTCTCGCTTTGATATAATCTGCTGGATCGAGGTCACTTCGGTGACGACCGGTTCCGTGCGTGACACCACTAAGGGAACTTGTGCAAAACAATAGGAATGTGACCTGAGGTCGTGGTCAGTAGACAGTATGAGTGCTGACAGACGAAAGACTTACAAGAGCAGCACACATTGTCCAATCATCCATACCAAAGTTCTTGACCATCCGCGTACGAACATAGATTCTTAGTCCAACTGCTATAACAGAAGAGACAAGCAGTGTGTAACACACTGCCTGAAGCTCAGGGCCTCTATTCGGAACACCCATGATTCTTGACTATACAAAGTCAAGCTTCAGATCCAAGCAACAGTCGCATACGGTAATAAGAAGAAGTAACTATTATAACAGAAAAGAAAAAAGAGAGACAGAGAGGATTGACGATAGACGAAGGAGGATCCAGGACGGGGGAGGAGCGGGCCGCCAGGCAACTGGAGTCGGTGGTCGCAGATATGTATATAATAATGGGAACCGAGAGACCGGTAGCTTTCGGTTAGGCCATGGTTCATGTTCCTATGAAACCAATATCTTGGATCAAAGTCTCCGCTGCGGGCCTTTGGACACGGGCGGAACCATGACAGATTATACCGAATGAGGTTATTGATCCTACAGGGGCTTTGGATCATCTCGTAGGGGACCCTGGGGATGCGACTTATTCTGATCGACTCCGTGAGGTACAGATACAGACTTGGGGAGCAACGCTATTCGCGAATTGGGCGTCCAAAATCCACAATGTTACCTCGCTTTTGGGTCTCATTCGAGGGGCAAAGCAAGCCGGAACCCCGGAACCCAGCTTATGACGAATACTAGAGCGATGTACTGTACACACGGAGCCGATCAGAAAGGGGATACAAGGGCTCTCGCCTCGGAGAGAAAAAGAGGAACAAGTAAGGCCCCAAGGACCGGGCACTGGCGTTAGTGCTGCATAGTCTTGATTGTGGTTGATAAAGTTTGCCTTGCAAGAGTAAATAATGTCTGTTCGCAGAATGTCTAGATCGTTCCGGTAAGGCAGACGAAGGTACTAAGCCAGGTTGAAAGTTGTACAAGCACCGTTTGTTCCCCATACCTGCCCAAGCAAAGTGGTCATGTCAGCCAAGTCTATGTCATGATAAAAGATTGAACCGAGGGACGGAACCTGACTGCCAAATGGGGAAAGCGAGCTACAATAGTGGCGCCGAGATAATCTCCACAACCACCACCTCAACATTTAATTTTTCTTCAACTCCCTTTCTTAGAAGGAATAAAGAACGCACCTCGGCTTGTGTGTTGTTTTTTAGGCGTCATTAAAGAACTTTCGCAACGCCACACGGCATTCTAGTCAATGTCACGTAAAAAGTTCTTGGTTCAGTTTTTATCAAATCAATCTCCAGAGATCTCAAAAGGTTCGAACCAACGCTAACACCATATGGTACAAGCAATTCCATGACTGGCCTAGATTATCAATCCCCCCGTCACTACTACATGCCGTGTCTACTAGTGTAGGGAGGGGAAGCCGGGAGTTGTGAAGTTTTGACGCTCAAGAAAGCGCCCGCAGTTAGCTTGAACAATTTCCAGTCCGTCAGTAACTACTACTGCTGTAGTGAAAGTCTTGGTGTGGGCTGTCAATGTCAACTAATCATACAATCAATGCCTTATGGCCTCCACCATAATATTATCAGGGACCCAAGTGCACAGACTGTTCCCAGGCACTGACTGTTTCCACCCGACATCGTATTTCCGCAGAGTTCCAGAATAAAATAACGGTTCGCCAAAGATGCGTGGCAACCAATTCCGCTCTTTGATACTCCATCTGTTATATAGCTGTATTATGCCCCCTCGACATTTCTCATCGGTGAACCCTTGGAATCACCAGCACGGATGCTCCGTACTGTATATGTCTATGTGTCAAGGGGTCACCCTGACCCCAGGCCCTGACAGCTCTTGATCGTTCTAAAATCGTGGCTGTGGATACCTGATTCTCAGACTTTTGCTTTTTTCTCCTGACTATGGCCGAACAAAGTGATGATCATCCGCCCCCTTGAAGATTCAGAGCCTCAGTTTTCCCATCCACTTTCCCCTTTTGCTATCGCGGCATGGCATCGGCAGTGGATAGTCGGCGATCATTGCTGTAGAGACAAACACTTGCATTCGAAGAAATGATTCCAATGCCATCTTCCATTTCGCTACAGATCAGCCCAACCTTGCCCTTGCAAGCAGCTACTTCACACACCGACAGACTTAGGCGACGACAAATTTGCAGCCGGTGTTTCAAACAGTGTGTGTCTTGTGGCTTGCAATTAGTACCCATCTGTAGTTTCTGTAGAGTTTCGCATCAGGTCAGATATCACGCAATGGCTGAAGCCTCTCTCCAGTCGGGAATTTCTCCACTTGTTGAAACACATTCTAGATCGACTGCCAGTCATCGCTTATAAACTTTGCAAGGGCGAGGCCACGTGTGACGTCGATCGATGGCTGCACGCGCGCACGAACAAGACGCCACTGTGCGCCCCAGGTTTAGGATGGCCAAGACCTGGGATTTTCAGGACACCTGCAGAAAAAGCAAAGAAAAAAATGAACTCTTACTAGGGGCCCTATGTTATGGGAAATTGGTGCTCTGTAAAGCGTATCTGAGCAATGGTATCCGGTCAAGACGGCTAAATGTGGTGGTTTAGCACGGTAGGTGGATTCTAGAACTTCGTAAGGTGTCGAACCAAGATAGATACAAAATAATGGGAACTGGCTCGACCTCACAGCAGGACAGATCGGCATGAATAATCTCTCACTTCTACTGCACCTCATCAGCACTGTAGTTGTGCTACAGCTATCTCACTACGGATCTATTAGCTTATCTATTTGCTCCGTTTAGCGCCTTCAAACCTGAGGATTAGACGGACAAGCCGGACCCGGAATAAGATTCCCTATTTCTTTGACCCACCTAGTTGTGATACAAACACCGTCAACGTCGCAACGCTCATGGTGGATCGTCCCACTGGGCTCAAGTTTTAGAGTACAAAAATAAACAGCCTTTAAGTCGGATCTAACATGACATGAAATAACCATATTATTTTGTCTCCCACATTTCCGGTGGCCATCTTTTGTAGTGCCTTGAGGCTATCCTTGTCAAGTCAGTCTGACAGCTGATGTGTCGAAATTATGGAAACTCAATCTCATCATTTATATGGAGTAAATTCAACATATTCCCGTCCAATCGCCATTTACAATAGTAAGTCTCGTACAACAGGTGACGCTGAAACGTTTATCTACCCAGCCAAACACATCGGTAAACTACAAAGTGGGCTGAGTGCACTTCACAACACGGATTTATTCGGGTAACATGGTTTCTCTTGGCTGATCATACATGACATGCGCGAGATGTCAGAGATTCCCGTTCTTGATTCAATCTTGCGTATTGTTGGTGTGTCAGCCATCTTGTTAGGCTACGCCAAGATAGCCACCCACTCAAGCGGATCGCATGAATATCACTTCTGATTAGTTAAGTGGTTGATAGAACTATCAAATCAGGTTTATTGATTATCTATCCATGGCGTACTGGCATCTTCGTCTGATCTTCTTCAAGCCCCTGTTCTTTTGCGAAATGCTCGTAACATATTCCTATGCAATGACTTCCTCAACAATGAGACAGAAGGTCTATGTGAGGCTCCCAAACAACCGTCCACCTGATATCAATTAAATGAATCGGTAAAATAATGTACGGGTAATTCTTGAAGTTGTCCGGGAACTGCAAGTCTTCCAGATGCAAGACAACTCCGACATCACCGCCTTCTTCCATCATCATCGTTGGAGTCCGGTGCCATTTATTGAGAAGAGATGCTTTACTGTATTGTAGAAATATAAAGTGGCAGCCACGATCATGTAGCTTCTTGAAAGACTTGGGCAAGTTTGAAATGAGAGCGGATTGTTTAAAGGCAATATACTTGTCGCCACCGACTACTCCATGGCTCTCGCTGTCTTGTGCGTCTTTCTGCCCAATGGTAAACCGTCGTCCACAACATGCCACAACCTGTCTGCCGACGGCAGAAGAATCGAAGATGAAAAGATCGCACGTATCGTAATCGGTGGATTTGAGAAGCTTTTTGAGGTTTTGCTTGATATCTCTGATTTTGGTCCTCTGCGAGTTCGGTAGCGGACTGTTGTAAAACCTGACGATGTAAGAGCCCATTTTGATACCTTTATCAAGGCTCTGCAGTCTATCCAAATGTTCTTCCAGACTCACAAGAGGAAGCTCCACCACAAGTTGGTTCCCTAACTCGTAGATGGCTTCACACCCGGGCCAGAGATTAGCAAGATAGAGTATAACCTCCTCTGATGGACACTTCCGGTAAAGCATCTGGTCAGCAAAATCGTCCTCAACTTCAATCGGATCGCCTTGCTCAAGGTTTACGACAAAAGGCATATCGCCGAAATTTGTGGCATCAGTCCAAATAGCAATAGCTCCAGCCACTGAGGATGGTCGCTTGTCTTCGTCTGGCGGACCGTCTTGGCATCTGATGACTAGGAAAAGTGATGATTCAATAACATCAGTCGCCTTGTAGTACTTCTGGAGAACCTCCATTAGAGCATTGTAGTGGTCATCGCTGACTTCTTTCCCTGCTGAAGCGTCAACGCTATCAGAGAAGTCGAACTCTTCGAACTCCAGGGATACATCCCAAGGCGACCGGTGTATCGGTGTGATAGTAGACATAGTTCTGATGGAGGAGCCCAAAACAGTGTTGGTGGCGAAGGGAAAAACAGAAGAGGATTGTCGATGCACTTTCGTTAGTGTAACAAAGATTAAGTTTTGTAAGATTCCTGGATTGTTGGCCAAAGGAAGAAGAAAGAACCTTTGTTATATATTCCAAGATGCTTGAGGTTTGGATCAAGTGATGTCTTGGGGTCAAACTGTATTCAATTTTGTTTGATGGTTCCACACGATTTCTAAAGTCTAATATCGACTTTTTCCCTCGCTCTGAAGCTTTAAGTTCCAAAACGTATTCAATTTTATCTTTATTAATTCAAATAGAGTTAAACATTTCTGATAGCATATATCGATTAGATTTTCCGCAAATTTTCTGCCAATAGGTCAGGACGGATTTCGCCAATGCATGTCTCAAAATATAACCTCTATTACGGAGAAAAAAGAAAAGAGAATGTCAGCGACAGACAGCGTACCCTGCACCTGGCAGCCAACAGCCTCGGATGAGACCCCCGCAATTGGTAATTTCCCAGAGGCGGGGGAATCGCGGGGGATGGTAAGAGCGACCCTTGAAAAACCATCCAAGAATGGGATGGTTCATCAGGTGACCAAGTAGGAAGGAGGTATAGTATGGTCACACTCACCCCCAAAATCTCGAATTTTGAGACCCAGGGCCAACTTTGGCTTTCATTTCTGGCTTTTGTCTCACTCGTAACATCCGTCCACCGCAACTAAGAGGCGCGCAGAGGTTGACCTGTACCGGAAATCAGATTCTGGGGAAGGAAACACGTCTACGGATACCTAGCCGAGGTCAACAACAGGTCACGGGCCAAGATGACTTCGTCGCCTCCGCGTCAGAAACGCCGCAAGGCTTCTTGCAAGGAGTTTCAGTGCACCCACGAAGGCTGTGGGAGGACTTATTCGCGTGCCGAACATCTTCAAAGGCACCAACTCAATCGTAAGCAAGACTCAACCAGGCTGGTTGCCATTGACTGACACGTTTCCAGACTCCCCCAAAGAGATCTACTACTGTGACTATCCTGACTGTTCATTTACATTTGTCAGGAAAGATCTCTACGCTCGCCACAAATTGAGACATGAGCGTCAAGTGGAACAGTATGGCAATGGCCGTCTATCTCAAAGGCCTCAAAAGGAGTTTTCAAAAATGCCCAGGCAACGAAGTGAACGATACTCCTTTAGTGAAGATGGCTCAGCTTGGAGTGACACCCAAGATGAAGGGAGAGAAGAATCAGAAAAGGGACGGCAGGTCTCAATGGTCCGGCAGTCCATGGATGCTTCCGGACTTGATTCTAACAACTCAAAGCAATTCGGAATCGATGGGGGCATGACGCGTCAAGATTCTGGTCAACGCGACGAAGTGGGTGGACCAAGCAGCTACTACGGAGACCAACGACAATTACAGAGTCGCGATTCATCCCCAGAAAAACAGGCCATGGGATCTGTACCGTTTCGGATTGATCAGATGCCGCCTGCTGATATGTCTATGCCCCTGACAAGTCCCGAATTGACCGGTCGTCCGGGACGGGCTCGAGCTCAGTCTTATGCTATGCCCAACGGAATACCAGCGTCAAACACGGAACATGTCAACATAGAAGAACAGCATTTCGGACTTTCCCCATCGAGTACGGATGAGTTTACCACTTGGCTATTTGCTGGTCAGGGGCTAGGTTCTAACTACAACTTTGTGCCCAGTACTTTTGGCATGGCAGGATACTCCAATAACTTTGGGCAATTGTGTACAGATTACACGCCTCAACCAGGCATGATGGGGAGTTCCTACGTCGAGCCTATCAACAGCCTATGGTTCCAGTCAGAACCATTGACCATGGAGACACCAGTAGTGGACTTATCGCAATTTGGGAAGAACAGTTTTTCAGAGCACAAACGACAAGCGCTAATCCACTATATGCTGCAGCGTTTCAACGAGATCAGCCTGCAAGGCAGCAGGTCGGCCGCGGATATCAAGGGTGAAATCTTTGGAAGTGACACTGATGCTGAGAGCCATGTTCTGAGTCATGTCAATGTTGAACGTTATCTCAACTCATATTGGGACAACTTTCACGATCAACTGCCTATTCTCCACCGTCCAACATTTATACCCGAAACTGCAAACGACTTTCTTCTGTTGGCTGTGCTTATTATGGGTGCTTCCATGGTTGATAAACACGGTGCATCACAAGATACTATGGAAAAAATTTCAAAGTTCACCACTTTTGTTTCTTGGAATCTGCGTTGGCAGGTTTTCATGCATGCCGACTCTCATCCACCCGCGAAGCTTTGGGTCATACAGACATTATTAATTCTCGAGGTGTATGAGAAGATGAACGCAAGCCGGGTTCTTCACGAGCGTGCTCATATCTACTTCCCTACAACACTGTCTCTCATGCGCAGAGGAAGTGCCCTGACAGGGAAGCAGTCCTCGTATGTGTCCAGAGTTCCAACCCCTCTGGGTAGCCCCAAAATGGGATCATCCAGAATGTTTCCTGGATCGAATCGGCCGGGCTTTAACTCGTCCCCTGAGAAATGGTGGGACCACTGGGTTGCGCAGGAAGCTACTCGACGAGCTGCTTTAGCTGCATTTATCATCGACGCTACGCATGCGGCTTTATTTGGACATACACCCACACTTGTGATTCACGAAATCAAACTGCCACTTCCTTGTGACAACACTCTGTGGTCCTCTGATTCGCCATCAGAGATTGGTTGTGTCGAGTCAAGTCTTCATGCCAACGGCGTCACGCCAATCACTTTCCTTGATGGTTTACAGCGAACACTCAATGGCCAAAGAGTGCGAACAAGCCCATTTGGAAGGATAGCACTTCTAGCTGCCCTTCTTTCTGTGACATGGCAGATGCATCAGAGAGATCTTGACCGCTCAACACTTGGGACCGACACCATACCTGGCGTCCAAGAACGTTGGCGGCCAAAATTGCTCAGAGCTTTTGATTGGTGGAAGAAGGACTACGATGATGGTGTTGCCCATGTCAAGCACGCTGCGTTTGATTGGCAGAGATTGGGATTGATTAACAGAGGAGGAAGCGACGATGGTGAAGCCATGGAAACGCAGGGCACAGTGCTCTACCATTTGGGTCATATCACAGTCTACATCAGCATGCCAGAACTTTGTATCTTTGCTGGTGTCCCGCAGATTCTTGGCAGAACTGTTTCTTCTGTGGATTGGAGGAGGACAGAAGCCAAGATCAAGGAGTGGGTGGCATCACCCGGAGCCATTGGTGGGGTTTATCACGCCTTACAGCTCATCCGGCTTATTCTTCTCCAAGAGGAACCGAAAAGAGGAGGCATGGCTAACGAAGCCAACGGGCTGCCATCGGCTTGGTTTCCTTCCACTTATCCAAAATACGATGCTGGAAGTGATAAACTGCTGGTCAGACCTTGGGCTCTGTATTATGCATCTCTGGTATTATGGGCATACGGATTCGTACAAGATGGAAATATCGACCCATTCCCAGACCATCTGCAATATCCTACCAGTAACATCGGAATTCCAACAATAACCACAGACTCAAGTGTTCCTCCAACCTCCAACCAAGGGGCAACCAGTACTCCTCAAGGATCTCAAGCCGAGAAGACCCCTATGTCATCCAACATGGACTACGAAACATTAAAGCGCGACCGTCACGAAGATCTCCGAACATATCTGCAAATCATGATTCCTCCCACGATCGATTCCATCAAAGCTTTCCACCTGCACCAAAATCAAGCTGGCGTGGTAGGAAACAGAAACAAGATCATTGGTTTGTTAAGTGTTGTTGACGATGCTCTGACGAATACAAAATGGGAGCTTCTGTCTGAGGCAAGAAATAGACTGAAAATGGCGGCGTCGATGATGCAACGACCTATGATGTAAGGTTGCACATTTAAGGAGTAATATCTAAAAATTAATTATACTTGATGAGCTTGGGATACCTTTGTTTATATATGTTCGTTGATAACAGAATTTCGTCACGCGATATTACGTGTCAGAAGGCACCCACAAACTGATGATACGAAAGAACGTGACAGTGTCTTATACTAGAGGCGACCCAGATGTTTCCCAAGAATACATAGTCTCTAGTACCGGGCATTTCCTTACGTTTGGCAGTCTACGCCAAGACCGAGGCGAACAAGCATGTTGCAACTGGGATGGAAATGGTTTGTGCTTCATTGTTAAGCTCAGTCCGGTCCATACCGAAAGTCGTGGACCAAGCTAACGGCAGTGCCAGCCGTTAACCGAACAAAGTCTTAAAAAGAGGCAGAGCAGGATGCAAGCATGAAACACGTCTGGAGACTACTGCATGCTACTGCATATTGTTAGTTCACCTGATGCCTTAACCCCTAGGATCATGGCGAGTCAGACATGGCTCAATGGCTGTCTCTGTAGCTTTGGTACCGCAGTCTCGGGTCAAGGTCGACCGAACGGCGTTTAACTCAGAGTTCTCAGTTGCACCATCCAATAATCTGTTGTTTTGCTCGGACTGCATTAGGACGAAATTAGCCTGAGTTGGTCAACGCCGCATCCGTGCATCGTTGAATGGGGGTCAGTCGTGGCTGTCAACTCCATATGCAACCCTACTAATTCGATCAAATGGAGTGACAGGGTTTGCAGCAAAAAACAGGCTTTGAAGTCTGACCCGGGCGAAAGCAGTGCAAGTGAGGAGAAGCGCGAGAGAGTGTAGGCCGCAGCGACAAGCCGAGAATTTCGCCTAGAAGGAGGGCGCTCAGAACGAAGAAAATGGCATTGGGTGCCCCCAATGTCTCGAGTGTGGGAAGGGTTACTTCTCCAAGATAAGCATGGTAATCGTGGTAGCTTATGTGAAGGCATATAGCTCCAAGCTTGAGACAAGATGATCACTGTACAGATGTGAATGGGTGCAGTTGCATTGGGAATTTATTCACGAATCATCGTTACAGGTGTCATGGGGTGACATTCAAGGGGCCCTGGTTCCTGGGCATCAACTCTGATCATGATCGGAGTGGAGAGAAGTTGAGGATCATTAGTTGTCCGATTTGGATGACAACAGATGACAATTACATTTACCCGGAGGTTGGAAATAAGCAGCATGTGATGGTCTGGTCCAAAAAGTATCTCTCACTAAGAGAATGTGCTCGAATCTTGCAAGCGATATGGAGAAAGGCCAGTGATCGGCACCGTTAGGTTCATCCCCCAGAAAATACCCCAGACTCTCCTCAACAGTACAGTCTGGGGAGGGCAAGGATGGCTCTGAGTGGTCAGATGGTTGCTTCAGCATTACCCGGACCATTGACGATCGACGTGATGCATCCTTCGAAAACGCCAGAGAAATCACCCCGCAGAATATTCCACCAATGGTTGGAGATGGCTTCAGAATTGACTAACACGACGGGCCGTCGATCCTATTTCTTGCAGAACGCTAGACGATTTGAACGGAATCGCGGGCTTCGAGCTTGACGATGCATGAGGAGAAGTGATTGCCATCCTTGCCTGTACTCAATTGAGGCGAGATATAACTATTCACCATGTCCAACCCACAGTGACTCTGCCATTCTCACTTCTGTAAAGTAGTTCGCTGCTTTGAAGCTGTAGAGTGAATCAACCATGGCTACTTCAAAGCAGACCGGAGAGATCAACCCTCACATCGAGAGCACCGATGCTGGTCTCGATCATCTGAAGAATGTCGACCTTCACGATAAAGCCCTCGCTAATGAAGCTCTCGAAGCCACTGCCGACGAGCACAGTTATGGCGTCGTGCAGGGTTTCAAGACTTACAAGGCCGCTGCTTTTTGGTCAATCGGTGAGTTTCCTTTCTCTCGACAGTTGAACGTAGTTGACAGTGTCAAGTCATCTCGACGACCGTCATCATGGAGGGCTACGATGTCACCCTTCTAGGATCCTTCTACGGATACCCAACATTCAGAGAAAAGTACGGCGTCTGGCTCGACGAGAAAAACGGACATCAGATCTCGGCCAATTGGCAGCAGCGTTTCAACTGTCTCGGTGCTCTAGCCAACATTATCGGTGCCATGCTCAACGGGTGGGCGACGTCTCGATGGGGGCATCGCGTCGTCCTCATTAGCGGTCTCTTTTGGCTGACCGCCTTTATCTTTGTCGTCTTTTTCGCACCAAACATCGAGGTCCTACTCGTCGGTCAGTTCCTCTGCAACATCCCTTGGGGTATCTTTGCTACGACCGGTCCCGCCTACGCCGCTGAGGTGACGCCCTTGGCCATTCGAGGATACCTCACTGCCTATGTCAACCTGTGCTGGTGCATCGGACAGTTTATCTCAGCTGGTGTGCTCAAGGGTCTCGTTAGCAACCCTACCCCGTGGTCATACAAGATTCCCTTTGCGATCCAGTGGGTTTGGCCTATCCCACTTGCCATTGCAGCATACCTCGCCCCCGAGTCGCCTTGGTACCTTGTCCGTACGAACCAGCTTGAGAAAGCAAAGGTTTCCCTCGAGAGACTGTCTAACCCGGAGCACAACATCAACTACGACAATGCCGTTGCCTTGATGGTCCACACTAATAAGCTGGAGATTGAAGAGCGATCGGGAACATCGTACTGGGACTGTTTCCGAGGCAGTAACCTTCGACGTACCGAGATCGCCTGCATGGGATTCCTATCTCAAATCACAAACGGTGGTGCTCTCTGCTACAGCGGATCTTTCTTCTTCCAGCAAACTGGTATCAGCCCTGAGACATCGTACGGCATTGCCCTCGGCGGAACTGGCATTGCCTTCATGGGTACCATCATCTCGTGGTTCTACATCTACAAATTCGGTCGACGAACCATCTGGCTCACTGGCTTCTCATGTCTCGTGGCCATCCTCTGGACGATTGGTTTCCTTGCTTTGCCTAAACAGAACCAGCCCTTAGCCTGGGCGCAGTCCATCCTGTGTGTGGTGTGGCTAGGAGCATACTCCATGACAGTCGGGCCCATTATCTACACCATCGTCGCTGAGATTGGTTCGACTCGTCTGCGAACTCAGACGATTGTGCTGGCGCGTTCGACCTACTACGTTGGAAACATTATTTGTGGAGGATTAATCCAACCTGAGATGTTGGCGCCCGGTTCTTGGAACCTCAAGGGTAAAACTGTGAGTCTTGATGAACTCAATAGGGTACCGATTGCATACTAACAAAAAATGTAGGCTTTCTTCTGGGCTGGCTTGGCCACTTTGACCCTGATCTGGGGTTATTTCCGTATGTTTGAGACAAAGGACCGCACTTTTGGTGAGATGGACTACATGGTAAGTCGCGCTTTGTTTGTCATAACAACAAAGAAAGTCAAGCTGACAAAGTTGAACAGTTCCAAAAAGGTGTCTCAGCACGCAAGTCTGCCAAGTACCAGATCAACGAGGACGAGTTCTTCATGGCTCATGACAGGCCTGAGGCAGAAAAGCAACAGGGTTAGGTTTAGATTGGGAGGCCTGACAGATGGAATTGTGCTGTTAGTTTATGACATGACATAATTTTCGATACCATCAATGCTCGAGTACCAATTTTGTTTTCGTATTTTTATGTCGATCGTTTTTCGTTTGTTGTGTTGAAACAATACTAAATTATCTAGCGAACAACAGAAGTCATAGCGGAGTGTCGTCGTGAGACGTTGGACCCTCGGTCAGCGCTTAAATTATGTCAGTGAAAGAGTTGCCGATTCAGGGTCTACTCTGGTACGGACAGCGCGCGCTTATGCTGATCTTCCAGCGAAGATTTCTCAAGTGAAATGCATCTTTTTCTTTCTGTTTGGAGGTTAAATAAGGTCTAGTCCATCAATTCAGCATCATCTGTAGTGAAAGACAGCTTCTACTTATCTCATAACTTCCCTACGTACTGCGATACGGTACGTCTATAACAGGGTCATTGACTACCATTCACATATCGCAACATGCTTTGTACATTCTTTCATCTCCAAAAAACAACCATCCAACACTTTTGTTATGACTTCACATCTTTGTTCATATTCAAGCCACTTTCAATAACGGATCGAGCGGCCTCTTAACCGTGCCAGCCAAGGGCTGCTATACCCACTTCAAGGGGGAAAACGAGACGGCCCAGTCGCATCTAATTTAGCGCCTTTTGCCCCAGGGCTGTCAAGGGTTGCCAAGGAATTCTCCGGCCTCAGCGAAGAATTGCTTCTTACGTAGTGTTTTATGTAGAGAAACGAGCTGAAGGAGAGCGTCATAGCATAGGGCTTGAGAGAGAGAAAATATTGGGGAAGTATTAATTACGGGGTATCCTTAAATACCCTTATTTGATGTCTACACAAAAAGCCAAAGCAATTCGAATGTCTTTGTTCTTGGCTTCGTATTACAGAGATTGGTCCAAGGAATTAATCCCAGCACCAGATCCTGGTTGTCAATATGCATTTGATTTATTCAGCTTGTTTAGCTTTCATCTGTTCTTCAGTGATTGGCGTGTTTGGGCACCGATAAGTGTTCCTTGCATAAACTGCCGCCACCCGTGTCAAAGACGCACCATTGAACTCAGTTTAGAGAACTCAGTTTGAGAGACAACTTCAAGACAAATGTTATGTCGTATCAAATCTAAGAGTACGAGAATACATTGTAGGGATATGTACGAATGTCAGGTATTCGCATTACTCATGAATACGTGGTGAGCCATCATTCATCTCTTGATTCTTTATCGACGATCATACCGCAAGATTACTAGCCGGGTATGAGACAGGAGAAGGTGCAGACCACAACCAATCACCGCCTGTACCCAAGACATTACATGCTATTCTTAGCGGTTTAACCATAACTTAGTGGACCAGCGTCGTAAGCATTCCCCTGAAAAACCAGGCACTTAGTGCTTGTCCGGCACGTGACGGCTCCACGTCCGCTGCAACCGAGCCGCCCCTACCTAATCTCAGCGCGTTCCGAAACCAAAAACAAAAGACGGTCTTTTCTCATTCTTCATCCAGACATTTCCTCTCTTTCCGTCCATCTATCTCTCTTTTTTTTTTGGGTAGACTTTTTTCCATTATTTCCTCGTCACTCTCTTTTGCCTCAACGGCTTTTATATCCAAACTTAACTCACACTCCTTTTTTGAATAGACTTTATAACAGTCTAACGTGGTGTGACCGTGCTCAACGTTGTACCGAATAAAAAGTATCACCACAAATCGATCGATAATCAACTCAATCAGTCAACATGAAGGTTTCATCCGCTGCCGTTGCTGCTGGTGCCCTCGCCATGGGCGTTGAGGCCAAGAACTACCTTGGTTTCAACTCTGGTGCTACTCTCGCCAACCGAGAGGCTAAGTTCAAGGCCGACTTCCAGGCCGAGTTCGAGACTGCCCAGAACCTCAAGACCTCCCCCGGTGACTTCAACGCCGTCCGTCTCTACACCAACATCCAGGCCTACTCCGAGGATGACCCTATCGAGGCTTTCGAGGCTGCCATCGACACCAAGACTCAGATCCTCCTCGGTGTCTGGACCTCTGGTACTGACTCTATCGACAAGGAGATCAGCGCCCTCAAGAAGGCTGTCGCTAAGTACGGCTCTGACCTGACCGACCTCATCATTGGTGTTTCCGTCGGTAGCGAGGATCTTTACCGTAACTCTGTTACCGGTGTCAAGAACAAGGGTGGTGTCGGTGTCCAGCCCGATGCTCTCGTTGACTTCATCGACGACTTCCGCTCTGCCTTTAAGGGTACTCCCATCGCCAAGGTTCCCCTCGGCCACGTCGACACCTGGGATGTCTGGGGTAACGCCACCAACAAGCCCGTCCTCGATGCCATTGACTTCATTGGAGTCGATGAGTACCCCTACTACGAGAACGACAAGGGCAACAGCATCGACAATGCTGCTAAGCTCTTCAACAAGGCTTTCGATGCCACCGTCGCCGCTTCTGCCGGTAAGCCCGTCTGGGTCACCGAGACCGGATGGCCCTACAAGGGTCCTGACTGGGATGAGGCTGTTCCTAGCGTGAAGAACGCTCAGAAGTACTGGCAGGACGTTGGCTGCAAGAGCCTCTTCAACAAGGTCCCCACCTTCTGGTACAACCTCCGTGACTCCAACCCCGACAACAAGATGAAGTTCGCCATTACCGAGAACCTCTCCACCACCCCCCTCTTCGACCTCTCTTGCGACAAGATTGACGATGAGGAGACCTCCAGCTCCGCCGAGTCCAAGACCAAGACCTCCACTGGTGCTTCCAAGGCTACCGGCGATGCTCACTCTACCGGTACCTTCGTCACTGCTACTGCTTCCGCCACCGGTACCGGCTCTGACAGCGAGGACTCCACTGCTACCGGTACTGGCTCTCAGTCTAAGCCCACCTCTGGCTCTGGCTCCGGCTCCAGCTCTGGTGACGATGACTCTGAGTCTGGCTCCTCCGGCTCTGGATCTTCTGGCTCTTCCGAGTCTGGCTCCTCCGGCTCTGGATCTTCTGGCTCCGGTTCCGCCACCGAGTCTGGTTCTTCTGGTTCTGGATCTGGCACCGAGGCTGGCTCCAGCTCTGAGACTGACGCTGCTGCCGAGACCCCCAGCACTGTCAACGGTGCTGCTGGTTTGACCATCTCTGCTGCCGCTATTGCCTTCTTTGCCATGCTTGCTCTGTAAATGTCCTAAATGGATCTGGGTTGAATGACGCCCATTAGCGTGTCTTTTTTACTTATTTCTCGCACCCGAGATCTGTTTCTTGTAATATTTTATGGATAGATTACGGATAGACAAATGTTGGCTATTTTTTACAATATTGCGTGTCAAAAAATTGTGATTGAAATATCACTACATATACGTGAGACATGTACGTGAAACTCTCAAGAACGAAGAGTCGACTTATAAGTGAAACCAAGGCTTGACCGTTGCACCTGAGCTAACTTTCTTCCCGCCTCAACGACCAAAGCCACAACCTTTTTCACCAACTCAATTCGGTACAAGACAATAAAGTAGCAACATCAGAACAAAAAAGAATCAAGCCACTAGGATCAAAAGATGAACCCAGCAAAAGAAAGGGTCTGGCCGGGGATTGAACCCGGGACCTCTCGCAAGCAATGCTATAGGGTTTTCCCTAAGCGAGAATCATACCACTAGACCACCAGACCGAGCATGAGACTGTTAAATGAATCACGTGATTTTTTGATGCTGAGAATAGTCGAGATTGCAATTTATGTCGCCAGTTCTTGGTGTTGACAGCCTCTAGGGTGGGACACATGCTTTGTTGACCTCGTTCGACAAGCGATTAATTAAAGTGTGATGGTAGCAGGTATGAACTGTATACATACATGATCTTTGTTCATCTCGACTTTTCTTGAGCCTGGAATTCTAAGGGTATACACAGTTAATGCGGCGTTGGCTCCCTCGTATCTCAAGTTCTTAACATCAATGTTAGCTCGATCGAACTGGGCGGAGCATTTTCCCTAGTCAAGGATGGAAACAAGTACCGGCAGAGCGGATTGACGAATAAGCAACTTCCGACATGAATATCTTCCTCCGGTCATTTCCTCTTCTGCTGACTGACGGAATTAATGATACGCGAACCTGATTTATGTCGATCAATTTGGTGTTTGGGGGCTGTAAATGCAAAAGGATGTTTTCTCTCGACGATCATTGTCGTTCAAAGCTTCCATGTTTCATATCATGATTAATATGACGCAATCCCGAATCCTCATGATAGATTACAACTCATTAAAGGCCACTCATTAAGAGTTCTGGGTATCTTTTGATGTTAATCAGCCTTACAGACGCCGTCGCTCGACTGCGCCTTGTTTGTGGGTTTCTTTCTTCAGCCTCAAGCCATCTGTCCACCCATTAGACACATGTTCTCAGCTCCCGCCGCCATGAGGGGTCCTGAAGTTGTTGAGAAAGTTACATGTGACGTTTGTACCACAAGGGTCTCCCCTCTATTTGCTGACAGTAAACCTGTATAAATACCACAAACCCATCATCCATAACATCACCAAACAAGACTTATTATCCTCTATACCATTTTATTAAACCGTTTATTTTTGATCCTACAAGAAAACAATCATGGCTGCCGTTCAACTCCAAACCGCCCCTCACCAGGTCGGCGTCTTCAAGAACCTCATAGCCGCCCAAACTGAGACGCTCGTTCTCAAAGAAAAAGTCATGTCCCTTACCGGCGATAGCTTCGACATTAAGCTCGCCAACGGCCAACCCATTCTCAAGGTCGAGGGTAAAGTCATGAGCGTTTCCGGCCGCAAAAAGGTCTTTGACATGCAGGGCAACCACCTCTTTTCCATCGTCAAGGAGCTCATGCACATCCACGCTACCTATGCCGTGGAGGACCCTCAGGGTGTCAAGATCATGGAAGTCAAGAATAGCTTCAAGCGTGAGTTTTATCCTTCTTACCATTGTAAGGAACCGCATTCTGACTGTCTATTTAGTCATGGGCTCCAAGGCCACTGCTACCTTCACCTCCAGCGACGGCACCGCAGAGGTTCTGGAGATGAAGGGCAATTGGTTCGATTACGCAGCTGATATCTTTGACAAGTCTACAAATACTGTAGTCGCGCGCATCGACCGCAAGATCCTCAGCGGTCGTGACATGATCTTTGGTCAGCAGACCTACGCTCTAATGGTCGCGCCCGGTGTCGACATGGCGCTCATGGCGGCGCTGTGTATCTGCATGGATGAGAAGAACAACGAGAAATAAGATCGATGTCCTGATGAGAGTACGTGTGTGATAGATACCCCGGGAGTGACGACGCGCGGAACGACGCTGGAAAGTTGAGGTTTGCTTTGAATGGCCAAGGAAGCGATGGCCTTGTTGACATGTATAATTGCCCTATTAATTGAGAAACAAGAATGAATTGCAATCAAAAAATGTTGATGATCAAAGCGAGCGTAGAGATAAGCGTGAAACTGACGACAGGTTCGGCCAGTGTGAATACTTCGTCTTTTGCAATGTTACATACACGGTACTATAGAAGGGAAAGAGACCCTTAGGGGAGTCATATTCTTTTCACGAGCCAAAGACATGTATTTCGTATCAAGAATTTTCATCGATCATCAATTGCAAATTTATTACCAGTTTATAAAGTTCGGTTTTTGCATATAACCCAATGTGAAACCTTGCGAACAACAACCACGGCAGCATCTTTTACTGCATAACCAAGACATTTCTGAATCGAGGCTTTCCAGCTTTCAGGCTGTCGACTGCATCCTGGACCTTATCCAATGGGTATTTCTCAATCATGCACTTGACTCCATGCGTCAAAGAGAAGCGTAGTGCCTCCTCGGAGTCGAGAGCATGACCGCTAGGCCAACCAACAACACTGGCACCCTTCAGCACTAAAGCCAGAGTATCAATCTCTGCAGCACCGACGGGTGCAAGGTTAAGCAACTTGCCCTCGGGGGCGAGACCTTGGACGAGAGGAGTTATGGCTTTGGGGTTGGGTGCTGTCTGGACGATAATTGAAGCACCTCCAAGCTTGTTCAGTTCCTCGCCAACGTCGTGCGTCTTGGTGTTGATGTAGTGGTGAGCGCCGAGCTTCTTTGCGAAGTCTTCCTTGTCGTCGGTTGTGGAAAGAACAACGACTTCGTAGCCCATCTTGTAGGCGTATTGAACTGCGAGATGGCCTAAACCACCGAGACCCTGAACTGCGACGATGCGACCCTGCTCAACATGCATCTTGCGAATACCGTTAAAGACAGTGACACCGGCGCAAAGAAGAGGAGCAGCGTCGGCGGGCTCAATCTCCTTGGGTACACGCACAACAGCCTCAGAGCGGAGGAGGACATACTCGGCGAATCCACCATCGCGGCTCACACCATTGACCTCCTTGTGGTCGCAAATTTGGAACTGAGCTCGTTGACACTGTCGGCAAGTTCGATCGTGTCCACCGTGCCAAGGTCCACCAACGCGGTCGCCATTCTTGAAGTTGGAAACATCTTCGCCGACTTCAACGACATCACCAATGATTTCATGGCCGGGGACACGGGGGAAGACGTCGCCCATGTGGCCTTCGCTCGTAGCTACGTCTGAGAAACAGACACCACAAGCGAGGACCTTGACGAGGACTTGGCCCTTTGAGGGATGCTTGAGGGGGACATCTTTGAGTGTAAAGGGAGCATTGGCTTTCTCGATAACACAAGCCTTGTATGTTTGGGGAAGAGAAGACATGATTGATAGGGTATTTACTGAAGTTGGGACTCAATTGGTGTTTATGGATGAGAGTGTACTATTGAGAAGTGTGATGAGATAGATATACACATCTCTCAGCTAGGAGGACGATAACTTATATATAATAGAACCACGCATGCAGCAGCGGAGCTCCGGATGCGATGGCTAACATAGTTGACGCTATCAATGAAACATCACCAAAGTCTTTCCCCTCATGAGATGCTCAATTCGGTCATGGTGCTACCATAGAACACATTGATAACAAAACAATTGCACATTAAGCAGCGGAATAAACTCTAGTGCCGCCTAATTCCGCGCGTCATTGGGCAGCGCACGGGTTTATGGGGTTGAGTATTACATCACCATCTCCGACGGGACGAGAGGCCTGCGTTAGTTAGTTTCGTGTAGTATTGGGATATCAGATCTCCATAGACACTATTCCGTAGATGGTTGTCGGAGATGAAAACAGTAAATGTTCCAAAACCGATGGTTCTTGATTGGTTTAGATGGTTAATCCGAGTTCTGAGATGATCCGAGATAAGCGCCACGATAGCTGCAGCCACACCTTGAACGCCACAGTCTTCCATAGAAAATTTCCCCCACCATGAGCAGCATTTGGTGATGCGCAACGCTGCTATTGTAGCTTAACCCATACATGCAAACAAACCTAACGAAAGATGCCTCTCGATACCTCAACATATGAATTAGCGCTTCTGCGCGTCGACGGGCGAAGATGGAATGAACTCCGCCGTCTTCACGCCCAGATTAGGACCCAAGATGCCGCCGACGGTTCATCATATCTCGAAATGGGCCATACAAAAGTCATGTGCGTCGTGACAGGCCCTTCTGAACAGCAGCAGCAACGACGCGGCGGTCAACAAGGATCTCGCGACATGGCGGCGATCAATGTCAATGTGGTGATCGCAGGATTCTCAAGCGTGGATCGCAAGAAGCGAGGGCGCAATGATAAGTGAGTTTTTCCTTGCCCATCACGATTGCTTTGGACTAACTTTTGCAGGCGCATCCAGGAGATCGAAACTACAATTGCCAATGCACTCGCTTCGAACCTACACACGCATTTGTTTCCCAACTCATCGATCTCAATCTCACTTCACGTTCTTTCACAAGATGGATCGCTACTCGCTGCTCTACTCAATGCTACAACACTGGCGCTTATCGATGCTGGTATTCCTATGTCGGACTACATTGCTGCCTGTACGGCGGGCTCGACCTCTACATACGCTGCTGGGGACGACACGGCCGACCCCCTACTCGACTTGAACACCCAAGAGGAGCAAGAACTTCCGTTCCTCACCGTCGCGACGCATGGCGCTACCGACCGAGTAGCAGTCTTGGTATGCGAGAGTCGTGTGCAAGTCAGCAGGTTGGAGGGTATGTTAGTAGTAGGTGTGGATGGATGTAAACAGGTCAAGCAGTACTTAGATCAAGTGGTGAAAGACAAGGGTGCTGAAATGGTCCAGGAGGGCGCCGTTGAAAGGAGTGACGCGATGATGGATTTGGACGAATAGTATTGATACCAAGGGTTTTTGCATCGGGACAGAAAAATTAAGTTTGGAGTTCTTTGTTTGATCCGTAGTTTTAAGCTACAGGTATGTCTCCAGCGCTAGAATAATATCATAGTGTAACAGGCTAATTGTAAGATTTCGAAGTTGAACCGTGTGGTATTTACAGCTCCTCGTGCTTGATCTCGTGCTTGGTCTTGGGCTCGGCTTCGGACTCGGCGACAGGCTGGGCCTCAGGCTCGGCAGTGTCTTCAGCGTGCTTAGTCTCAGTCTGAGTCTCGTACTCAATTTCGGTCTCAATGACGGTTTGGGTCTCCTGTCCGTCGGCGCCAGTGACAGTCTCGTACTCGGTCTCAATCTCAGTCTCGATAACGGTCTTGACATCGTCGGGACCATCAGTCTCGATCTCAGGCTCGGGGTCAGTGGCCTGGGTGGATCCAGCCTTCTTCTCGACGACAACACCCTCGGGGAGCTTCTTCTTGGCACCCTCGCCCATGCGGATCGCGTCAATCCAGCTCTCGACGTTTGAGAGGCTAAAGTCACCTTCGTACTGGCGCCACCAGTTACGGCGGGTGTTGATAGCAATCAGGTTGACCTTGTCGTTGAGTCCAAGAGCCTTGGGGAGAGTGGAAGCGGCGTCGCTGTCGCTGGGGATGGCGATGAAGGGGAAAGTGTTACGGCCTCCGTGGACGTACTTGGTGTTGAGGTGGGAGAGCGACTCAACAGCCTTCTCGCCAGCTTCGCCAGGAGTGAAGAGGAGGACACAGGTGTGAGACTTCGGGGCGAGGCACTCCTCGGTGAGCTTCTCTAAGCTCTTGATAGTAGCGATAGGAACAATGGAAGGGACAGGCTCGGCAGTAGGCTCCTTTGATTCGGCGGTAGGTTCCTTGGCCGCTTCAGTGGACTTGTCCTTCTTAGCGCTCTTGGTGTCGTCCTTTTTGGCCTTGGTGCTCTTGGTGCTCTTGGTGTTGCCAGTAGCGTGAATAGGGTTAGGCTGTCCAGCTTGAGTGAGGAACTTGACCATGCCCTTCTTGGCCATCTCACCGTCATAGACAATAGGGTCCTTGCCTTCACCAGGGATCAGAACGAGAGCGGGGAACTTCTCAATGCCAAACCTCTTAACAGCACCCGCTTCCTTATCACGGATCTGACCCACAGAGATGACATCGAGGAAGTCAATGGCTATGCTTCGAATGAGCGCACTAGTAGTTCCCTTTTGAGTGAACAGGACAGCCTTGGGCTTGTCACCCTTAAGGAAAGAGTCCAGGTCCTTGTCACTCACACGTGTAACGTGGTTGTTGATCTTGCTCAGGACAGCCTCCTGGATAGCACCAGCAGTTCGCTGGCCCTGGTAATCCTCAACGATGGGCTTACCAGACTTCTTGCCAGGGCGGACAATCTTGAGAGTGGGAAAGCCCTGGACGCCCATGGAGCCACAGAGCTGCTTGTTGGCGTCATCATCACAGTCAATTGCAGCAACTTGAGCAAGGCCATCGAGGTTTTTGGCAGCTTTCTCATAAGCGGGCTTGAGATTCTGACAGTGACCACACCAAGGAGCGTAAAACTCGACAATCTAGAAGGTGTAAGCAGAGAGTCACAGATGCGGGTAGGGATGACTTACAGAGGTGTAGTTGGACTTTGCAATGATCTTATCATAGTTGCGAGCGTTTAGCTGAAGAACAGGAGAGTTCTTGGTGTAAATAGCAGCTTGAGCCTCGGGCAGAGCCGCCAGGGCTGCTGTCAAAGTTACCAGCAGAGAAGTGGGGTTATGCATTGTAAAGGTTAATGCAAGGTTGGCGATGTAGTAGAGAGAAGAATGAGAAAGTGTTGCTCTTGGACTGATCAGTCTTGAAGTTGAGTCTTATTTACTGGGCTCAATGACAAGAAATCAGAGTCACTTGGTGTCGTCGTCAAGAACAAAGTGGCATCTTCGGAGAAAAAGCCACGGTGATCAGACAAGGGAAAGTGAAGCTGGGTCCTTTGATTCGACGGTTCCAGATTCAGCTTGTGCCACAAGTGGCGTGAGCTGACCGAATCCGGGGAAATATGTGGCTATGCAAGCGAACCACTAAAACCGTTACGTCAACGCGAAGGCAGAAGCCCCAGGGTACCAGAAAAACTGACCGCTGCAAGTTTAACAGACGAAATTAGTGGACCACTTTATGCCTTTTAGATGATCACTCTTAGACTGCTTATTTTTATATACTAAGAATTAAAATGCTATTTTTTCTGTTACCCACTAGAGAAGTCAAGAGAATGAGGAGATCGAGATGAAGGTGGGGTAAGGATCTCCAAAACAACTTGGAGTTGACATTCAACTTGCGTCATTCCAGTTTAGTGCCCGACTTTTAAAGAATTATCCCTCGTTTCGAATCTGAGCCATTTCCGAGAAACTGTCAAACCTGTCAAACCCGTCAAAATACCGCACATTATGGCCGAGCCACTACCAGCCGGGCTCAAAATCCCCGAAGTGAGCCGCTTCATCAACCGCGCGAACCAGCTCAGAACCATCAAACCGGCCCTCGCATATTGGTGTAGGCAACCACCCAACCACATAATCACGACATAGTCTATACAGTTGCTAAAACCTTTGACTGCAGGCGAATACCATGCTGTCAACCAGATCGTAGGCAAGGGCCTACACAACTCAGACGACGAAGCTTTTGAGTTCACAAAGACCCTGATCGAGCGCCTCGAGACAACAAAGACGGAGCGCGCTGACGATGAAGCGATTATCGACAATGCTACTGGACAAGCCTACGTTGAGCAGTTCGCCCAGCAGACGTTTGATCGCGCCGAGCGTGCCCTGCGAGCTGATAAAGTGACGAGGTACGTCATGGTGTCGATACCATGCCCAAACATGCGAAATTGACATATTCTAGACAAACCGCCGACACATTCGATGCTGCTGCAACCTTCTTCGATCTTACCCGCGAATGGGGCGAGCCTGATCCCGAGGTTGTGAAGAAGATCAAGTTCGCAAAGTGGAACGCTGCTCGAATTCTCAAGGCAATTCGCGAGGGCAAAGACCCCAATGAAACAAATCCTAGAGCGCCAGAGCCCGAACCCAGTGTTGGCTTGGACCCATCTGACCCCGAGGTTCAACTCTTGACGGGAGGTCAGAGAGCTACAGTAGAGGATGCACCAGACGGTGGAGAGTCGCCCAAAGTTGTCACACCTATAGAGGCGCCATCAAAAGACCCAGCTGACCCTAGTTATTTCCCACCCCAAGCTGAACCGGAGGGGCAGGCACCAGAGCCTTTTGTCCCGTCACCCATGAGCACAAGCTCTACCCCGGGTGGTGAACTTGGTCGTCCACCAGTCGGTCCACCACCTGATGTTTCTCCCGCAGCAGAGTCTCCAGCACAGCCAGCAACACAGCCTTCAACTGATGCCCCCTCATCCACGGAGATATCCGACCACCACGATGCTCTTGCAAGACCTATGATGCCTCATCTCAATTCGTCACACCCCGGAAAGCCCCCAGGCATGGAATCACCAGCACCACTTTCTGCTGCTGCGGCTGCCAGACCATTCCTACCTCACCTTGCTACATCACACCCTAAGGCACCAGTTGTTGAAACACCATCTCCCATTGAAGCTGCTGCAAACGCAAGACCCTTTTTGCCTCACCTCACTTCTTCAGCCATTGGAAATGGACCAGTCCCTCCAAGGGGACCCCCTCCATCCAGTGTCAACCCTTCATATCCTGGCAAGGCACCAATTGATCATTCGAATCCTCTAAATGCCGCAGCAGCCGCAAGGCCATGGCTGCCCCATCTTGCTTCCGCTCCTCCTGGAAAGGGATCGGTTTCCGAACCCCAAGGACCTCCCGCTGTCGAGCCCATCAGACCGATGATGCCACATCTTGCCTCTTCACACCCTGGAAAGTCCCCGGCTCCTTCACCTCCATCAATGACCCCCACATCTGCACCTGCTCCAGAAAAGTACTCGACAGACCAGAAAGACATCAACCAGGCTCAGAAGCACGCCAAGTGGGCGATATCGGCGTTGAACTTTGAGGATGTACCTACTGCAGTCAAAGAACTGCGGAACGCGCTCGCGATGCTTGGGGCTCAGTAACTTGTTTTGACTTCACGAAGCATAGAGATGGACAATACCACGGGTTGGGATAGCATTGAACTTGATATAGTTTCACTGCATGGATATAGCTAGATTATAGTAGCCATATACTGCATTATTGTATATAAAAGAAAACGTGCTCGTCGTAAAATTCATCAGAACCAAGAAAAATAAGCTCAGGCTGTACAACACTAGGCCAAAGCCAATAGACCATGCGCTTCATATCCAGGGTGGGGGAATCCTTCAGGATAACCCACCGGCTCAGCCCCTTCTACCTCATCGTCATCGGCGTCAGTCCATCCTCTTTCAGGACCCCATTCAATGCCGAGGCCTTGTTGCTCGACAATGTCCATGAGACCTTGCATCATGTCTCCGGATTTCTTGACGCTAGTCCAACCATCGAACTGAACAACCTGAAGGGAAGGCAATGCCTCCAATACATCAGTGAGAAGGTTCCGACTGAAACCCTCATAGAAACCCTCTGATCGGCGCCATCCTTGGAAGATATTGTCACTAGGGTCGCACTCGACAAAGACATTGAGGCGCTCAACATCTACGCATTCCGAGAGACCAAGCGCTGGGTTAACAACCCATCCACGAGGTGGCGCATTCCATCCAGGGCCAAGGCGCAACTCGAGAGATGTAACGCATCGTCGCTGCTGTGGCTTTAACCTTGCCAACAGAGGCTTCTTACTTTTGAAGTATTTGCCAGGATAGGTAGGAAATAGACGAAAAGTTCGTGTGCTGTAGAAGGCGAACGTAGCTTCATCATGTACCTGTTTGCAGACTCGCATAAGACCAAGCTTCTTGTGTACACGCTTGTAATTGCCAGGTCCGAGATCTAGAAGTGTAGGAACATCATCGTAGAAGTATGTATAGATCTGAATGCGTACTTCGGCGGGTAAAGAGAGGAAATGGAACGGGTTTTTAGGAACTCGACGCTTCGTTTTAAAGGGAATGAGAGGTACGTCTAAAGTAAGGTCGGCAATGTTGAGTTTGTTCACGTCCTCTTCGGTAACGGCTGATTCGGGTGCAGCCTTCGCGGGAAGCGCTTTGCTAGATGAAGGCATCACAATGCGTATAGAACCCGCTGGCCGAGAGGCTGAGCTTTTGCTAGACCGTCGTGCCATGATGAATGTAAGTTGTGGTGAGGATGAAGGATTCGAGGTGGCGAAGAGGGCAATTTCTGTTCAAGATAAGGTGGATCGTGGATGCATGAATCGCTGCTAGGTGATGATGATTAAGGACAGATAATTGATCGCCTTGATTGCTGGTTCAATCTTCTGGAGTGAGGCTTGTCATGAGGTGTATCATGGTATGTAGGTCGGTGTCGATTGAGAAGAATCCGCTTTAGAAGGCGGCGCGGGCGATATCCATTGTTAGTGTCGGGTAGCTAATCGGAATAATCGCCGGGATTTATTGAACTGTGGCAAAGTATGGAAAAGTTATCTATCGTTCAGGAAGCGTTAGAAGAATGCTCTCGAAAAGAAGTCACGTTTATGTTTGAGGACCAGACGTTGGATGACAATACATCGCTTGCTATTGAATCTTGATGTTATTCGAGCACTGCCTTTAATCTCAAGGGATTTTAACTGGATGCCATGAGGGGGGGCGAGGGGCCATCGGGGCGTGATCGGAGAGAGTTCACGTGATAGTTCGTGATAACGATATGACGACATTGACAGTGCACGGCTAATCTGCGGTGACAAAGCGTCAGAAAGCTCCACTTTGGCTTGCAGAACCGTGCGATTTTTTTTCCACAGCCGACTGCGCGATGCTGTGGTTATGGCGGAGCATTAGACCAACTTCGTCAAGCTTTACGTCTGTACCCTAGGCCATTGAAGTTTGACCCTTCAATCCACCACCCTCAAACCTCGAAAATCGCTCCAGTCCTAGCGACAGAACCTCCTATTTTTCGAAATGTTGTCTAGAGTAGCCCAGGCTTCCCGCTTGGGCTTGATGACAGCTCGTCTGTCACAGCCCGTCGCATCTCCCTCTCTCCGAGCGATTCCCGCTACTGCTCCTCACTTTGCCTCGCCATGGCTCCGATCATACTCCAAGCGTTCATCCGGTCAACCACCCAAAGATTCGAAACAGAAGCCTTCGCAGGCGCAAAACGATACTGAGGCCGCCAAGACACCAGAGAAGCCCGCCGAGAATGACGTTAACAAGGCTAGCGAGCAATCGCCCGAGGCTCCCAAAGAGGGGGAGCAAATACCTTTCCACAAGCTTCCCGACTTGACACAGGGTATCCCCTCAACACTTTTTGAGGAGATGGGAGGCGATAAGAAGAAGGAGCAGCAGGCTCTGCAAGAAATGAAGGAGGCTGAGTCCAAAGGTGGCGAGCGGGACCGTTCGGAATATGTCTCTACTTCTGAGCGAAACCGCAAGTGGTGGACAAGATTTATGCTTACTGCGACTGCTGCCGGTGGTACACTGAGTCTTCTATATACGGGCCGCAACTGGGAGGATGCCATCGAGGCTGAGCGTCACTCTGATATTCCCAATGGTCCTGGTCCTGGATTGTGGTGGAAGCGTGCCAAGGCCCGTATGACCGAGTCCGTTACTTACTACCAGGAGCCTGCTTTCGAGAAGCTCCTGCCCGATCCCGACCCTACTTTCGAGCGCCCTTATACCCTCTGCCTGAGCTTGGACGACCTCCTCATCCACAGCGAGTGGACTCGCGAGCATGGTTGGAGAATCGCCAAGCGACCTGGTGTGGATTACTTTATTCGATACCTGAGCCAGTATTACGAGCTGGTTCTCTTTACTTCCACCCCTTATGCTACTGGTGAGCCTGTCATGAGGAAATTGGACCCTTTCCGCTTGATCTTGTGGCCTCTCTACCGAGAGGCTACCAAGTTTGAGGATGGAGAGATCGTCAAGGTAAGAACCTCTCTCGACCATTATTCTGCTTGCGCTAACAATTCAGGACCTCTCCTATCTTAACCGTGACCTGTCCAAGGTGATTATTATCGACACCAAGGCCAAGCATGTCCGCAACCAGCCCGAAAACGCCATTATTCTTGACCCTTGGAAGGGTGACCGAAATGACAAGAACCTTGTCAACCTCATTCCCTTCCTTGAGTACATCCACACCATGCAGTACGCCGACGTCCGCAAGGTGATCAAGTCTTTCGACGGCAAGGACATCCCCAGCGAGTTCGCCCGCCGTGAGGCTATTGCCCGCAAGGAGTTCCAGGCCAAGCAACTCGCTCACAAGCACAAACACGGCTCTGGTGTTGGTGCTCTGGGTAACATGCTCGGTCTCAACCCCAGTAACATGAACATGATGGTGTCTCCCGATGGCGAGCAGAACCCCGCCGAGGCTTTCGCGCAAGGCAAGATGTTGCAGGACGTTGCCCGTGAGCGTGGTCAGAGAAACTACATGGAGCTCGAGAAGCAGATCCGCGAGAACGGAGAGAAGTGGCTCAAGGAAGAAGCTGCCATGATGGAGGCTGCCCAGAAGGAGGCCATGAACAGCATGATGGGCTCTTTCGGAGGCTGGTTCGGCGGCAACAACCCACCCGAGAAGAAGGCCTAAGCACGAAAGTGATGAGCGAGGTGCAAGCACATCTCCACTAATTAATGTCTTGTAATTTTCTTTTTACGTCGGGCTCATGAGAGAGAGCCTGTGATCATAATCATCTTCTAATTGGAAGACAGATTTATAGAAAAGCATGGTGATGACTTTGGGTATGGGTAGCATGAGGGTTGCACTGTAAGAGGCGAGGGACAAGACTTTGTATATTAGGTGTATGCTGGGATTGTTATGTAAAAATATGATGTAAAAAGTTAAAGCAATGATCATGAAGCTGTTCAATTGGTGTTTCTTTAATGTCATTGTGCCTTAATGTTTGCAGTTTTTGAGACATCGGTATTAGAAAAGCTGGCCGCCAGAAGCATAAGAGACGAAATTAGTAGGCCAGTTTATGTTACTTAAACAATAGTTCTTAGAGTGCCTATTTTTGTACCATTAGAATTGTGACGCATCAGACCGACGGACAAACAGACGAATAGTAATAACTGATTCCTCCAAAGTGATGCTGTGGCACAATTGACGATGTTTACATGGCTGTAAGACATAACACAGGCGTGGTGGCTTATTTACCGAGGTTACATCTCATAACTTTCATCCCTTCACCGTAATTCACCACCTTCACCCTTCTTATCCAAAATGTTGAGTTCTTGGTTAATAGGCCTCTGTGCCAGTTCTTTGGTGCATGCACTTCCCGTTTCCGATTATGTTATTACCAAAGTCCCGCGCCTCATCGTTTTCGGGGACAGCTTCAGCGATAATGGGAATGGCTCTTGGATAGTCAGCAATGGGACATGGCCGGTGGATCCGGCTTATTACAGGCACTCATTTTCGTATGTATGACCCTTCCAATTGAAGACATATGCACTGATATATCCCAGAAATGGGCTCAAATGGAACGATCTAGTGGCCAAAGACCTTGGTCTTGAGCTGATTAATCTTGCGACGGGCGGAGCAACGGCAAACAACGACTTTGTCGCTGGAGGCACAGGCGCTCAGTCAACCATTCCTGTTCCTTCAGCCGCAGAACAAATCTTGTCGTTCTTATCGTGGGATAAGCCGAGGACTGACGATGTCTTCGTTCATTGGATTGGCGCCAATGATATCCTGTTCAACACGAGCATTACCGGATCGCAGGTTACGAGCCTGATCAACGAGAATATTGATAGGTTATATCATGCCGGTATGGTTGCCTAGGTTGTTTCTTACTCTCAGATACCACTACTGACCAGAAACTAGGCGCAAAAAAGATCATCCTCGCCAACTATCTCAAAGCCACAGCCTTTCCAGCAACGTACAACTCCCCCGACTACGACATTCCCAGCGTTGAGGTATACAGCAGCGATCTGACCCAAGGCCTCAAGAACATCGCTGCCGCGTATTCTGCCTATGTTCAGACAGCTGTGATCGACGTAGGCGGCTTGTTCAATGACATCGCTTCGGATCCGGAAGCTTATGGCTTCGAGGAGAAGTATGTGAATCCACCCACAGCGTGTCTTATTGGTGTTTATACAAGTGAGGGTGTACCGAGGCACTTGTGTAGTGATCCAGAGAAGCATGTCTTCTTTGACTCATATCACCCTGGAAAGGAGGTGCATGCGTTGATTGCGGAGTTGTTTGAATAAAAGATTCACCAGTTCTCCAGTTAAGACATTTGGGTAGCTTTTGGAATGGAATTATAACCAGTCCAATACTGTGTTGATTCTCGGTCTTAGATACTCTGTTAGATTAGATACAGAACTAATATGTCCAAGGTTATGTTAACCTTATGTCCTTTAGAAAGGGTAATAGTTAAGCTTTATTTTTCGTCTAACATCATATCCCTCGCATCAAATGCTTTTTCTGCGTAAAACTTCATGATTCAGATACCCAGAGATCGTTCTCGCATGGTTCTGAGGCTCTCGCCGGCTTTGAGGCACGATGCACAAACATATGAAGTTCGAAAAGCCCGGGTGAGATGGTGATCTGAAGTTATGATTCTTTGTGAAGTAGCTGATTCATACTCAACTCAGGTAGACACATCTGAAGTATATAGAAGAATATTTTCAGTGTCATTGTAGGCCGTAAGAAGATTTTCGAAGAACAAATGCCTACGACGATGTTCCCCCCCAATGGCAGGTTGATTCACACCCACTAGCTGGACAATACAAACATTCCAAAGAGACTTGACTTTCGCTTCTAGAAACAAGCAAGGCTCGTTGATTCGAGATTGTGATGGCATGGCCACTGTATCTCTACCCATAACTTTACTCTGCAGGTTAGTGATGAAGCTTGTTTGAGGTTGAAATTGGCCTGGATCTTGCGGCCGTTTGTGGAGTTGTCGTTTGATAGCTGTACTACGCCACAGGGCAGCGTCTTGACAGGTTTGGCTTAAGCTTAGGCTTGGGAAGGGTTGCACGACAGAACGACCAATGGTGGCGCAACTTAGACTCGTGTGCTGTATTGATTAGAATTTTCTTCTCTCTTCTTCTACCAGCCTAACTGTAGAGCTGACGCTTCAGGCATCATTAAGGGTCTCATGGTGGTGCCCAAGGGCGGTCTTAGCATTAGGTAGGGAGACGTTGGACATGCGCTAACTGCGTGGCTTAACGCAATTCAAAATGTGAACAATGAAGCTCAAGATATTATTAGAAGTCACTGAATGAGCATTGTTGAGACTAACATCAATTATCAATGCATTGTGAGAATTCGGGGTCGCCTTATACACTAAGTCTGCAGTATAAGCGCGAGGCGGCTATTTGAACAAGATGGGGCTCAAAGCAGTGACTTCATTTCTGCCAATGCACCCAATGCTAATTTGCATCAATTTATTTAGTTGAAAACTAGTTCAAAAAGACCCTGAATATCTTATGCTTAGGGATTGATTGATGATTATCGTGGGTGTCGATCATGTGGTTTGAGGACTGGTCTCCTGAAGGATCGCATTCCAGAAAACGAACATCACTACTAGGAACAACCAACAACCGTGACATAAACGTCTTGTTAATGCAATGATTTACGAAAACAACGTCAATATTGTCACAGCATTTGCCTGGCCCATCAAACTTGAGTGAGGCTCGCCTAATTCCCCTTGAAATGGGGACTAACCAATTGCAGGGAAAAGCCATGGCTTGTTTAATTTCGTCTGAAACATCCCTGCCAATTGCTCCCCCATCTTCAATCTTGAACCTCGTTCTCTCTCTCTTTCTTGAAGGGGACCCGCCCCGACCGATTCGTCTCATCTCGACTCCTTAAACTTCTGCAGCCGCCAACTCTCTTTTCTAAAACTGGGCTTTGACCAATCGTTCCTTTTTCCTCCCCCACTGATCGGATTCTCTCTATGTGAGAGAGAGGCGCGAACATGGCAGTCGACGACGCTACCTATAATCAACACCTTCACCACCGCGGGTCGGTAGACCAGCTGTTTGAGCTGGTGGATGGCCTCGACGATACCCAGATTCACTCTTTACTGGAGGATTTTAACAATACCGTCTCGAGCAATGTTCCTGTCTCTCACGGTATCGAGTTTTTCGAACACCCGAGCTCTATGACAAGAGCAAAGACTACACCAACGACGACCACGACGACAACAGCAGAACCTACGAGATCGTCTTCTATTCGCAAGAGCTTTAATAAGCTGCCTCGATTGTTTACGCGCTCACCGAGCAAGAGATCTGCCTCGGCACCAATACAGCGTCCCCAGACTGGTTTGCCACCTGCGACACGACACTACCGACGAATCAGTCGGCCTGTGCTGCCTTCACTCGCGAACGGCCCAGATTTGGACGCTTTACTCTCAGCCTACCTGTCGCCTGCACCACCTTCAACCTCGCACAAGACCATCTCCCCATCAAGGTCGATATCCAGCAGTTCTACTCTAAGCATCGAAGCGGAAGACTCTGGCGTTGATTCGCTTGCACCCCTGGTCTTTGGCAGACCACAAAGGGAAGAGAGCCCGATGGGCGACATCATGGAAGTGTTGTCTTTCTAAACAGCGAAATAATTATCCCGTGGCGACGCGAATTATTGTAAACAAACAGCACACCATGGACACTTCTTTTTTGTCCCCCTACACACTTTCCCACTATCGCTAGGCTATCTGCACTGTCCCGTTAGCTTTGCTTTTAACCATAGGCTCGGCGTTTTTTATTCCTTCTGTTCTATACGATCATTGTGGAGGCGTTTTCTTAATGCTGCTTTGCTAGTCAGGTACTAGTCTAGACTGTCACACACACACACACACACTCACTTACTGAAGATGGATATTACATGAGGAGGGAGGTCCACTTCTTATTTTATTGCTGCCATGTTTGTAGATGAAGATATATAATTCATTACAATCAACTAGTCTACCTACTGCTTATTCTACAATACCCATTCGTTTTCTTTGCGAACTCTGCTTGTCTTGACTCGTTGTTAATATCACTGTTATTAATCCGCGCATCGTCATTTCATGGGCTTGCTAGCACTGGAGGGTCAGTGGAGCAACGAGATCCCTTGGAAATAAGCCTGATGTTGTTTCCACTGGTGGATTGTGGCTTGTCTTGTCCTCGGGTTGGGTCCATATCAGAAAAAAAGTGGTCGCTGGAAGCATAAGGAAACGAAATTAGTAGGTCAGTTTATGCCATTTAGGCCATGCTCTTAGGTTGTTTATTTTCGTACCCTAAAACCTACCAACTAACCAACTACATACCCGGGTAAGGGGGGTGGGTCTGGAGCAGAGGTGATTTTCGACAAAATAAATACACTCTCTTAGGAAGGATCGATCTTAATAGACAGCAGATTTCGCAAAGAACAGCCTAATAACAGTCAATCAGCAGATCTAGCATTATCATAGCAGTCTAATTACCTATTAATCTATTACCCCTTAAAAGCTTGTATATAATACATAAAGAGGTCAGAGGTAGATAGAGGCACAGAACGGTCTCTCGACCACAAGAGCCCTTTGATGGTCATGGCCAAAATCACACACATCCAAGACGTAGATTCAATCGTCGCTTGGTTTGCTTGAAAAAAAATAAACAGCGCATTAGTCAATTTAGGCTATCTTACGCCTTCTATTAGGCTGTTTAGTTTCTGTTAGGTCTTTAACACCACTCGCAGCGTCCAGGCCACGCATGCAGATCTCTGGTTGCCTCTTGGGCACTTTCTTGATCCTTCAGACTACGGCCGAGTGCCCATTGGGCGGGCTCTTGGTCAGTTCCCCCCTCATCTGTACCATTGTGAGCCCAGGCACCGATCAACACTCTGCCATGAAGCATCGAATCTACCAGTCCACTAAGGCCACCCGTCATTTTCCAATCATCGCCTGAGTCCCGGTATATTCCGTTACATGAGGCAAGTCGCTGTTGTCGAGCCGTGTCTTCTTCTTTTGTGTCGAGACGAATCTTCCGAACGGGACCTAGTCCAACCTGGTCCAAGGATATAAACTCATCGTTCAATTTTGATATCTCCTTCTCTATGAACAGGCTTAGATTGGGACCTCGTTCAACAATCCATTCTCGATCGTGGCCGTCGTGATGACCTGCACACTCAGCGCCATGAGCACACAGCGCCCAACACAGATATTGGTCAGTATGGAACACGTTAAAACGGCGGAGTGGTAGGTTCCATATCCACATGCTACGGCCTGGACATGTCCGTCTTGATGATGGGCGCCCTGGTAACATCTTGCAGTCTGCACAATAATGCCCGCTTGCGATAGGAAATGGAGTGTAGGCTGCTGCTAGATCGAGTTTCTGAAGGTATGGGAATGGCTCACGGTACGGGAGGTATTCTAGGATATGACCCTGTATCTCCCGGGGGAGTTTGTAGTGTATGGCAATCTCGTCGAGTATGATGTGTGCTTGTTTGCGCGTCTTGCCCTCAGAAATTTGCCGTGCATCGAGACAGAATTGCCTGGATCGACGAAACATAGAGATAGTCTTCTCATTATTTTCTCTTCCGAAAGTTTCAATCTCATAGGTGATTTCTAGTCGAATTGGTCCGTCAGAACTCCTAGTAGTCCAGAAGAACCCATCTGTGTTTTCTTCGCCGCAATCCCATCTCGGCATAAGACCTTCAAAGAGTGTAGGGTTGGCCTTGTTGATATCGAATGCCTCTTTGTAATAGTGGAATTTTGTACCGTCCTGTTTCGAAATCTGAGTACGTTCGGAGGGCGATAGAGCTTGTGCAATTTTCAGGTCACTCTCGTTCATGACTATCTCATCATGTGCCAGATGAATCCTATCGTCGACAAAGACCCATTTGAAATCTTCATAGTTGTTGCTGGATTTCCATGTGTTTCGTAGAGGTTCGAGCAGTGCATCATCCAGCTCAATGCAAAAATTCGACAGAGCAGTCTCTTCTGCTTCTTTTGCGGTGCGATACAACTTTTCATCATGCGCTTGGTGAAATTGGAATCCCAGATAAAGGAGCATCCGGGCAGTTATGAAGTCTCTCTGCGGATGCGGGAGCTTCATCAAAGTCTTGGTGGTTGTCAAAAAATTGGACCAGATATCAAATTTCAAACCTTCAGCGGCATTAAATATCAAATGGTAGTCGTTGAATCGCACCATGTTGTGACATAGTTTGGCCATGATTTGCTTGATCTGCTGATCCTGGTGGGCCAGGTTGTTGGATTCGACCAGGTTGTTGATCTCGTTCGTCAGCCATCCGTTGTATCTGACAACCATGTCAGCTAACTGTCTCAACGGACGGCCAGAAGGATCGTCAGGCATTTTTAGATCGTTAAGCTTTATGGAGAGCGTGAATGTGTGAAGGAAGGTACAGTTGCCGAAGTGAGCCCCAAGATTATTTAGGCACACTGCGTCTAGGCAACAGACATAAGTGGGTCCTTACAGCATCTCTACATTACCTATCGGGAGAAGGGAGTCTGGGTTAGGATGGCTACAGAATAAAGGCAGAATGTTTTTGCCTCTTGTTGATTTTTTAGATACACGCACCCATCGGACGGTGAAACACTCTCTCTTCCCAAGAAATCCGGCACAAAAAGAAGAGAAGTCAGTCAAGACTGGGATCATCTTGGCTCCTTTCGGCTAGCTGGCTTTGGGCCCTACTCTAGTAGATCATCTCAACTCATCCAGCCATGTTACTTCCACGTCCATACATGTCTCTCCACGGTGATGAGACCAGGGCATCGTCAATATGTTTTGACACACATTGTCTGTTTTCTTTCTTTACACGACACGCCCATTATCTTAGTCCGTACTCTCATCACCTCTAAGTGACTGGACATCAGAAACGTAGTCCAGCGCGCTGTACTTGCTTCGCCTGGTCGCCGTGTGAAAGTCCGGCAACAACCGAGGGCTCAAAAAAAGCCAGCCTTGACTATCTACCGACATTTGCTGCGTTCGATCAAAATGCTGTGGCCCGGACACAAGCAACCCGTCGTGAAGCGAGACCCTGAAGACTACTGGACAAGTCTGACGAGATTCGTAAAACTTATGCATCTAATTCCAGGGCTAGACTTCAATATTATGACGAAACTTCACGTACAAATTTTCATGAAGTACTTGAAGCAAAATCTACCCCAGTTGATCAAAGGCTTGAGAAAGGAACTTGGATCAGTGAAGAAGACATCTCTCACCCGAAACTTGGAGGAGAAAGCTGTATACTTGGATTTGATGAGCTCCCCGATTACACGACAACAGGATGGCAAGAGTGGCATATCACCACTAACGATTGTGTTGAAGAGGGTTCTAACAGGAGGAGTGCATCTCTTAAGCCATAACAGGTCTACTTGCAGCCTTTCGTTAGCACTAACTTTACCTTTTTCGGTGTTATTCGCTGCACCTCAAAAGTTGTCTATTGCGGTTGTGGAGACTAGCGAGTGTCAGGACCTTACCTCTCCAAGCCAGCAGAACTTGGCCAATATGGAGATGACCATACACAAGGAGAACGCTTCCATGAACGTTCGCATAGGTGATAGAGGAGATTTGTTATATTTAAGGGACACTTCACCCGCCGAACAAATTAAGCGTAGGCGTCGAGCCTATGCAAAAATTGCCATGATTCAGGACGTCTTAACCACAGACAATCCTACAACCTCAGTCTGTCTCCAGGGAGACATTGCTAGCAAGGTTCTACTCGACGAAGCCTTATTCTTAGTTGACCAAGATATTCATCACATGGCGTTTAAATGGCCGAAACATGAAAGAGAGAACCATCTGAGGGTTGGAGTGCTTACCTCGCTAAACCCAAGGCGCCCGTTCCAAGTACTGATACCAACTCATTGATATGACGTTCATTGGGGGCTACATTCAAAATATCAACAGATATGTAAGCTACCAAATACAGAGCATGCAACCAAGATATTCAGAGCTTCCCTTTCCATGAATAGTCCAATACAGTGAAACTGGAGCACGTGAGAAAACGCGCCACTTTCCAAGAATAACCTGACAATTCTTTATTAGCTATTTTATTGTCTATCAAAGTATTTCGGCTTCATCTCGTATCAAAGCACTGATCAGCTGCTAATCCGATAGAGGCAACTGGATATCGAATAGTGGAAAAAGTCAAATTGGCCCGAAGCGAGCCGCATCTAGCAAACACAAAGCGAGCCGCGGTTGATGGGGTATAACGTAATTTTTATATACAAAAACTCCACCTCTTGAAAATATTTGATAAAAAATTGCTCTGTATCGATGAGCTTTTACGTACAATATCATGGGGGCAAGATCGTGACCCGTTGAGTCTGTTCTTTGGTCTGGGGATTTACTTCTTCCCCAGACCTTGGCGCTTTTAATCTGATGTGACTTCTATATAAGACGAGTAGTCTATTCTGACTTGTCCATTATTCTTTTTTCAATCAGCTTATAGCTATTGTAAAAACTCATCATGGATTCAATCACACCACATTCAAAGGCTACGAAAGACAACCTGCACCCCGACCAAATCACTCGTATCGACCAAACCTATGACCAAGCCCCCGGTACAGTCACCGAATTCGAGAAACAAAAAACCGCTGAAGGTGAAGCCCGCTTCCGTCGTCTCGGATGGAAGCGTCTCGCCGTGATCCTCATCGTTGAGGCCATCGGCCTGGGAACATTCAGTCTTCCTGGTGCCTTTGCAACACTCGGTATAGTCGCAGGCGTCTTCTGCTGCATCGCCCTTGGTTTCATGGCCATCTACACAGCTTGGATCATTGGAAAGATCAAAATCTTATATCCGTCCATCCAACATTATGGAGATATCGGTGGTTTGCTTATGGGCAGGTTTGGAGAGGAGTTGTTTGGAGCCATGTATGTGCTTCAGTTGATCCTCATCACTTCTTCGTTCGTCCTCACTGGAAGCATTGCCTTGAACATTCTGGCCGACGGAAAAGTGTGTGGTCTTGTATTCAGCGCAGTATCAGGGTTCATGTTGTTTATCCTTGCCGTCATGCCTTCCTTTGCAGAGGCTGCCATACTTGGTTACATCGATCTTGTATGCGTCATGACCGCCATTGGTATCGCAGTTATCGCGTCAGGTGTAGATGCTGCGAACCAACCCGGAGGTTTGGGATCTTCAGACTGGTCAGCATGGCCCGACCCTGACGCAACTTTCAAAGATGGCATGGTTGCTATCTGCAACATTATCTTTGCCTACTGCTTCGCCATGTACATGACACCCTTCATGTCGGAAATGCACACCCCAGAGGACTTTATGAAGTCAGTTTGGACACTCGGCAGTGTTGAAATCTTCATTTATACCCTCACTGGTTCCCTTATCTATGTCTTTGTCGGTAAAGACGTAGCTAGTCCTGCCCTTGAGTCACTGCCTGGTATTCTGCCAAAGGTAGCTTTTGGCGTGGCTCTACCCATGGTTTTCATTTCAGGAGCGATTGGAAACACAGTTACTGCGAAATACGTTCATCTCCGATTTTACAGAAACTCTATCGTGCGGTTTGTCAATACGCCCAAGGGTTGGGTCACTTGGCTTCTTACACTTGCGGGTATAACAATCATCTCCTGGGTTCTTGGTGAAGCTATTCCCTTCTTCAACGACCTTCTTTCACTGAGTTCGGCACTTTTTGTTTCTGGATTTATTCTGTATTTCCCAGCCGTCATGTGGTACAAGCTTATCTGTAGGGGTAAGTGGTATGCCAGAGAGAATATCTTGCATGCTGTTGCTTGCATTTTTACATTCTTCTTTGGACTATTGGTTTTGGTTGGAGGAACATATGCTACGGCTATGGATATTGTAAGTCTTCTAATATTGATAACGTTTGATAAACTGACAAGTACTAGCAACACCACTATGAAATTGGAGCTTTCCGTACGCCTTTTTCGTGCGAGGCTTGAGTTGAAACCATAATTTGGAAGCTGAGAAGCTGAACTCCCGTCGTTACCCGGATGGAACGGACTGATCATTGTGTAATATTGCTAGTGTTCCTAGAATATCATTTAAAATTCCGGAAAGCCACTACCTACTTTTCTGTGTAAGCTTAACATTCCTTCGGCTGCTTTTAAAGCTTGCCGCCCAAAGCCTTAAAAGATCAACACACCTTTTCTCGCACTTCTTATTGAAGACCTTTCACGGAACTGGAATAATGACATAATTTATGGCCTGTTATTGAGACCTATGCTGCATGATTATGAGTTTGACTCTTAGTAGCATGGAAGACAAGATATCCTAACCGATGCATCGTAGGCTAAACACAGGCTACAAAAACTCCATCTGTAGCATAAGAAAACGTGTTATCATACTCCAAAAACGGTATGCCCATCCAAAGCAGGATCAACAGTTGTTAACAGCAAGTATATTATCATATGTAACAGAATTCTTCCATACGTCGGCGGCGCACTTCTTCGTACTTTGCATCTGACTCGTCGCTTCCACCCCAAAAGCCACTTGTTTGTCGGAGGCTGTAGTTTGCGTGTTCGCGCCCAAGGCACAGTGGGCAAAGCATCCGTGAACCACAATCGACAAATCTTGGTTCCACATCAGTCCAGCTCTCGAGGAGCTCTCTCCCGCCCCGGCATCCCGCGTAAAACATCCGAATACCTTTGCACAGCTCGAATTTTCCCCGTTCGACTCAGGCAATCACTCCAGGGGCCTTGATGTACCGATACAGAAAAGACCTCCAAAGCCTTAGCTCCTGAATAGGAATCGTGAAGGATTGGTCTGGCAAGACTGTTTTGGAAATGTTGAAAAAGGGACATTCAGGAGGGGCTGGTTGATCTTCCATCTGTTCTGGATTGTGCCAGGGACTAATCAAATAATTCTTATAATGAATTAAGTCTGAGCCACTTTTGATATGGCGGTATCCCCACCATTCGTTGATTACGTTGCAGACCAAAGCTGGTTCTGAATTCTTGCCATCGAGCTGGACAGACACCATTGCGACTGGGTAGACTAGTCAATGAACACGTCGTCTAACATCGTTTTCCGCCCAAGATAAGATGTCGTACCAAAGTTTAGCTGGGAGGGTCTTATTACCTTCCTTGGTGGCAATATTATTTGGATTTTAACTGATTATATTGTTGATATAGGCAGCAGTCCAGGAAGTCAGATCGAGAATCAGGATGGAATTCCGGTTTGTCAAGCACTTGACGTCTTTTCCTTTGACAGGCCGCATGGTTGCTGAGTGGTATAGGAAATATCCCGTTGTTGTGTTGGTTGATGAAAAGTCGATTGTCGAATCTTGTGGGCATGAGTCAAGTAGAAGGCATCTTGTTAGTGCGGGATCCCTTTCATTTACTTACTGTTCAATCATATTAACTTTTGTAGAAAGGGTTGACACGATTGTGTTGAGTTTTCATATGCTTTTTGAGTTGAACAGATGCACGGCAAACCTTGACTGAAAATCCAGGCACCAGCTCGTATTTGCATAGGAACGGAACTAAAATCAGAAAAAATTTTGTTCTCATTCGCTATAGTTTGGAAGGTGAAGTGATTTCCTTATCCTTCAAGGTTTTGCTTAAACTTTATGAGTAGCATTACCTTAGTTCTAGGTAAATCAAGGTTACACAGATTCAAGGGAGAGAAAAGACACATTTAGCCACCACGACCAATACTCCAGCAATGACTCTATTGAGAAGAAAAACTTTTTATTTTTTTTTATTTTAAAGAGATTAGACAGTGGGGATATCTATAAAGCTCTGGCGTTTACTGAGATTTGAGAATGAAAAACGAACATAAAATCAACAAGATGAATTGTAGTTATCATAAGATGCTTTCCCGAGATTAGATCTTAAATTGTGAAGAGAATGAACTAAAACAAAAGATGCAAGTTTTTTTTTACAGTCGTTCTGATCACCTTAAGAGGGAGTTGGTCGCAGTCCACATGGGTGATTGAGTAGGTGTACTATTGTAGTTGTCGTCAATGCGGCTCAAATTAAGAAAGCCTCTTTTTAAGGCGAGCGAGATGCTCACCACAAGCGTTGCATCTGCTATTCCTGGTCTTAAGTCCTCAGGCTTATGGTTAATAATAACCATACTAAGATTCTTTATGATCCCATTTAATTCGCCGAGTTTTTTTTTAAATGGCCCGATTTTCCAAACTCAGTAAACTGTTTCCACTGATATCTGCTGTGTTATGCTACATGACCCCCCTTGAAACGTTGTGATCCTTGTCTTTGTATACCCTGTCAGTTCAAATTGATAGGCTGAAGACATCAAAAATTCTCCATTCGGCCGAAATGGGCTGTCATGCCGGTTAAGTCGGGCCAAACTTTGTAAGAGAAGTGTTTCCAGATTGGCGTTTAGCGACGCATGTCATGTACATCTTATTGGTGGCTTTTTTCTTCTCGATTGTCATTCGATACATTGTCGGATTCAGCCGAGATGTTACTCTACCCTTGATCCTACGTATTATCGTCCATGATCAACTTGACAGACGAGGCGGTTACACCCGAATGGTCGAGATAAGATGTGGCCAGCCCAGTGAAAGAACTTCCGAAAATGCGGCATGGTCGTGTATAGGAATTGAAACGCCTGAAACTACATGTCATTGATGCCATGGATTTCATAGGTGCGCTTGTTTTATCTTGTTGTTTGGGGTGAGAGGATGATGGCATTCTTGGAGACATGATTCAGACATGATGACATGACGAACCTTCTATGGCCTTGATGCTGTTTGATAACGAAGTTTACCATCATTCTAGCGAGATTGTCGAGTCATGCAGGTTTCTAGCATGTCAGCTCATGTTTGAAACCGATTCATGACAGCCATCAGCTGAAGTTTCTTTGCGACGCCACATGTTTTAGCCAATTCTACTCTTCGTATACTGATTCATCGGCAGTTATCTTTCGTTGATTTGTTCCAGGTGTGATTCGTGTGGTGGCATGGCGATGTAATCGGAAAGAGGGCAATAGGGTAGCGGAATCGAGGGTGATACTCTGCAATATTGATTTAAACAGAAGTTGTCTGAGTTCAAAACCTGATATCCTAAAAACAATGGACTTTGCACGACTCTTTTTCCAAAATTATTTTGAGGTGAAGCTGAGAATGCGAAAATCAGTGTCAACGCGAGCAATATTTGAAGGATATTGAGTGCCTAAATTCAAATAGAAGTCATCCAAGTTAAGATTTAGAAGTAATTCAAATCAAGTCATCAACTAAGAGGCACCTCATGTTCAGTATGACATTTTCGTCCCTTAGATTGGACGACTCTCCAGGGTAAATTGTCTAGATTTCGTGGTTTATTGCGCTTTGGAAGAATGTTAACCAAGAGGTGGGCCAATGAGAAGACAGGCCTACAACCATCAACTCAGCATAACGCCTTTGCAAGTTGTCGATATTTCGTCTGGACTATACTCTAAAATTACTCTCTTTCTTCCCTCTCAGATCAATTCCATCATCTAAATCGCTCGGACGATTCAGGAAGTTGTTGCCGCCTGTGCTCGTACAGTCTAGGCTGCCACAATAGGCCTGTGTTTCAATATACGGCCTCGAAAGCGGTTGACCCAAACAAACCTGACATGTCAGCAGATAAGGCCGAGTATTCATCCTCGCATTACCCAAATAGGCTATAATTCCATCTCCCCCAAGAGAAACTGCAACTTTGATTGTGTCGAAGTCTGTGCACTCGCGACGCCAAGCAAAGACGATTGTCACCAACGGGAATTGCCAGTGAAGCTGAAGCGTTTATAACGGACATGACAGCCTGCCAAGAGAAAAAAACTCCGATAATCGACCTCAGCTGCGGCATACAGTCGACCCATGGGAAGCTTGTCTAGACTTGTTGATAATAGAGTAATGCTTTGAAATCTCTGTAGCGAAACGGTCAAGGGGAAAACTAAATTTGGTGACATGATCATCATTCGATTATCCTCGGATATAGGATTGTTTCGAGGTAGTAAACCCGAATAGTTCCTTGCAGTTGATCTTTAATGCGGTATTCTGGCTATATAAACTGCCACTATTGCCAAGCCTGATAATGGCTGGGTTGTGGATTATCGTGAAACATGTGTCTAACGGTCTGGAAAACGATTCCACTTAAATCCCCTGGAAAGTGCCCAACCTGGTGGAGGTCTATAGAGGGCCCTTGCTCTTGGCAGGTACAGACTTTGACGTTTAGCGAATGCCTACAGAGGGCCCCTGCCACCTTCACACAACCCCCACTTTGTTATGATACAGGGGCCGTAGCATATACTCTACCTACTTAGATTAGCACTCCAGGATATCAGAGAATGAATCTCTATCACCGACATGTATATATACTGAATTCAAGTCGTATGTTTTCACTCTCTTGTCATCATCAGCTTCAGTCATTTGCACAAGCAATCAAGTCTTCTCTTCTTTCTTTCGAGGTCCTGGTGATCGTCTTCTTTGTACTTTCTTTACTCCTTCTTTGAATCTTTTTATCATTGTGCCGGCACATTTCTTCTTATCCAAGATGCATTCCTTCAACATTCTCCTTTCCTCTTCTCTCTTCGCCTTGACCCAGGCTCACTCGGTCATCCTCGGTGCTCAGGGTCTCGATACTTCTCCCAACAGTATCGGATTCCAAGTCGATCCCGAAATTGCTCGCAACTGCATCACCATCAACCCTTGCCAACAAGATGCCACCATCATCCGCGATGCCGAGATCACTGCCAACATTGTGAACCAGTGTGGTCGTACTGAGATCTCTGGAAACATCGACGTCGGCGAGAACACCGAGAATGCTCTCGCTGCCAACCAGGTTACTCAGGTTGAGGCTGGTGGTGAGCTCACTGTCACCATCCACCAAGTCAACGCCGATGGTGCTGGTCCCTATGTCTGCGATCTGGACGAGAGCAGTAACACAAACACCAACATCCAGAACCTGACCGTCACCAACAACGTCCCCGGAACAAATGGTCTCTCACAAGTCAAGACACAGGCCTTCAACATCACAGTCAAGATGCCTGATGACCTCAACTGCTTCGGTGCCTCCACCGGAAACATCTGCACTGTCCGATGCCGCAACAACGCTCTTGCTGGTCCCTTCGGTGGTTGCTTTGCCGTCCAGCAGGCCGACACTGACAAGAAGACCAACTCTCCTCAGAGCATCAAGACAACACAGACCTTCAACGGTATCAACGCTCAGATCCTGCAGAACCAGAAGGATTTCCCGGACGCTGTAGCTGCCAACGAGAACGCCACTTCTGATGAGGCTGCTCAGAACAAGGCTGCTGTCGATGCTCTTCTCGGTGCTACCGTTGTGACATCGGCTTTCGCAACCGAGACTCCTAGTGTTGCCCTTGGTCGACCTCCTGCTGCTACTGCTGACCCTAACCAGGGTAACGATGGCAAGGTTGGTGACAACAACGGTGGTGACAACAACGGTGGTAACAACAACGATAACAACAATGACAACAACAACGGAGGCAACAACGGAGGCAACAATGGTGGAAACGGCGGTAACAATGGCGGTAACAATGGCGGTAACGGTGGTGGCAATGATCAAGGAAACAACGACAACAACCGAGGTGGTAACGGTGGAAACGGAGGAAACGGAGGCAACCCCTTCGGTGGTAACCGAGGCGGCAATGGTGGTAACCCATTTGGCGGTAACGGTGGCAACCCTTTCGGAGGTAACGGACAGAAGGCCAAACGTGGTTTCAGCAACCGTCGCTGGTCCAAGCGAACTGTCTTCTAAACAGGGATATGGGATACAAATAGAAGGAAGATATAGATAAAAATGTCCAGGGATTTGGGGACAATGGTATAGTCTTGAGAGGGATAGTTTAATTGATCTGATGACCAACTACTCTCACTGTTTCTTGCAACATTCATCAATACGAATTTATCGTGATCAGGTTACTCCGGGCTTATCTACTTTCAGATCTACCATAAGAGACAATTACCTCCCTTGTTTTTGTTATCCGTGGACTGGAAGGACCAGCCGCCTGAGTATTCTCCTGACCATTCTCCATTGCTGCACGATGCTCATTGAGGATACTTCTATCACTCTGGTTATCAGAGTGTCTTTCCGGATGAGCCTCTGTCTCCACAAGGGCACTCCATTGACCAGCCTTGTGCTTTGGTACAAACATGATATTATTGGGGATATTCTTCAAAGGATGAGAGTTCTCGCTTGACTTAGCTGTTGAAGGAAAGACTTTGCGTAGAATAGGTCGAAGGGTCGGAAGACAGGCGGCGATAATGATGAGGGCGTTTTCGGCTCCGGCTGTGAGGAGAAGTTCACCGACGTCGTAGGTTGGATCGAGACTTGTTGCATTGGCTTTGAGTTTGGTGCATTTGATGATAGCAATGGATCCAGCACTGGAAATATTAGAAGAGATCGACGTGGATGGCATGGGTGATAGCTTACAAGACACCAAGACTCATAGCAATGGCGACACCAAATTTTTCCCTACTCTTCATGTTGAGATTCCATAGCATGGCCCATGGCAAGAGGGCCAGAATAAAGTCTGTAGCAGCAGAATAGGCTTGTATCAAGTTAGTACCGTGCAATTGTGTCCCTAGACTTGAGATACTCACCTCCAATAAAGTACATCACTCCTAAGTAGACGTGAGGAGCCCAGCACTCACTGACTATAGCAGGGTTCCAAGTTGTCCTCGGGTCCTTGCATCGCACAAAGATAATGATTGATATGAGAACATGCAGCGTGAGCATAGAGACGACAATGAACCACAAGAATCTGTGTATGAACGGCTGCACAGCCAGACGCATCAGACTGATGGAGAAAGATATCTTGCCGAAAGCACATGACATGATGACTAGAGGTTGCGACACTTGGCCAAGGAGAGCAATTGGGACGGCATTTCCAGGGACGTAGAGGAGAACCCATTCGATGTGTCGACCGAGACCTTTTTGGACGGCTAATTCGATGATAACTCCATAGGCCATAAGGGTAAGCTTATCAGATGTTAGTTTATGTAATTGATAAAGCGGAATGGTGGACTTACGAGAGATAATGTAATGACCCAGTCATCTAGACCAAATACTTTGCGTACAAAGAGTCGTGTATAGATTCGAAGAGAAACGAGAAGGAATGGTACAAAGACTGAAAGCCAAGTAACAGTACGAATGGCAGGTCCCACAGTCTCTGCGAGGTACTCGGGAGAGGGCGGTGGTGTATCAGCAGCTGATGACATCTTTGTGCTGGAATGGCTGTCTACAGACACGCGACTTCTCTGAGTGTCTCAAGCTTGCATCATCGTATTGATGAATTGTTTGTCAGGGATGGATGCGCCGTCCTACATATATACTTGGTTTCAGTATGTACATTGGACATGCCGCAGGCAAACACACATCAGCTGAAGCAAAAAGAAAGCTACAGTGTATTATGGCTTTCTTCTGAGTCTGTCATTTGTGATTGGATGTATGCAATGTCAGAGAGTGAACACACTTTATGGAAAAGGATCGGATTGGATACGAAATCAAGGGACTTGTCTCTGAGACAAAGAAAGAAGCAATTAACAGTGCAGAAGCGGACGTGCCAAAGACCGTAGGCCATACCAAAATACCATTAATTCAACGAGTCTCGAAGCTGGATGTGAGACAATAGTGGATACGAGTAGCTACAGTTCTTATAGGTGCACTTGAATACAATAGTAATAACAACGTAATCTATAAGGTCTAAAGAGGTTGATCATTGGTATGTTTGTTCACTCGCGCATAAGGAATACGACAAAATTTGGCAGCAAAAGTCACATATCAATTGTCAAGTCTGATATCACGCAACAAACAAAATTAGAGACTACTTTCTTACAAGGATTTTATTCCTCGTTAAATCTCATTGGTCCCAAAGGTCGCGAATCTGATAGATCATACTATTCCCGCATAAAGACTGTATCCACTTTCCACCATGTTACCCTCCTCCATTTTCTCTCGCCACGGGTTTTTTGCCAGCCGGGAGAGGGGGAGACAACTTGAGGTAATTGAAGGATCATGTGTGAGAAATTAGATGGGAGTTGTACAGGAGATTGAGATCATCTCGGGTAGGTTTAAGAGGCGCTTTAGTGCTGATGTTGAAGAATTGTTGACTAGATACCCATGAAGATCAACGGCTTTTAGTTGCCTCAACCTTCTTTCAACATAAGACTCGGACTTGGACTCGGGGACTTGAGAGTAAAGACTTCCCCGCAAATGGTGTCATGTGTTGACCAACAGTCAGAAATGAAATGATACGCAAACTCAACAAGCAAATAAAGAGAACCAACAGCTCGATACAAAAGTGACAATCACTTCTCACAATCCTCTACCATTCAGCTCGTTTCAACCTCGGAATCTCTTTATCTCCTCAACTTTCCCCAGGATAACCCATGTTGAAGAACGCGGTCCGTCATACCCGGCGCGTTGTCTCCTCTTTTCTCTTTCTTCCGAACAAGGATCAGTGATTCGGGACCGTCACAGTGGGCAAGACTCTAAAGCCACGTTTTCAGGGGTCAGAGGAGCATTGTTCGTGCCTGTCTCGCTCTTTACTCGATCCGTTTTCTCGTACGTATTTCCAGACATATCATAAATACTAGCCCGGTTCTTGGTGACAGAAATGGGAAGGTTACATGTGGGAATGCGGCACGGATTATTGCGTCTCTTGGAACCAAACAAACAGGTTCACTTTTTATCACATTCTCGTCTAAGCGTTCATGCAGATCAGGAACAGGGTTACTCGCTATCTATCCAATGGACGACTCTTCCCACTACCAGGAAAAAGCAATATAGTCTACGTCGTTTCTCCTCTTTCTCCCAAATATGATATTTCCTCGCTTTTTTTCTGATCCATTTCAGTTCTGGGACATGTGGTACAGAAACAAATCTGTACTGTAGATCAATCAATATGGCAATTTCCACTGTCTCTTTGGGTTACCTCCTGTACGCGGGTGTTGCTTTTGTCGTCGCCAGCATATTATACGAGTTCTTTCTTTCACCCCTCAAGCATATCCCAGGACCAGGACTTTCCAAGTACACGGATTTTTACAGGGCATATCTCACTACGAAGGGGCATGTCGATGGTCACATTAGAACCTGGCACCGAACATGGGGCGCTGCTGTGCGTGTAGGACCTAATACTGTGAGTATTAGTGATCCAGATATGATCAAGGTCATTTACACCACCAGAAACCCCTGGCGAAAGGTAAGTAACCCAAAGCAAATCGTGTGGCTTCAGACAATAATAGCCAGTTCTGATATTTGACAGACTAACATGTACCGTCCCAATGACGTTCTTGTCAACGGTCAACGCATTCAAAACATTTTCAATACTCAAGATGAGGATTTCCATCTGAAGTACACAAAGCCCATTAGAGGTTTCTGGACCCTTCCCAAGATGCTAGAGGCGGAACCTCTGATGGACGAAACTCTCTGTGAACTCATTACTCATCTGGACAACCGCTTCGCCAGCACAGGATCTGTCTGCAAGATGGATGACTGGCTCTCTTACTACGCCTGGGATGCAGCTGCTAGTATCAGTTTCGGCCGTACCTACGGTTTCATGGAAAAAGGTGGTGACGTAGAGGACATCATTGCCGAAAGCGCTGCTGGACTCAAGTACTTTGCCCCCGTTAGCCAAATCCCGTGGCTTGATGAGTGGCTGGACAAGAACCCCATTCATCGGGTTGGTCCTCGTCCTCTTGTCAACGGAGTCATCTACACTATCAAGATCCTCACAGAGTACCAGCAGCAACTAGCTTCCGGCGCTGCGAAGCGCAAACCTGTGGACTTGTTCATAGATAAGTACAACAGTCTCAAGGAAACAGTCGACTTTGTGGATGATCAGCAGGTTATCAACTGGCTCATGCTCAATGTTCTTGCAGGCGGTGATTCAACAGCTGGAGCCATGCGCGCTCCTGCTTACCATCTTCTCAAGAATCCTTCTGTGTGTGAAAAGATGGTCGCCGAGCTTCGAGCTGCAAACCTGACTTTGCCTGTTCCTCAATGGAAGGAAATCAGTCAACTGCCCTACTTTGAGGCCGTCATGCGCGAGTCGATGAGAATTTCGCCCGCTGTTGGTTTGATACTCGAGCGCGAAGTTCCTAAAGAAGGCCTTGAGCTCCCAGATGGTCGATTCATTCCTGCTGGTACAAACATCGGTATCAACCCTTGCGTTGTCACACGCGATGTGGGCGTTTTTGGCGAAGACGTTGATGTGTTCCGCCCTGAGAGATGGCTTCGTGGTAAAGGAGAAACAGAGGAGGGACATGCCGCTCGGGTAAGACGCATGCATGAGTGTACCGAGTTGATGTTTGGCCATGGATCGAGGGTTTGTATGGGTAAGTACATGTCAAAGCTAGAGATGTACAAGATGTTTGCTACGCTCTATGTTAACTTTGATGTAAGTCACTTCTCCTCACTCCTCTCAAGACTGGATACTGACTGTCGTTATAGGTACGAATCACTGATCCCAGTCATACTTGGAAGTATGAGAACAACTGGTTCATGTATCACAGAGATATCCCTTGCAAAGTTAGTCGTCGCGAAAAGGCATAAGCAATCATTAAATAGATATATATCTCATCTTCCACTTTTAATGGAGAACATACTTCTTCAATTCCCTTTCTCCAGCCTGCCACTGATCAATTGCCTTGCCAAACATGTAATTCTCAATGTAAATATCTCCCACATATCTATACTCGCCCTGCGTTCCCTCTGGTCTCAGCAACACTGGAGTCGAGCAACCCAGAGGCACAACCACAACATCCCCCGGAAGCATAGCTCCAGATCCGAATCCGAGTCTGCGGTTCTGGGTAAGACAGAAAGTCCTTCCTATCATACGATCCCCAAAGTTGGTCTGAAAAAACTGTCTTCGTGCTTCAGGTGGGATGTTCGTAGGTATATCGACATGCATTCGTAACATATCATCGAGAGGAAGATGCAGGAGACGATCGCGGAAGAGATTCACTATGGCATGGTAGGATACCAGCTTCCAGCGGCTTCTATCATATCCGGTAGTTATCTGACCAAGACATATCGTCGCCATGAAAGCCTCTTCTGCCAACTGTATCTGAAACTGTGTTCGTCCCTCCACAGCTGCAAGAAGTAAAGCCCTCCAGTGTAGAAACGCCATTAGAAAGTCTCCCAGGTTGCAAAGAGTTCCAACAACCATTCCTTTGGTCTGAACGACATCTATTTCGATGCCTGAAATTTCAAGCTTGTTCAAACGCTCATCATGAAATTTGCAAATCGCCTTTGTAGGACCTGATGCGCTGAAGCCGTACTGGCGGCCCATGGCTGACGTGAGTGGGATATGGGACCAGTCTGGAACAAAGGAAGGCAAATTGGAGGATCCTGTATTGACTGGGAAGTGCACAGACTCGCAGATAACATCCAGCTTCTCAGTAGTTTGGATAAGAAACTCAACAATTTCTGTGTAAACATCCTTGACGGAAAGATTATAGTCGACACGGAAACCGTTGCGAACATGCGCAGGCAAAACACCGAGTATACCGTAGAGCTTGTCTCGTGGATCAGACGATACTTGGCTTCGACTAGCTCTTAGTACTTCGAGAAGGGCGTTTTGTCCATTCAGAACCTGAGACTTGAGAGTCGGGAGGCTGGCGGGCCCCCCATGAATCAGAGTCTGCACGCAAGTAAATTTGTCAGGTCTTCTCATATCAGGACCATTTGTCTTGAAAACAAGTTCAGCGTGATGTCTGCGAAACAATGTTGAAGCAGTCTTGTATGATTGCCAAGGGAGAAATGTTTCTCCGCAGTGAACAGCAATTCGTTTTGCGTGGAAGATCTCTTGTGAAACCCAGAGTCTTTTCCAGTAATCTCTTCCAAACAGCGACACAGCGGCCAGTAAATCCCCGTCCTCAGCGCCTTCTGCCAGTATCCGAGAGACATCTTGATCTGGCATAGCCTGAGAAGTCGGCGGCGCGAGTCTAGCCAGAAGCTCTACCGCTCTTGTACTATCGTTGTTTTCAGGTCCAAGCCATATGGCTACAAAAGCAGCGTTGGCGTAAATCTGATCCACAAGCTGAACATGCTGGCTCCTCTCATCTGTATTCTTTTGATCAATACACAAGGCATCTGCCCAAACCAACACAGATGATTGTCTTTGTCGAAGTGCTTCTAATGCTCCATAAAGGTTGACGGTAATGGGCACCCGAGATCCCTCAATGTCGATATTCTTGGTATCACCGACGTCGCCCCATGTGTATGATACAGCGACGTATTGGGGCGTGTTGGTGATAAGAGCCTGGATAATTTCACACTCGATTATAGTTTTGTGGCCTGGCGCAATCCTGATGAGTCTGATGAAGCCTGTTTCGAGAGGCGTGTAGTCATATGGTTGCAGGTCAGAGTAGTCGAGAGTAGATACTACACTCGGTCTGGATATGGCTGAACTAATAGGGGTGATGTTGTAATTATGGGGACCTGTAGGTGGGAACCCCGTCACTTCTCTCCCATTCAGAGAAGAAAACCTAGGTGTCTCTTCAGAGATTGACACTGGAGATTGTGGAAGTGGGACCGTGGTGGGATTCTGCGAGTTCGTTATGGCCATGGCCTCCCTCTCCTCAATCTTGGAAACTAACGACCCCGGGACGGGAAAAGGAGCTGGAATAGGGTTCGGATAGGGCCGATAGTTGCCTTTTCCAGCATTCAAACTTTGCGAGTGTCGAGGAGGAGATACCAGTGGCTGAGGCTGCGATTTCAACTGATACTCGGCGATATACGTCGGATAATGTGAGACTGGTGCCTGGACTGGCGAGCTAAGAGGAGCAGGCTCATTTCCGTCTTCAATGACTGTCTTGCGTCTGAACAAAGAGCTCAGCCGAGCCTGGCTCTTCTTTGTCGTGGGTTCCTTTTCAGCCATGTTGACTTGACAGAGACAAAACTGCGAATAAGATGAGAGAATTAAAAGCTTACTCTGAACAATTCATCGAGCTGAAAACTAGCGGAGGTCCAAAAAGTCTTGGGTGTCAGCCTGGAGCTGGATCTTTCCAAGCATCTTTGTCCTATCACACAGCGTTGTTTGGTTGTTCAGCCTAACAAGGCTTAGTATGAACCGGGGTATCGTGTTCGCGCCCCTCGCTTGGAAATTAGATTACATGATGCTGCAAAGGGCTACTAGGCTAAAGTTACTTAAAAACAAACATCATATATCCGAAGCTATATCATCGTCGTTGAATTATACTCAAAGGAATACAGAAACCATTTGCCATATCACTATATACTTATAGAGTTGATGAAAGTAGAGAGATGATCTGCCGTTCTTCAATCAGAACGATATGTGATGTAGTGGACGCAACAAGTTCCTCCATAGATTCGGCTGTTACTGAATCAGACAGGAGAATCTGACTCAGGGAATATATTCTAAGTATTAACAGATAAATAAATAACTGCCAGGAATTGATGTAGCTGGATAATATACTTGAATAGTATACATATGCTGAGACTTTCAAGGTTACCCGCTGTGCGGTCTACCACTAGCTTACATTGCCTCCAACGGCAAACCTGTTGGTCTAGTAGCCATGGCCAAGAGTGAGGCCACACTGGTCACTCTCATGAGCGCTTTTGAGGTTACATTTCCACTAAGAGAGCCTCCTACAGCTTATCTGGCCAGAAAGAGCACTGATAATGCTTAAGGAATTCATGCGAGTACTAACAACGTGGTTGGAATTTGAGATTGATGAAAAAACAAGAACTGCCTACTCACGAGCACCATTGGTCAAGAAAACAATGGCCGCAGAAAAGATCAGTTAGTTTTGATCTTTGGAAATGATAACCAGAGCTGCCTCCAAACTCTCCCGTCGCTGTACCTGGTTCAAGTTCGCCCCGTTCACAAAAGCAGCGGAGCATGACTGTTGAGTATAGTTTAAACTAACCGCTACTAAAAAACTAGGATTATTATTCTATCTCGGGCTCATATAGAAAGTTGTCCACGTCCAACTGTTCAGCAAGATCAAGCAGCTCTCCTGGGGTGAGTCCAGCCATGGCATTAGCGGCGAAGAGATCCCACCCAGTTTCGTCAGCGAGATGTTCATCGGCGTGTTGACCTTCATTCCCTTCTTGGTCCTCATTCTCTTGAGTCTCTGTAGGAATCTCTGGAGAGACAAAATTGCTGGCTGGTGTCAAAGCTGAAAGCTTCTGTTCCAGCTGCTCCAACTCCACTTTTCTCAAAGGAGCGATCAAGCTTCCCTTGGCGATGAGAGTATCGAAAACGTAGCGGGCATCATCTCGCCATGAGCTATCCGAGAGGAGTGAAGGGCAGATGATGGGGATGAGATGCAGTAGAAATGCTGATGACGAGGCGTACTCGATTTGGAAAGGCAGGAATGCTTCTAGACTTGCTGTCAGCGGAGTTTTGCGATAGCAACACTAGCTTGGCTTACCAATGAGATCTTCGTCTGCCAGAGCACGTAAAGTCTTGAGGATTGACTGTGCAGAACTGACACAGGATTGAATCAGTGATGCAACTGGGGGAGATAGTGATAAACCGTGTGTCATTTGTGTTTTGGACTGCTCGATATGCATGTGTAGAGCACACATGATTTGTGGTCTCGTTGTGAGGACGACACACTGGTAATTGGTAAGTAAAGCAGAAAAGCAATATCCCCGATACTTACATGGTGATATTGGAGTAAAAGCCGTGTGGCGATTCTCGAAGCTTTACTAATCGAATCGCGGAAATGCTTGTTGATGATGTGAATCAGATCACGATTCAGCTCAGCCAAGTTTCTCAGGATAGACTGAGTGTTGCTGAAAAGAGTACCGTCATAATCTTTGCCAACTCCATATACCGCTGTCTTTCTGTTAGCCATAATATTCACTGATTGTCAGTAATCATTTTCATACTTACTTCCTAGAAGCCGTGCTATGAGACGCGCCAACTGAACGTGGAGAGTTAGACTCAGCGACGTTAAAGAATTGTCAGCTTGGGAAGGCAGCTTGTTGGTGATGTCTTCATCTCTAATAGCGCTAGTAGCACCGATAAGAGCTGCAAACTCCTGATCCAGCATGTAAACTACCCAGAAGATTATGTGGCATCGTTTTGAATGTTGAGCTCCAACGACCTCTTCTGGCATGTGTCTATGGAAACCAGATAACACGCAGATTCGAAGAGCTTGTCCTATCTATGAGAAGCCATATCAGTATTTTCCAGGCTGAAGATCAATATGGTTTTACTCACATGCTGATATGCTGCCACTCTCATGTCGATTGACTGAAAGTATATCGCTGCAAGAGTAAGTGCCTGTGCTGAAAGAATTGGATCTAAGGCAATCCCAGCCAGCTCAGGCATAAGAGGCATAGCCCTAGCAGCGTACTGATAACCCGGTGGACTTCCATCGGCACTCTTTCCGCCGAGGAACGCCTTTCCAAACGCTATCATGAGCAAATATTGTGCATACCACAGCTTGCACGATGCTGCCTTCGTTGAAGCATCCTGGTAAAGCTCTTTAAAATGTTGAAGGAATTCAGTTTCATCGATAAGGCTTGCTAAGGGACCGAGATAGAATCTTGCAGTCTGTACGAGAAAGAATGCGTAGTCTGATGGGGGTAGGTTCGAGATATCGGGATGTTCTTCAGGCATCAGGGGTCTCCATTGGAGACGGAATGCGACTCCGTCGAGATGCCATGGCGGGGGATCGTTGTTTGCTTCTGGAAGATGTTTTCCAACCAGAGCTAGGACTCTTCTACAGAATGCCCAGGATGAGGCAGGGCCCATATACCCTGTAATATTGTGTGAGTATACGTGGATCACTGTCGAGGTTTTGGGGCTCACAGTAGCGTCCGAAGGCTTGGCCAAAGACATAATCATTGTCGACAAGTGGATTCTGGCGAAAGGCAGGTTCAAGAACATCGTTTGATAAAAGTGGCCTTGTTTCATTTTGTTCACCGTTCTCGCCATTATCATCTGGTGTTCCGAGGGTCAAGTCTTGGTATCGAGTTAGTAGACGTAGACAGAGCAAGGCAAGTATTTGGTCACTCACCCCCATCGGCTTCTACTGCAGATGTATCCTGAGGAAGTACTGTTGTCATACCATAATCGGAAACGGATGAATGTCTCGGCCGGGATCTTGATCCGTTTGGAAGTGATCCGGGAGATGGAACTCCATCTTGTCGTCTCTCCAACGCTCTGAGATAACTGTAGCAGCCAATGAGAAACGGCAGAAGGTAAGACAGTGATATACTCTTCCTTACCTCTCAGTTACTGTGACCTTTTTCTCCTCTGTCTCGTATATGCATCTTTCATTCTTTCTTCCGCATCTTGCACAAGGTTGTGCCCCAGAGCATTTGACCTTCATGGACCGACATCGTTTACAACTTGATGATGCTGATTAGCTTTGACCTGCGTATCGGGTTTTGGTAGACATACGCTTTTGAACACTTCTTGACGACTCTGAAATGACTCTGTTGAGTATTGGGCATCCTTTCGACTGACATAGAATAACTTTCGATGATGTACAGACAGGGAAAGAGTAAACTCAAAGTCGGAGTCTCGTCCCGACTTGGGGAAGGAACATCCCGGTGACGCCCTTTCCTATTTGAGTAAGTCTTGATGAGCTGGCTTATCACCGCTATCGGATGTGGAGAGATGGACCGGGACGACATCCCGACTACTATTCTTTAAGCAGTTTGTATTTGTCATCCAAACAATATTCTGTTAACAGACAAAGCAGTCTAAAATCATCTATCATAGAGAGAAACATCCTGGGATAGTGGCTTACTTGTGATCTACCAGTATGACGATCAGAGCCTACATAGCGGTGAGATACCCTACAAGATCCAGGTAAGTCATTGTAAAATCAAATCAAGAACGCGGAGTTGACCACAGAATGTAGACCTTCAATAGTCCTGCAGGCGTACAAACAGATGAGAAACATGTCACCATCAGCAATAAGACTCAACTCCTCAGCTGCGGCTGTCGCCACCCAACCCGCATTCTCAGCAGTCCAGCCCCTCACCAACTTCGCAGAGAAGATAGCCAATCGTCCAGCTTTTGACAACTCCAACAGACCTATCGAGGTAACAAAATCCCCTGATCCAACATGGTCTTATGGAGACGGTGTTCGCACTGGAGAGATACCCGCCGTCAACAAAGTCCACAGAGAAATCGACCCCTACTCTTCTGATAGATCCGTCAGCCAAAACTATCGCCTCTTGATATCTGGCATCGCCCCTCGCCCAATTGGTTTCATCAGTACCGTCTCCAAAGACGGCAAAACAAAGAACCTTGCGCCGTTTAGCTATTTCCAAATGGTCGACCATGATCCGCCAATGTTTATGGTTAGTTTCTCGTCTCGTCACGGCCGTATCAAGGACACATATCAGAACATGAAAGATACCAAAGAATGTGTTATAAACACTGTTTCTGAAAATATGATTGAAGCTGTTAATGCTTCATCCATTGATACTCCTTATGGAATTTCAGAGTGGGATATTACTGGTTTGACGGAAGGTGAAACGGCCACAGTGAAACCCTCACGAGTTAAAGAGTCAGTGCTTTCGATCGAAGGTAGAGTTGTGGATATCAAGGAATTCGAAGGACACAAGCCAGGCATGAGTGGATCTGCCATCTTTCTAGTCGAGGCAACGAGGCTTTGGGTTCAAGAGGACGCAGCGAATGAGGATTTCAGCCATATCGACCTTGACAAGCTGCGACCAATTGCACAGCTTGGTGGAATGTCTTATGGACGAGTAACGTCTACTTTCGAACTTCCTCGCACTCGATGGGTGGATGAGCAGCCGAAGAGCGAGTTTTTGTCTAATTTGGAGATTCAAAAATCGGATAGATAATCACATATACAGGAAGATCGACAATCTTGGGCCGGACTAAACGATAGATATATGTACGAATTTGAGTATTCTAGTCCTGGGGAAACTTGGAGCCTCCCTGCTTCCTTATCTCATCCATAATCTCCATCACACGAACAGTCTCCGACCAAGGCATGACATCGCTCTCAACCTTTCCAGCAGCAATATCAAGAGCCACCGCGTCAGCCTCCCAGTAAAATCCCCTCCCAGGCTTCTCAACATCATATTTCTTTCCCTCCACATCTCCATCTATGTACACGGTGAAGTTCTCAGGTGCAGCTGCAGGGCCCTCTACCACGATGCATCCTCTGGTTCCTTCAATACGGCAAAAGATATTGGGGGTCTTGACTTTTGAGTTTGACGTAATAATGCCCTGCTTTCCATCAGGGTAGAGCAAAACTATAGAAGTACTAAGATCGACACCTTGGACAAGAGTTTGCGCAGCGCAGATCTTTGGTGTAGTTGCATTCTCGCCTATGCCTGAATCAAGGCCTAAGAGACCCCACGTCAAGCTGTAGATACCAATATCGAGTAGCGAACCCGCACCCAGTGAAAGATCTCGCAAACGATGCTCAGGAGCTAGAGACTCAATGCGTTGGTCCATGGCAAAATCGGCAAAGAGGCGAACCACATCCCCAATGACTTTGTCCTTGTGAACGAATTCCTGGATAGTCTTGACAAGAGGGAAGAAACGTGTCCACATAGCTTCCATAATGAAAACACCCTTTGCCTTTGCCGCCTCGAATACCTCTCTCGCTTCTTTAGCATTCAAGGTGAATGCTTTCTCGCACAAAATATTCTTTCCGTGCGCGATAGCATCGAGACAGTTCTTCTTGTGGAAGCCATGAGGTGTTCCGATATAGATTATATCAACACTGGGGTCTTGGTAGGTTTCTTGGTAACTCCCGTAGATAGTCGGAGGTTGAGACGTGTTTGGAAGATGTTCTTGGACAAACTTTTTGCCCTTTTCAACAGAAGAGGAACCAATGGCTTGGATGATGTGTGTTGCTTTGGCGTCTTTACGGTCGATGGTGAGATCTGCAATGAACCAGGATGAGATCATACCAGTTCCAATGATGCCCCATCGTAGGGTTGGCTTTGACTCTGACATGATGTTCTAATTGTGGGTGAGATGAGAAGAAAACATAGAAAGTCATGATAATAACTCATCCTTCGGTTAAAAGAACTCTAAGATGGAATTGCTTTCAGGCTGTTTAGAAAACCCCGCACTACATGGTGGAACCTCTAACTGATGGCATTTCTGATGCTGTATATTAAACGACAATAGATGATGAGGTTACGGAGTCAACTCTGCGGTAGTAGCGACTCAAATCAATCTGTCGCTATCTGTGTGTGTACCTAATTCCTTGTCGTCTTGAATAGACTAGACTTGCTTTGCTGTATAAAAATCAACCCCTAGTCTAACACAACAATCCTAGCTCAGAACACTTCCAAACTTGGTGGCTTGACTGCGAACGCAAGAAGAGCATCTTCGAATGCAGAGATGGCGGTGGTTGATATACTGGGAATGGATATCATGCCGCTGAAAAAGGGCCAGGCCTGGCCTGCTAACAATTTCCACAGTACCTTGGCCACAGTTTCCACTCTTTTGCTCATACAGACAACTCATCAGGCGAGGCTGGAGGCTAGCGAAATGCAGGCCCGCGGAATGCAGGCCCTCTCTGAATATAACTATCAAATTCCATCTATGAAGAGTCAGCATCAGGGCCTTATAGCCATCCATTATGCTTATATCATCTCATAACATGCTTGTGCCTAGCATAGTACTATCACAAGCATGATTCACTCTGAATGATCGTCGAGAGTTAGATATATACCTAGTTTGCCCTTCTCTGGTCACCTTCGAATCCGTTTCCAGATACGATATCCAATGGCTTTGCCACATTTGTATCCCCCCTTCCCTCACTAACTGCTTCTGTTGTTTCCCACATAGAGCACCCTGGAATTTGTCCTAATACGAAGGTAACGCAGTCAGTCAATTCACGTCCATACATTGTGTTCCACGATACTAACCACTGTCGCAGCCCTCGTATTCGCAGGCCTTGTACGACACGATGCCGGCAAGAAGAAGTAGCTTGTGTATCAGTTTCGGTGCTTACCTCACTCATACCCCTCTTTACAGCACGATACGGTTGTTCAACTTCCTAGAAATCTACTGCATTATACGGCTATCACTGCAAGCCACAGGGAAAGGATGGAGCAGTTTGAACTATCAGATCGAGAAAGTGCCGTCGACACTATCCAGCCTCTGCTGGAAACCTCGCAACTGATGGTAGTACATGTGCCAATTCGCTTCAGAGCATAATTGCCGAATATTACACAAAAAATAATGTTCCCCTGAATGCTGTCCTTAGTAACGGCTTATCTGGACAGTGGAGGAATGGTGGCAGCCGCAATTAAGCCTGGATGTTGACTTGGAGAGAAGCAAGGTGTATTTAAGATAAGATTTGTTAAAGGAGTGTATTAGTTAGATTTTCATCGTGCCCGATAAAATCAATGCTCTAAATAAGTAATGTAAAAATGATAGATCAGTCTAATGCCAAACAATCCGTCAATGTTCCAAACAAACAGACTCAAAACCCATATATCCAAATGATCGTCAACATGCTGTATGTACGTGTAATGCAACGCTATGCTATGCTATGTTATGCTTATGCAACGCTCGTTATTCATAAGACTTGGAATAATTGAAGTGAATCCACCTCTTACTTGGGGCAGACAGGTCGGCTCTGACCACAGGCATCCTTCTTGCAGCATCCCTTGAAGCCGTTGGAGCAAACCTGGAAGAAGCCAGTGCCGGGAGCGCAGGTTCCGTCAGAGCGAGCCTTGACCTTGAAGGACTGGGCAGGCTGGTAGGTACCGGTCTTGTAGTCGGGGCACCAAGAGTTACCACAGGCGTCACCCTTGCAGCAGCCCCGAAAGCCGTTGGAGCAGGACTGGAAGAAACCGGTACCAGGAGGGCAGACAGTGGGGTCATCAGATCGCTTAGCGGGAGAAGAAGGGCAGATAGGCTGGGTCTGGCCGCATGCGTCGTTCTTGCAGCATCCACGGAAACCGTTGGAGCAAGACTGGAAGAAACCAGTTCCGGGAGGGCAGACAGTAGGATCATCAGATCGCTTGGCAGCGGTGGAAGGACAGATGGGTTCCTTCTGACCACAAGCATCGCCCTTGCAGCAACCTCGGAAGCCGTTTGAACAGGACTGGAAGAAGCCGGTGCCGGGAGGGCAGATAGTGGGATCTTGACGCTTAGCCTCCTTGGTATCGGGGCAGACACCGGCATCGCCAGTGCAAGCATCAGACTTGCAGCATCCCACGAAGCCGTTGGAACAGTTCTGGAAAAATCCTGTTCCAGGAGCACATTCGCCGATGGGAAGATCAGTGGAAGTGGCTTGAGGGGCGACAGTGGTAGCTGTCTCAGACTCCCACTCGTGACCACCTACAACAGGGTTGGCGACGACAGGTGGTTCAGGCTCAGTGATGAAGACAAGGTCGCAAGTCTTGAGGGCAAAGTCTCGGCACCACTTCTTGTCGCAAGGGTCTTCGGAGCAGTATCCACGGAAGCCATTCTTGCCGCAGACGTAGTACTGGACTGACTCGAGACCGAGGGGAGCGAGGCCCTCACATTCGGTCTGGGGCTTGGAGTTGGGAGAAGCAGCGGCGAGACCGGAGATAGCAAAGATGGCAAAGATGGCAGAATGCATTTTGAATATCGTTGTATGGGAGAAGAGTCGAAATAATTGACAATTGGAAACAATGAAGTGAAACTAAACTGTTGGCAAAGACGACTGAGAAGAAGCGAAGGTTTGTAAGGAAATAAGACCTGACAAAGGAAATAAGGAAATATAGAAAAAGGAAATGGAAATTGTTGTATTGATGTTTTGTGTTGTGATGATGAGAAGAGAAATTTCATCTTGGTGGTGGCATCACAGACTTCTTATACAAAGTTGCTTCCCATTGTGAAGCTCAACAATATCACACTAATATCGCAGCCCACAACTTGTTAGTTACTACCGACTTCCGGATTATGGCGGAGGAGGCTATGCCATAGCATCGGCATCTCACACACAGCCTGTCTTGGGGGCTTACACTACATCGGAGTGTCAGCCGTCAGATGGGTTTAGCTGCAATACAGTAGTAGAGAAATACTCAGCCCCCGCCTTCAGCTGATTATTAGCCCTATTTTAAGCTTAAGACTCGGGCTTAATTAGGTAAAGTAGGTAAGCCTGGACCGCAGTTAATTACTCTAGCCTCATTTATGGATCAAAACTCAGCCCTGTAGAGGTTGTTTCTCTGGTTTGCTGTGGCTTTATGCTTTGCCCAACAGTAAGCTGTTGACCAAGCTTTGCTGGTCTTGAGACTTGCAGGAATCTCGCTATTACTTACTTGAGAAAAAAAATAATCCACTCACTTTGCGCTATGTCAGACCGGCACTTGGACTGTTTATTTTCTGCATACTGAGCTTAGGTCTCCAGTTTTCTACCATCCCCTCCCTGGTATGGAGGCTGTTCGGGACTTCGGTACAACAGCGTTATCTGCAAACCACTTTCTTCTTGTCTCTCAACGAGTCTTGGAAAAATGAAATTAATACTAATCTTGGACTAGGCGACCAAAGACAGATTGTGGCGCAGCAGCTATATTCATCTCTATTGCTTATGCCCAGCTTCCTTTACTTGTGGGATTCTGCAGTTATCCTTACCTATCACGTAAAATAAAATCCTTCAAGTCATCAGCTTACTTTGATCCAAGTCATTCTATGTTACGTCTCCCAGTAGTGGTAGTAAGCGGTCAATCGCTGACACTGTATTCCACAACGCTATGGCTGGCTTGGGGTCGCGATGTGGTGTGCATCAGCTGGGCAGCCCATCACCACCGCTAATGGATACTTCCGCCTTCCATTCAAATTTACTGACTTGTAGGCTATCTTTGTATTTATTTCTGGTTGGAATGCAGTGGGAAAGTGTATGTGCAGTGGCCTAAAATGATGAGTCAACTGGCTCAACAGAACAAGATCATTTGAGCCGTCGACTTACTGATATCTCATTAAAGTTGAAAATAGAATACTTGGTTCGTCTTGCTTGTTGCAGCTCTTGGCTAACACAAGTGATGAAGTCATTGTGACAACTCAAGCCATATAATATTGCAACACTGTACAGAAGCTTACATAGTGAATCCATCATCCAATCAAGATATATTTCACTTCTCTAACTTCTGGATGATACTTTAGAAGCCAGTAGACTGTTGCCAACACTGCAGCACTAGACCAAACTTTTAGACTTACTCCAAGCTTCAGCTTTCTAACCCACTAAAAGTCAACCAATATGCCGTGTAGTGTTAACAAGGCTTGTATGCTGAGTTGTTGAGTTACGAAAAGCCGGTAAGCTGACATTCAGCTCATCAGTATCAACTCTGTCGATGAGCCAATATACCGATGTGCCGCGAGTCCGACTTGAAGCATCTCTTGTCGACGTGCATATTCAGAATCTGGTCTTTCGTCTATTCCTGATTCTTCTCTTTAAGACTTGTGCTATATCTAGTTGAGATCTTGTCAGAAATACAAATGTGGATTCTTTTGTTCCATGTCCTTGGCCTTGCTTCCAACGGGCACCTCTGAAGTATGAATTTCACTCCTTGAATCCATCTGGACTTCTGCGTCAGGTAACATCATATCTGCTCCGGAGTTACTCTGAATATCATCAGAAATTTCAACACGATCTGCGTCTGGTAGTGCTACATGGGTAGATGATTCTGGTTGATCCAAGTCCATCGAGACGTCATGTACAACTGGAGAGTCACTTTGCCCAGACTTGTTCTTGTACCATAATTTGACCTGTTCAGATGTCTTCAGTGGAAGGCTGTCCCATTCTTTAGTACGGTCATCCTTTCGTTGAGATGAGGGTTTGAATGAAACTTGGTTGTTCTCGGGTTCCTCGACAGACTGGACGAGACGGAAAAGAGCTTCTTCCGTTTCAGCCAGGCGTGCTTCCAGCCTTGTTATAAAACCAATAGGAAGGCCTCTGCCAGTCTGTTAGTTTGTCAGGGATAATGAACAAGTGTCACCGTACCTTTTGTTCTGTTCAGGGTAGTGACAGTTAGAGGGATCATTATTGCATTGTAAGCAATGGGGTCTATAAATATCAGTACTGACACAAATACTTAGTGAGTATAGATAGATACTAACAATTTTCTGTCACACTATGAAATATTGTCAGTCAAATTTTCTCCCTTTCTTTCAGAAAACTTGGTCCATTTCACCTTGCGTTTTCGCTGTCGACAATGACTGCAGGCTATTGGATTCAGCTGCCCAGACTCTTGCTCGACTAAAGGCTCACTAGTCTCCATGGGTAATTAGTCATACAGCGATTGATATCAATAATATGTTATTCTTATTATCCATTACAAGGCAGAGTGAGTGTGTTACTCAGGCGATGAAATCTAACCCCGCCTCGGTGTTTTCTTTGTCCGGCGCGGCACTAACACCTTTACAGCAACTACTGCTACGTTAGTTGATACTTTCATCACTCTACTTTATTCCTCAGCATGCCTTCTCCATCTTCATTACTCTGCCAAGGGTCACTTCTACTTGCCATATAAGAGCCCATATCACTGATTACTAATCAAAATGTCTTCTCACCATTCACCGTACGACACTCTCGAAACAGCATCTCACTCTACCCCAGGACATGAATCTCAATCTTCAAAACGAAAACACTCAACTTCAGGCCGGGAATATGGTTTGATGCGCGACACAGGAGAGCATGACGCCGCTCGTTTCGTAGGAAGTGGCAGTGGAATTCACTATATCCGTGCCGTGCACTTAAGGCTCGCCAAGAAATCTGCCTCAAGAACAGAATCTTCAACTATCAACACGCTTATCCCTGGAGAAGATGATCAATTACGACAGGGCGCTTCGAGTAAAAGAAATCAAGAACAGTTTCTATGGAACGACGATGAAGTCTGCGCGGACAAAGAAGAGCTGCCAGAGTTTCAAGATTTCGTGGACTGGTCCAAGAGTTATTTCGAGGCATGGCATCCAGTTCTTCCCTTTCTACATGGCCCAGAAGTTCTAGGCTTATTTGAAGAGATTTCTAAAGGCGACATCTCTTCCTTGAATCCTATCGACAAAGTTATCGTCAAATCTATCCTCTCCATCTCATTGGCCGATAGTCGTCAGTCTATCACTTTTAAGAAACCAATTCCAAAACAGTGCCTTTTCAACAGCGTCGATGATGCACTAGCAAGCTCACAATTCGCCCTGAATCAGCCTGCATCACTCCGAACAACACAAGCTGCTCTAGCTATTCAGTTATTCTTGACTTCGATGCTGTGTCTGAACGCTGCGTCCAGATTAGGTGGGCTTGTCGTTCGAGCTGCATTCCAATTAGGGCTTCATCGATGTCCAGCACGATATCCATTTTTCACTACCAAGGAAGCTTCAGTTCGTCGAAGAGTCTTTTGGTGTATATACATCTTAGAGAGACTTCTATGCCAGTCTCTGGGTCTGCCACTTGATATTCACGACGACGATCTCGATGTTTGTTATCCCGGCGAAGAGCGTCATACACTTACCAACAGAGACGAAAACATCCAACGGCTACAACTTTTGACCTTTGTGACAAAACATGCCCGTATTCGTGGCCTTATCCTTGAGCTCAGAAACAAATCCATGCTACAACGCCAAGACACAGCAGATCGAGCAGCCTTTGTACAAGCCGAGTTGGCAAAATGGTTCAACGAAATCCAAGACGCTGTCGAGGAAGATGACCTCGCCGATACAGACTCAAACACGCCTCCAATATCGGAACACCACAAAATCATGCTCTTGGTTCTTAAACACGAATCGGTGATATGTCTGAACAGGCCTGGCTTGGCCTCAGACCATCCTTCTCCCTCATACTCTTCCGCTTTTCAAGCCTGTATTTCCGCTGCAAAGTCGATATTGATAATACTGAAGAAGCACCAGAACCGTCATCAACTACAGGTTGACTCAAATGGTGCAAGATCGCAAACACCTTTATTATGGCCATCATTCACATGGTCTATCTGGATTAGTGCATTTGTTCTTATCCATGCTGCTTTTGAAAGACAAGTTCCTCTCGACAGTGCACTCAAGTATGTCATCCTATTACTTTAATATGATGTCATTTCTAATCGTACGTAGACATGTTGCTGCAGCAAAGAGTATTCTCGGCCATCTAGCGGCTCGAGACACGTCTTGGCCAGAATATTGCCTCGGTGCCATTGATGAGCTCACATCTACCGTCCAAGAGCTCTCTCAAGACCGGCCTTGTATGATCGAATCACCTGCCGACGCTTCCATCACGACAAGAACTTTCTCTCCTGGTATTCCGCAACAACGAGGAGGTGATACCGCCACACCCTCAAGGCCTCCAAGGTCTTTGAATCAAGATCTCGCAACAGGCTCAAGGGTCGCTATTGGAAGTAGAGACACAGAACGGTCTACCACATCAAACCCTTCTTCCAACGTCGCAGCCTTCACACCACGATCTTCATCTCCCCGATCACAACAGCGTAAACGCCAGCGGACATTTCCATCTGCTACAGCCATATCTCACGGCATGCCTTATCACCATCAGGAAAACCCCCACGGCCCTTATATGAGTGACTTACTCTCTACACCAAACACTTCATTGCCACTGGAAGGGTCGGCATACCCACAGTTAGACAATGTGCCCCTTGAAGGTCAAGAGTCAATGATGTGGTATGACCAGCTCTTTGCAAGCTCATTCAGTGCTATCGACAATCCATTCCTCGTTCATGCAGAATTTGATGCTTCTGTTGATCCAACGTGCAATTATCTACGCTAGTCTTTGACATATATATGGCTAATTCATCATACCTCCTTCACTTGCATCACCTCCCTTGACTTGTTCAATATCACCTGCACATGCTTCTTACCCGAGGCTCCATCTCCAAAGAGGTTCTTATTCTGGAGATGTTCAAGGAATAGCTCATAAGCTGGCATATATCCCTTGACGAACTTGATCACCTGCTCGTCCGTCATTCCTGGCTTGTGCTCTCTCAAAGCCCTCTCCTGACCCAGTCGCCATTCATAAACTTGAACCAGCTTATCCGTGCTCAAGTGTAAGAATCCATCAAAGTATTGCGGTCCAGCAAACGTGTCGCAATATCGTCTGAGATTCTCGTTGATCAACAAAAGATAGTCGAGCTTGTGGCTTGCAAGGCTATTGGTGAGAGACCGCTCCTCAGACTGCTGCGTCTCCGAGGCTTTAGCTTGCTCCCACTTCCTGATGACTTCTTCCTTGGTCAGGGGCTGGAAACCGAGAGCCCAACCTTCAAAGATGAGCACATCGAGATCTTGACCTAAAGTCACCTCATCCCATTCCTTGACTGGGACTCTCCCGCCTTGGCCTCCGTGGAGACTCTTATCGTACGCAGGCCATTTGACGGTCTTCTTCTCGCTCTCCGCCCGGCCAAGGACCTGATCAAAGAAGTCCTTCGCAAGAACCTCATCATGAGTTCCAGGCTGACCACGAGTTTGAAGAAGGCCGTTGTCTGGATTCGCTTCTCGGATAGCCACGAGCTCTGGGTGGTCATGATAGAGATCATCCAGGGACAAGGTGCGGTTCTTGAGGTTGTGCTGAGTTGTCAAAGCTTGAGATAGAGCTGCGGCCCATGTTGACTTTCCACTACCTTGGAGGCCGGAAAGTCCAAGGACGAATGGTTTTGATGAGTTTTTCTGGTGGGCGCGGATTGCAGGCACGAAAATGTCCAGAACGGCATTGATAGCGTTTGGGTCGATCATGTTAACAGGAGGTTTCAAAGATTATATAATTTGGTGGTTTGGCTGCTGAAAAGAATTGACAGTATTGAAAAGAGAACCGTGAAACAATGCCAGTCTGGAGAAAGTAATAATGTTTCAACTCATATGTATAAGCCGTTGCTTCGTCAAGCGGATATTGACGACAAATCCCCGCATAATGTAGGCCGCTATCCACGGAAAACCGTTAATGACAGCGGAGTTGGACCAGCGAGACCATGTGGTTAGCCGGGTCCAATAAGATGATGTTATTCTTCATGGGTTTGAAGCGGACAAAGAAACGTCCGCCTGCTCCACATGAGCCATCAAGAGTGATATAATTCCACATGAGCAAGTTCAAGCATATAAATAGAAGAATCTGAGAGATCTTGATTTACTATTCTATCTCTCTACCCATAACATATTACACCATGTCTCCATCAGCCGTCGCCGCCGAAAAGACTTACAACATCGCCTCCATCCCAGCCGATGGCATCGGTCCTGAGGTCATATCCGCTGGAATCGAGGCGTTGACTGCTTTGGCTGGCACACTTCAAACATTCAACCTTGAATTTACTCACTATGACTGGAGTTCAGACACTTACAAGAAGACGGGAAAGTACATTCCTGACGGTGGCCTTGATCAACTAAAGAAGCACGATGCTATCCTCTTTGGCGCCGTAGGAGCTCCTGGTAAGTAACAAATCTCAAAAGGTATTAGTCAGTTATACTTATCGTCAATAGATGTCCCTGACCATATATCTCTCTGGGGTCTTCGTCTTGCTATCTGCCAACCATTCCAGCAATACGCAAACGTTCGTCCCACACGCATCATGCGCGGAACACAATCTCCACTACGTAACTGCAAGACCGGAGACCTTGACTGGGTCATCATCCGCGAGAACAGCGAGGGTGAGTACGCTGGTCAAGGTGGTCGATCGCATCGCGGCCATCCATGGGAGGTGGCTACTGAAGTCTCTATCTTCACACGCCACGCCGTCAACAGACTCATCCGCTTTTCTTTTGAAGTTGCGCAAAAAAGACCAAGGAAGCATTTGACTGTTGTTACCAAGAGCAATGCGCAGCGCAATGGTATGGTGTTGTGGGACGAGGTTGCTGCTGAAGTCGCGAAGGACTTCCCTGATGTGACGGTGGAGAAGATGCTGGTTGATGCTATGACTACTAAGATGGTTCTCAAGCCTGAGAGTATTGATACTATTGTCGCAAGCAACCTAGTAAGTCAATACCGAAAACCACCGATCTATTGCTCATACTAACAATTGTATAGCACGCAGATATCCTGTCTGATCTAGCAGCAGCTCTCGCAGGTTCAATCGGCATCGCACCAACAAGTAACCTTGACCCAACCCGCGAGAACCCATCCATGTTCGAGCCCATTCACGGATCGGCTTTTGACATCACCGGCAAAGGTGTCGCTAACCCAGTCGCTACATTCTGGACGGCAGCAGAGATGCTCACTTGGCTAGGTGAGGAAGATGCGTCGGCCAAGTTGATGGAGTGTGTGGAGAATGTGACGGCTTCTGGGGTTCTTACACAGGATCTTGGTGGCAATGCGACAACCAAACAAGTCACGGACGCGGTTGTGGAAGAGATCAAGAAGCTTGGGAAGGGATCAGATTAACGTTTTTATGTTCTAATTGAACTCTGGATTGTTCTCTTGTCTTGTTATTTACGCACGGTAACTTCTTTGTCTTGTCATATGTATGCTTTGTTCTCCCTTGTTTGGACAAAAGCAGACAGATATAGCAACATGGCTTTGTGTTCTTCAACTAGTCTCCAAAACCTTTACCGTTGTTAAGACATGTTCAAATAGTCGTATTAATTATAAGACTGTCATACAAATCTCATTGTTAACTTGACTGAGCCAAAGAGTAAACATCACCAACGCTCAATTTCACTCAATCGTTACTTACCCATCACGACATCCCTGAGAACACAACCTTTCAAAATGTGCCACATTACTATCGTCAAATGCAGTGCGAAAGACTGCAAAAATTCACCGCGCGTCCGCATCGTCTACTGCCATGGCGCGCGAGAAGACAGAAGAAACATGATCCCAGCTAACTGCGATGAACGCCAAACTGCGATAGAGCATTTCAAGCAAGATGAAACTTTACACGGATGCTTTGGATATACCCTGGATCCTGAACTGAGCCAAGATGAAGATTGCTTCCTTCACTGCTCTTTATGAAGCGAGAAGTGATGGTGCTATCTATGTACAAGTCTAGTTGTGGAAGCAAATCACACAAATGGATGGGCATTATACCTGTCCAGATAGAGAGATATGGAAGTAGTAGCTAGCATCAGCAATTCACAAACAAAAGAGTCATTTTTATGTTTCATTGGCCTTCATTGTTTATTCAACATCGCAGTAACTAACTAGTTCGTACATGTACAATCATGACCTGGTGAAGACTAGGACTTAACCAAGGAAAAGCAAAAACACCTACCTGTAAGAACTGAAGCACTGCAGTCCATACATACATATACTACATACCACATGTCTATCTATCTTTTATCCTTCTCGCTCGTCTATTCTGTTAGACCGGAATTTCCCGTTTTGATCATGTACCTAAAAGAAACATTATGTTAGAAAGACGAATCAAGGGAATTGAAGAAAGGGCTACAAAGGCACTTGTGAAAGAATTTTGGAGCCCAAGAATCAGAAAGAGAAGATCGCAACAGTGTATCCCACCTTCTCAATGGCGATGATGATGATGGCGATGTTGGTGATGGTGATGGTGATGGCGATGGCGATGGCGGTGGCGGTGGGTTCCTTGGCCAAAATCCTCATCTTCGTCAGAACGTTCAGCAAGCGCCCTCCCAAAAATCATCAATCTCTCAGACAAGCGACGCTCGTACCCTGCCAATCCATACATAGCTTCGTTGAAAACGTTGTCTCGTCGAGCTTGTTGAGCTGCCCACATGTCGCCAATGGCATCAACGTCGAGCATGCCGCCGACGGCTTCATGACGCTGATGTTGCTCTTCTCTTCCCCTGTGTCCCATCGCTGGCGCGAGGTATTCAAAGCCGCCAGGAACCATGCGTCTACCTACCAAGTCCCTATATCCAAGACGACCATGGCCACCCAGTGCGTCATGCTGGGGAGGGTTTGGTATAGGATAGGCGTTAGGAAGGCGAGGAACGGCCTGACGATCGTTGACTACTGGGGGGAAGGGATCAGGAAGGATTCCATGGAACATCCCTCCTAGTTGCCTCTGAACTGGAAGCCTTCTCTGCATTTCGGCGATTTGGGGTCTCTGTACCATTCGGGCTATCTGAGCCCTTTCTCTTTTCAGTTGTTGTTCACGAAGAGCCTCCTCGTGCTGCGGCAACGCCAGCGGTCGGATCACTCGCCTGGAAGCCAAAGCTTTGCACTGTCTCTCTTCTTCTCCGGAGTTAGGACGCAGCCGCGGGATCCTAAGCGTTTCAGTCCCGACATTTTGGGAAGTCGGTGCCTCTGTACGAGGCCGACGGCGGAACTGTGGTGGTTTGACACCAGGGCGGTCCCGCATGGGCACCATTGTCTCAAACCCCCCGTACAAAGTACAACGACAGTCCTTCCATCCTACGCCGCACAAATAGCAGAACTCGCAAAGGCAGGGACACTTCATGTGGTTGCATGCGGCTGACAACTCGATCATCCTCCCGCAGTCAGGGCAGTTCACAGTTCGGTTGGCGTCCATGGTGGCCCAGACATCTTCTTCTACATCTCCTTCAGTGCAGGGTTGTCCGCGGTGGCGTCTCGCACCGCAATCGAGACACGTTTTGTCGTGGCAAATAAGACAGCGTCCTTTTCGATCTGGCGGTATAAATGCCGCACAGTTGCCATCGTGGCAGTAGACTCGATCGGGAATTGGAATCTGACGTTCTTCGTCCATCTGTCGAAATATATGGACAAGAGTAGGGGAGCGTGCGAGCGCAACCGCTGTTTCATCGAATGGCTGGCAGCATTTAGGGGGGAACTCTTCCTGAGAGCGAAGACCAAGTCGGAGGGCTTCGCGATAGCAAGACAAACAGTAGTTGCAGCCGCAGGGTACTCTAACGTGAGCACTCTCGGTACAGACAATACATTCTTCGCCGATGCTTTCGGGTTCAGGTTCCGAAGGGTCTGGGAGAAATGCGGCCCTTCGTTCTTCGCGGTCCAATACAACGCGATGGGAAGTATTTTGGACTTCGGGACTGCGCAGCCGTTGGGCTGCCAACTCGTCTTCTGGCATGATTCGTGAGACTAGAAGAGCCTGCTCTTCGGGGTCTGCGAGTTCGAGGGCAAGAAATATCGTTCTTGCGAGGTAGGCTTCTGAAATTCTGTTGTGTCCCTTAGTGGGGAGGAGATCAAGACGAATCAGTAGGTCAACAAGGTCCGGATGAACCTTGTCAAACGCATCTGTGTGGCGTGACATGTTTGGGGAATTCTTACAGAATGAGCTTCTTGAGAGTGTTTTCGAGATAAAATACACAAAATGTGAAAGCTGGTTGGGAAGTTGGTTGTGAGGTAAGTTTTGGAAAAGGCTGGACGCAGACGTTAAATAGTCAGGAGAAACAAGAGGTGCACAACTTGGGCAGCTCTGGGTGAACATGAACTGAACAGTAACAATGTTCGCAAGTATGGGAATTACAAGATGGAACACAGACAAGGTCAGTTGAAAGGGTACGCCTTTAAGTACACCTCTGGCATTGTTGGGTACCAGTGGACCGAATAGTGACATTGTTCCTAAGTCACGGAATGATTAGGAACTCGACTGCAGAACAAAGTCGAATAGTTGCAGTGACGTTGTGCTCAACGGCCCTGTCTCTTTATGGCCATTAAGTACTAGACCGAATACAATGACAATGTATCCGTTACCTCACGAACAGTTCGCGCACAGCTCATGCAGGTATGCGAAAATTAGAACTCGAAGCCGAAAGGCAATCAGATTGATAATGCATTGTCCCTTCTGTAACCCAAGAAAATACATGGCCATGCGCCTTCACCTCGCTTCGCTTGACAATTAGCCGCTGCCCACAGGGTATCCGGGCGTCCATTCATCAACGACATAAAGACACTTGACTCCTTGAAAGAATGATAAATCATGATACAAGTCCAAGAGCCAAGAGTGGTATCCTACCCAAACCCCCCGTACCGACAGTCCATAAACCCCAGCGGGGAGTGATTCGACCCATGTGACGTGGGTTAACAAACAAATAAACCATATAATATAAAATAACATTAACGCGTAAACCCCACAAACTCCACTTCGTCGTGAACTCCATCGCTGATTCCCTATGTGACGTTGAGGGTGAAAGACACGCAATATAGACAAACAAACAATTCGACGGCTCGAAGCCTAGTAGCTGAAGTCAACATTGGCCATTGACATGGCGGGTGGACCTTTGTTCTGGTCATTGTTGTTATTAGGTGGTGAACTGTTGGTGTTGTTCTGGCTCACGGTTATGGAAGAAGCATCCCCGTCACCCAATGTTGTATCTGCGCTTGATGCAGATGTTGTCGTTTGAAGTTCGTGGCCAGCTGGAGGTTGAGCGCTCGGTGACCAACCATCGTTGAGCATCTGCTGGAAACTCCAGCTCGGTTCGAATGATTTACTGTTCCATGCATGGTTCACACGTTCGTACATTTCGTCGATCTGTTCCAGGCTGATCTTGCTCGTCTCATACACCATGCACCATACAAAGAAAACAGCCAAAATGCAAAAGGCGCCCCAGATAAAGAAGATTTTTGGACCAAAGGAGGCGTTGCCTGGTCCTGTGCCAACCAAGAAAGGCGCGCCGTAAGCAATGCCAAAGTTGAGAAGCCAGTTCGATGCTGTTGAAACGGACATGGCCTTTGCTCGGACCTTTAGAGGATAAATCTCAGAAGTGACGACCCAGACCACGGGGCCCCAAGATGCGGCGAAAAAGAAAATGTTGAGAGCACAAAAGGCGATGAGGATGGTTTGTGACGCTTTCTCGTAGCTTTGTCCTGTCGCTGTATCGAATGACGCCATAAGAAGTTGACAACCAGCCATACCAAGGGCTCCAATCATCAAAAGTCTTCGTCGGCCCCATTTCTCAATGACTAATAGACCTGGTATTGTCGATACAACGTTGATAATGTTTATAATAAGCGACTTGGTGTAAGGGCTTTCAACGCCGGCGCCGTCAAAAAATGATGTGCTGTAATACATTATAAAGTTGATACCGGTAAGTTGTTGAAGCATCTGGAGCACGCATCCAGTAAAAGTTCGTCGACCAAGATTTGGTGAGCCGATAAAAAGTTGCTTATAGCTGTCGGGACCTAATGTTAGTTCGTATTGATGATTGGCAATCATTTCTTGCAGTTCATCGACGAGTGCTGGATGGGTAATGTCAAGTCGTCGTAGCCGGCTAAGTGATAGGCCGGCGGCTTCGTGCATGCCCTTCTTAACAAGAAAGCGAGGTGTTTCTGGTAGCAGCAATAAACCGCCGGTGAGAATAATGGCCGGGACTATTTGAAGACCAAGAGGGATGCGGTATGCAGATGAGTTGTTGAGTTTGGAGGCCAGGATGTTAACAATAGAGGCGGCCAATAGGCCCAAGGTAATGGATAATTGATAGGCGCAGACGAGAGTGCCTCGTATCCATTTGGGAGCCATTTCAGACTGATATAGTGGAACGAGGACAGAGATGAGGCCGACACCTACACCAGCAAAGAATCTGTATACGGTTAATGATCTGATCCTCCCGACTCAATTTAAGTGGGAACATACCTTCCGACCAGCAACAAGTCAATATTATCAGCAGCAACTTGGAAGATGGCACCGACGCAGAAGATAGCGACGGCCAGAAGTAAAGTCTTACGACGACCTAATGAGTCGCCGGTGGGTGCGGCAAGTAGAGCACCGAGGGCAGTGCCAGCACTTAGAATAGCGACAATGATAGATGAGTCTTTTGTGCAAATGTCGATGGCGCCGTTTTCATCGACGCAATTTGTGTGTTTTCCGAACTGCTCCTTGAACTCTGTCATGGCAAGGATACCGTTGATGGCTCTGGAAAGATGGATAGTTAGTATTTGTGACTGAAAAATGATGTGACGCGATGAAGTGATTTGGTTATGGATGAGCGAATGCGGTTCGGGATCCAGCCGGTCGTTTTATCTTGACGGGTTCGCGAACATGAGTCGTTATCGTTTCGAATATCAATACCGTATAAATCCATCTCGCATTTCCTCGTAGTGTTATCCATTTTTGTTGTTCAAGATAATGTGGTGATGGTATCGGCGTCATCTTCCGTCACCCAAGGTTCGCCGACGTCGTCGCATCGTTAAAAAGTCAATCGTGAATATCCGTCAAAGCGTCAAAGAAAGTCCCTTAATTCGTCTCTTGTCGTCGGTTTCGTAGTATTCGATATCGCCGTATTTTTCCATCCGCAACACATTCCATTTCCCGCATCAAAAGGCCAAGAGATTGGTGGTCTGTCTTACCCAGTATCGTAGCCGAACAGTAACCCGCCAGAAGCAACGAAGAGACCGACCATGATGGCCGGCGCCGACGAGCCCGCGACATTGTCGGGTTTCTGCCAGCCCATGGCAATGGCCATGGTGTCGGTGTTGAAGTCGTCAATCCAGGGTTCAGAGGTGTCAAGAGCGAAAGGCTCCGAGTCGGCGAGATTTTGGTGGAGGTTGAAGGGGTTGAGAGATCAACGGGGGGACATTGGGCGATTCCGTGTGGGTAATATTGGATGGCAGATGGCCACTGACTCTAAGTCTGTTATTTTCGCACTGGGTACCGGGTACTTGGGTTGGTTAAAGTCAATGCTCGGCTCTAGTCTTTTTGAGGAGAAGGGGAATCACGTAGTACATGGGGTAGAAGGTAGAAGGTAGAAAGAAGAGTAGATATGCTAATATCATGAGCTGATAGTGAAGAGACGCGATGAATAAACTTGTCTTGTAATTCCAAATGTAAGAAAGTTAAGCTGGGTCCAGGTTCAGCCAGGTCCAGGTCCCAGGGAAAAAAGAAAGACAGAGAGAGGGGCAGGACAGACCTGAATGCAATGGAGAGTGTTCCGTCTCCAGACGCAGGAAACCGAAATGGAAGGGATCATCGCTCTGGGGTCTGTTAACCCATTCTTGTACTAGGCCAAGCATTGGCTCCCTGTCCTGCAGCCACTGGAACCTCGTCAAGCAATTCTAGTGGAGTCTCTTCCTCTCTGGGAAGAGCGTGGACTGGCTGAGCTAAGCGAGTCACAGTGCGCTCTCCAGCTATTGACGATACAACATTTAATTTTCCCTTCCCTTTTGATTCTATGTAGCATTACACAACAACAACTAACTCACTCTCCAGGACATTTTATTTTTCGGATAGCACAACATTACGCACGCGTCTCCTTCCAGAAATCCGACGGGGAGACCTCACTGTCTGGGCGCCACGAATCTGAAACTGAGTCACCTATACACGGTCCTTGTCTGGTCTTGTGTTAGTGGATTCAGGTCAAGTTAAAGCAGCATCAACAAAAATGGCAGGGAAGTATTCAGCTGTTGGTTCATTCCGCACCCGGTTAACCGTTGGCCTCTTAGCTGCATTCAAAGGTTGGTCAAATGGCGGAGAGTTGACTCCTTCAAGGACGAGTAGTGACTGGCCTGAATACTACTTCATATAGCAGGGGAAGGAGATTCCGCATTACAACTAATATCCTTGTGCTATAGTTCGTTCAGATCCAGGACAATCGATCCCGAAGCTCTGACTTGACAACATTACCATCTTAAAACCCATCAACACAACAGACAAACATACAGCACTGTCTACTGGGTGCTAGAAAAAATGGCCTCCTAAGCTTTAGGGTATAAAAATAGGCAGTCTAAGAAATATACTCTAAGGAGGCATAAAGTGACCTACTAATTTCGTCCCTTATGCTTCCAGCGGTCAATTTTTCTGATACCCTGAGGACTGTTTATCAGAACTTCACTTCCAAATAAACCCAACCACGCCAAGAAACACAGTCAGAACACTGTACGTTACACGCAGCCATTCAAGACACAACGGTGCCTCCGCCATGCAGCGCTTACCCCGGCCTAGCACCCCTTCCAACGGAACCGCACTCTCTACTGTACCAGCGAGTTTCTAGTCGCAATCAGATCATAGCGCGGGTACCCCCAAGCTACGTGCGACTTTGCACAGTATGCACAGTCTCCAGCCCTTCCCCCGCAAGGGTCCAGTCTCGGGTACCGGTACTTGGCGTCCATGATTTGAATTGTAAGAGCGAGCGTCGACCCTTGTGGGTATGATCAATTTGACAGAACAAATGGTCATGCTATCAGGCAAATCACATCTTTCCTTGAAGAAAAGTTCATGATTTAACTCAACGACAATTGAATTACAAGCCACTCACGTTACAACGCGTTTTACAGGACCAGGAAACGAAATTCTCTACGATTTTATTGATGCAAGCTCCAAAGTGGCTTCGTGAGCTTTCAAAAATAAAAATAAAATGGCCTAATTGATCGACAAGAACCAAAGCCCATTTCGCGGGTTCAGCCGCTCCTGTCAGTTCGGAAGCCGAAACAACAGCGGCAGATCGAAGAGCCCTTGACAAATTAGCTACAGTGACAATGACAGTCTGCTTGATGTCCAATACATCGCCAAATAACGAGTCCCCTTATGGTCATGCGACGCTTTCTCCCTACTTGGCGTCTAGGCAGATGTGAGAAGCCGTGGCTTTTGGTGGCTTGGTCACTCTACATCAGACGCTACAGAAGAATGTGTCCCGAACGGGAAGCTTGCAAGGCTTCTTGCATCCAACTCAGAGAATTCAGACGAAACAATGTGACCGCGGTACTTCACTCGATATGGACAATAGTTCCAAGCTGAAGTTGAGATATATCCTACAGCATTAACAGCAGAGATATACGACATCTCTATTCCAGCATTTTACTAAAAGCAATATCATTTCCACCATTTTATAGCTTTGCATTCCATTTATTACAGACAAGTCAGGTACATCGGTCCTTTAACACGTGCTCGGCGTAACTTTTTGCGGGGTGCAGCAACAAAGTACGGGGAACAAGGATCAAAGACCGCAAGGCCGAACGCCCCCTTGGCAGACAAAGAAATGTCAGAAATGCCGCGCTGATCATCTCAGGTGGCTGTCATCTTCACGTGGATCAATTAATCGCAGCATGTCAGATTCTATTTCGTGCGCGTATAGTCATTGACATGATTACTTTTGGCTGAGCGGATACGAAGCGAGATCAGACTAAAGGATTGACCTGAACTACGAGATTTACCCTAGACCACATGTTCTACAGTACGGAACTTCAGAAGCCAGTTTTATTTGAGCGGCTGGACATATCAACTGAGCTAATTATCATCAAAGTAGCTGGTTTCAGTAGGTAGTCTCAGCTTGTGCTCATCGCGATCGAGAGTGTATTGGGCTACTCAAGATCCAACAACTCCATGAGGTCAACAACGGAAGCAAAGTCTGATCTCATCGATGATACCTTTCATCATTGCAACGCTTCACCCGTGAATCCTACACAAATACTTGACCAAATGCAACGTTTTCTCAAGGCCGCGTGGTAGTGTAACGAAAACCATTCAAGGCGAGACAAACTTTCCCTTCCCATCTTGATCGTCAGGCACAAACACAAAAGGCCCTTACAAAAAAGACCGTCGTGGTACATGTACTATACCAAGCCACTCCGTTGATCAACGTCAAGCCGCAAACTATCATACCAGAGGATAAATAGATCACAGAGTTTTACTATAGGGGTAATTCGTAAATGGTAAAAATATCTTTGGTAATGTATAAACTAGATTGCAACCAAGCTGCATGCATCCCGCCTATCAATACAATACAAAAAAAGTTCCTAGACGCCTAAATTGCCAAAAAGCCCTTTTTCGGCCATGATGGTTACTCGCACAAAAAACAAAACTGCAAAAAGTTCATGGCGGCTTTGCTCTTTTGTTTGCCGCGTCACCGTCGTTACATCAAGTGTCTCCACATAGCCTCTAAGGCTCGAGAGTAACCTCCTGGCCCTTGACGCGGCCGATGACCTGCTGGGGCGCGTACTTGGGGATGACCTCGTCGTCGTGCAACATCTCAAACTCCTCGGTCGCGTCGCGGCCCATGAAGTTCAGGATGGCCTGCACGCCACCGGGGTGCTCCTCGAGCCAGTCGCTCAGGTCCAGGACGACACCCTTGACGACGACCCAGACGTTGTCCTTGGTGTTGTGCTCTGCGATCTCCTCCATGGTGTACTCCTTCTCGGGAACCTTGAAGGCCTTGGGGTCGTTGGGCTTAGCAGCCTTGGCACCATCCTCCTTGACGGGGTTGGGACCGGCGGCAACGCTGGCGTGCTCGTCGACCTTTGAAGGAGCTCCGGAGCCTGAAGAAGCGGCGCCAGGAGCACCCCAGGAGACAGTCACCTGGTTGGGGATTGAAGGATCGAGGTGCAGAGAGATTTGACCAACACGCTCAGCGGCGCTGCCAGCACTGCCCTTAAGGGCGTTCTGGAAGAGGTAGTTACTGGCAGTGTCACCAGCAACACGACCGTAGACAACACATCCGAGAAGAGAAGAACCACCCAGACGGTTGGCACCGTGGACACCACCAGCCAACTCACCACAGGCGTAGAGACCGTCGAAGGGCTGCTTGTCCTGGTTGAGGACCTGGGCCTTGTCGTTGATCTCAATACCACCCATGGTGAAGTGGAGAACGGGCTCCATGACAGCGACGTGGAAGTCGTCGTCAACGTTGACGGGCAGGTTGTGGAAGAACTTCTTGCCCCAAGGGTCCTTCTGCTTGCCGTCGGCAATATCGTTGTATGTAGAGAAGGTCTTCTGGAGGTGCTCGGGGGTGCAGCCAATCTCCTTGGCAAGCTCCTTACCAGTCATCTTCTTCATGAGACCACGGCCAGAGTAGTGGCGAGTGTGGAAATCAAGGACCTTGGAAGCCTTGGAGTTGAGAATAAGTCGGATAGGGAACTTGTCCTTCTTCTTCTCATCCCACATCATGCCGGAGACGTAGTCACGGTGACCAAGCTCATCGCAGAATCGGTCACCGTCGGCGTTGAGCAGAAGACCACCCTCACCACGGAGAGCCTCAGCAGCGAGGAACTTCCACTTGGAGCCGGGGTCCTTGGGGTCAACGAGACCTGTGGGGTGGACCTGAACCTTGTCCATGTCGATACCGTTACCACCGATGGCCATAACCATCTTCTGGCCGTCACCAGTGGCGTGTGTGCCGTTTGTGGTGGCAAGGCCGTAGGTGTCGGGGCGGTGCTTCTTGAGCAGAGAAGAGTCGGAGAAATCAGCGGCGTAACCACCAGTAGCGAGGACGACGGGGCCATCGACAGAGACAATCTCGCCATTGTGCTCGTACTTGACACCAGTGACCTTGTTACCCTCCTTGTTAAGCTCGGTGACGCGAGCCTTCTTGATGATCTCGACGCGGCCGGGTTCGCTCTCGGCAAGCTCCTCGAGGCGCTGCATCAGGGCGTAGGTGATGGCCATACCGGGGAACTTGGCATCGTGTCCTCGGTGGGTTCGGGGCTGGGAGTGACCACTGTGCAATTGTTAGCAGACTGTCTTTGATTTATAGCCGATAGCGAATTGAGCATACCCGAGACGAGAAACGAGAGTGAGGTCGAGGTTGAACTCATCCTGAAGCCACTCAACGGCAGCAGCAGACTTGTAGGTGAGGACCTTGATGAGGTCGGGACGGGCCTTGTCACGGGCAGACTTGAGAGTATCATCGTAGAACTGCTTGACGCTGTCGGGAATGCCAGTGTCGACTTGCGTTCTTGTGAGAGCACCGTTGATACCGGAAGTAGCCTTGGTAGAGTTTCCACCGAAGAAGCCTGCGCATGTTAGTCAAGTTGCGCGCATGGGACCAAACCCAGGCGCTCAAATGCGCCGAGGGCTATCGGTTCGGATCGGAGACTTACCCTGCTTGTCGAGGACAACGACGTTGCCGCCAGCCAGGTAGATGGTGTGCGCAGCAGAAAGACCAGAGACTGAATACGGGTGTTAGTATGGGATGATTCGGTCGCGTGGAGCGACTTTGAGCATCATTGTCAACTTACGGCCACCGCCTACGACAATCACTCTAGGAGCCATTGTTGTGTATGTGTATTGTTATGTGGAGGGTATACGAGGAAGAGAATGATTCAAGACACAGCAGATTAGACTCCCACGCCAATGGAGAATAATACAAAAAAGAGAGAGATGGAGATTGGAGGTGAGAGTGTGGATGAAGGAATTAAGAGAACAAATCCAAAAAAGAAAAGGTCGGGGAAAGGAAGAGAGGATCAAGGACAAGTCTTATTTAGTCGATGCGATCCATGCGACTGGACTGGACGCCCACAAGGCCGAGGGGCAAGATCCTTGGCCTAAGGCGCAGAAGCCGAGGTCGAACCATGACCATCCCCATGATGACCTAGCGAGCGAGCGCGTGCAATCCAACCTGCCCATCCATTTCTGACCATCTGAGCTTAACAATGATAGTCAATCATAAGAATTAGGTACTTAAAAGATACTACAGACTGCCTTGAATTATAGTTTGACACTGTATATCTACTTTACTGCCACTCTGAATTGTTATAAAGTCCTTCCTATTGTCTTGATTTTGTCTGTTGCGAACAAATACTTGCGGGGAGTACCAAATAACAGGCGCAAATCAGATGCTGGCATTTTCTCAGCAGGTCCAGTCCAGGATTGTTCCCCGGAAGCGGCTCTCATACCCACTGAGACTTAGCGTCCACCCGCCTGTATCCACCCCCGCTACGGGCTTCAAGATTTGGGGATTGGGGGAATACTTGGAATATTGGCATGGCTTCATGTTGTTGCTCAGTTGGGTTAGAGAGAGACTGAGCTGTTATCCAGCCTGGTGAGCTGAATGAAAGGTACTGTTCAGTTATTCCGACAGAAATTCTCCAACATCGCAGCCCTCGCCGTAAGCTACACCGAAACACCACCCGCTATATCCCCGGCGACCGGGCAACCCACCGACTATGGCCTCTGATGTGCCGAGGTCTCCGCTACTCTAGGTGATGAGGTTCGTGTGGGGGAAGCTAAGGAATAATTCCTGACTTGGCAGCATCACAGTTCCTGTTTCTGGATTGTGAGCAGGGTCGTGTCGAATACCATCAAGTGTTTTGTCATGATAACACGTGGTATTGACCAGGCGTTTCACTATACATATGCCATATTGCTGATGCTCTGACAATAGCATGAGCATGTGAGAAAGTCTTCTCCTCACTTCTCTGTCTTTGATACCTCCAAAACCACCAATCATACCTCCCTTCTCCAAACCCCACACAACCGGACTTGTGACCGACCGCCTCGGCCAAGTAACCGGATACCTGTCAATGGCTTAATGATGCTTCTTGAGGAGGACACGTGATATAAAGTGGCATATTCCCCAGACTAACGAGAGAACAAAGTGCCGTCCAGTTTTCACATGTTTCTTCCCGTTGAAGCATGCACATGAATCGCTGCATCTTTGATCATCCTACTCCATGACGCCCATGCATTTGAGCATGCCGCCATTTTCCCCACGTTCATGATTAAGGTGCAATAACAAACATTCTTCAAGAGGCTTGTGACAGTCAGATCTGGTCAGCTGGACTCGTTTTCTTTTTCAAGGCTTACTATTCGTCTTTACCTCAGATCAAGTCAAGAAAAAAAGCACGTGAAAGTCTTGCCCTCCTGGTTTCAGTTCAGTCTTTGCCGCTGAAGCGAGACACTATACTTTTTGAGTTTTCCCCGGATTCTACACGTGCATCATCTGACCCCAGACTACGCCACTTCTCACTGCTTCGTTTTCCTCGGCCATTCTGACTTGAATTCTGGGGATGAAGCTGACTCATCCGGAACTTTCACATGTGAATGTGAGATGAATTGATGCAACTTCATTTTGGAATAGCCTAAAGGTCCAAATTGAATAGCATGAATTGACTTGTTAAGTCCGTCTTTTTTGCATTTAGCGGTCAACCTTTCCAATATCCTGGGGTCGTAGTAAAGACATAACGTCGCCGTTATTTTCGACATGAATGCGTATCAGATTGCCTTGTTGCAAAGTCACAAACTATTTTACGGCACCAAAGCAACACCAGATGTTACAAACGTTGAACTGTTAACGGTGAAAGCAAAGCCACAAACGAGTTTTACACACCAGAATAGACTCGAGCATCTCGTGGTCGACTCCAGGAGAGAATGCTGCGCGATCAACTCTAGCCTTGGAAGATGCTGTATTGTTGGCAGATAACACAGTCTAAGGCTAGTCAATATCTATTGATCTCTCATCTGTAATGAATATAGTCCATATAGTCCATCTGTATTCTTTCTCCAGGACCCTTACCCCGATGGAAGGATCTGTTCCAAACACGGCCTTCTCAAGTTGTCCGGAAAACAATCCACCTTGACTTGGCATGTTCCGTAACGATGCTTCCCACAACGCCATTGCCAACAATCCTTTTTAGGAAACCAACCGCCGTCCTTTCCAGCCAAGTGGTATCAGTATTCTTCAATGTATCGCAATTACTTCATGTGTGTGCACTGCAGACGACGACTCTTCCATCCTTGATTCACTTCAACATCAATGTTATATGATTGGCCTACTCAGACCCGCCCCACCTCCACATGATTTCTTCCCGCATCACGTCCCTCCTCTCATGACGTACATTCTTCAGTATCACTTCAATCCTACATCACCATCAGCAACATGAAACCTCTTATCGCCCTAACAGCCATACTAAGCCTCGCAACATCCTCACAAGTCCCTCTCAACGGCCATCTCCCTATAATGCCTTCCTCCGACTCCCCTTCAGTCCAACCCTCCGTGGCTCTCGGCGACATCCTAGGTTCCAACCGCGGCCTTACATCCTTCTCTTCCTTCGCGCGCATGCAGCCCTCCACCGACACGCGCCTCTCCGACCTGTCCACCAACACCACCGTCCTCGCGCCGCTGAATTCGGCCGTCGATGCGCTTCCGCGCAAACCGTGGGAGCAACCTGCTGATTACGATGCGTTTGGCGCGGATGCGTACGAGGGTGATGGTGGACAGGATCGTGCAAAGGAGAATATGAGGCGCTTCGTGGAGGCGCATCTCGTGCCGGCTAGTCCGTGGCAGAAGGAGGACAAGATCAAGACCTTGGGCGGTAAGGAGGTTTGGTGGGTTGTCAAGGATGGGAAGAAGGTCATCATGCCTGATGAGGTCGAGGTTGAGCGTGTGGCCAGCCAAGTTGGTAACGGAGAGCTTGTAAGTTGATTGTCATTGATATGGAGGGAAATGCTAATCCGGTTGCAGTGGATTCTCAAAGGAGTTTTGAACTACGCTTAGAATTGCGACAACACGAGTAATGATAGATTAATGATTATTGTACACAGCTCAGCAACAAGCCAAATACTACAGAAACAGGCTACAGATGCTTCCTTACAGCACCCAGCGTAATAGAGATAATGGACTTAGGGTTTAAAGACAATACCACAGCTCAATCTGAAGCTGGTTCACTCAGTATATTGATTAGGTCAACATATTCGTCGCCGGTATCATCTAACCATACTCCCGATCAAAAACAACATCCAGACAAAAACAGATTAACAAATCACAAGAACACCCGCAACAAACTTCTTCCATCTTTTCCATCATGCAGTGTGTTCGAAACATATCAACCCAAAGCATGGTTCTATTTGCACACCAAGAGACTTCAGGGCTGTGGGCCCAAAAAAGAAGAAGAGAAGCGGAAACACAGGCATGATTGCCTCGTAAACAAGAGACTGAGGCCATAGATAGACACTGACTAAATTGATGACGTTTCATGACTGACATACAGAGGCCAGCCTATGATGCCCTGTCGGTTGAAGCGTGTAACGGAAAGCACTTTTGTTTGGAGAGTAAACGACGAAAGACGATCATTCAATCTTGACCCTCTTTGCGTCTGACTCCTCTGTAGCCTCACTCTGGGCTGTGGCTCCCAACTCGGGAGTCTTTCGTTTCGTAGCAGTGGAGCCGCTTATACCGACACTCAAGTTTTGTGACGAGGTTCCATTGGCATTTGACATAGTCTCCTTTATTTCCTTCAAGATGTTGGAATTTGCATTTGGCGTCGTGTTCAAGGCATCATCTCTGAGGAAGCTAGGCCCTGAACCAACAACTGGGGTTGCAAAGTTCAGCGGACTAGGCAGCGTATTACTGTCACCTCCCCGGAAGTTCCAGTCCGGATAGAAGCTACTTGGACTCGGCAGAAGTTCATTTGTCAAGAAACGTGATGGCAAGGCAGAGACAGGAGTTTCACCATTCACATTCTGCTGAGGAGGCGGCCGGGCAAAGGGATTTGGTGGACCAGTAGCACCTGCGGACAATATTGCTGACGCAGATGGAGAGGGAGGAGGAAGCACGAGCGATGACTGCGAGTTGTGCCGTTGGGGCACTTGTGTACTGGGTTCGGTAGGATTTCGCGGAGAGTTTGACTCGGCAGTTCGTGCGCTACCACCGCCTTCTGACCCGCCATCGGGAATCTGCACCGTTAGACGGGGACCACGCGGTCGGGCTCCACCAGGGCCGCCAGGAAGCTTTGCACTGTTTGAACGTGAAGGCGGCGTTGGTGCTGATTCCGGTATCGACGACAACGACCCAGTTCTCTTTGTATCAGTTTGCGTGCTTGCGCGCTGGGGCATGTGAGGTGACGATTTGGACGCGTCAGCGGCCCGGTTCAATGCAGCCACATCTATTGACTGAGAACGGTTTGCGGCGTTGGCGGCATTCGCAGCGGCAGCGGCAGCAGCCGATTCTGATTTGACAGATTCTGATGTAAAAGATGCAAGATGCTGTGACAAGATGGACCGGTTTTCTTCAATGGGCGTAAAGATACTGTGCGTTTTCCTTTGAGGCAGCTTTTTGATAGCGCTGTCCGTATTCAGTAAAGGCGGTTGAGGGCGTTCATGTGGTTCAGTCTTGATTTCTACAGGAGGAGGCGGCGGGGGCGGAAGATCTTGCAGGCGACGTTCAGGCTGGGGCGGCGGTGGGGACATTTGCGACAAGTTCGAAGTAGGATGTTGCTGATTCGGCTGAGGTGACGGTGTTGGACGTGCGGGAGCTTGGATTCCTTGAGACGGCGGCTGCGAAGTGTAAGCTGGAGGCATTGGCGAAGGCATCGGTGATCTGCGATCTTCCATATACGGTCCTTGTGGATGTGGCTGATGCTGCGGATGTTGTTGATGTTGTTGATGTTGTTGTTGATGTTGTTGATGTTGTTGTTGATGTTGTTGATGTTGTTGATGTTGTTGATGCTGTGGCATAGAGGGAGGCTGTTGGTGGTATGCATATTGCTGATGAGGAGCATGTTGAGGAAGCAAACCAGGAGGAGGATGAGGCGAGTTGTAGATCGGAGGAGTAGCCATATAATTCATTCCAGGATGTTGAGGACCAGGTGGAGGCGGAGGTTGAACCATACCGGGACCCATTCGGCGCATGTCGTTTCGTGATGTCGGTCGCGAGCCGATTGACGGCTGTGGAGTATGTGTTCGCTGAACAGGGTGTCCGGGATGTGCTTGGAAAGGACCGCCGCCATTACCGATAGGTGGTGAAGCTGAAGGTGTTTGATGTCGGATCTGAGGAAATGGAGCTTGGAGCTGTGTATAAGGATGAGGAGGCATCATTTGGTTCTCGACCACTTCGGGACCATGGGGAGGGGTACCGTCGCCTTCCTCTTCATCATCGTCATCGTTTCCTCCGTTAAAGTCGGCGGGACCTTTGTGTTCGCTTGGGCCACCATGCTAGTATCTGTCAGTACACCATGCAAGAACTCGTCGCACTTTCGCCCAATCTCCTGATCTTGGGATGCGACAGGCACTATGAAGTGGACTCACATATTGATATCGATGGATAAGCTCTCGCATATCCGCTGACGAATACTCGTAGAGCTTCTTGTTGTTGCCAAAGATGAAGACGGCGACATCGACGGAGCAGAGGACGGAAAGCTCATGGGCCTTCTTGAAAAGACCACCCTTTCGCTTCAAAAAGGTGCTGCGTGCGCCAGTTAGTCGCGAAACTTCCTGATATACGGGGCCAGATATTTAGGGGCGACCCAAGTATTACTTACACAGAGCGATTTCTGTCATCTTTGATCGCCTTGATCTCAATCTTTCTTCGTCCCATGTTGAACGGTTGTGCGTCTCAAGTTGGAGAAATGTGTCGCGTTTCCACGCGGGGAAGCTAAACGGTCGCGGCCAAAAGGACGATGAAATAACCGTCAGAGGCGCCAAGCAGTGGAGTAAGGTGGGAATTGGAACGGGTCGCGCAGATCGTCGAAAAAGAAAGGAGTCGACGACAAGTGGTCAAGTCGGAAGGTCGGGAAATGCTCAAGTCGAAGGTCCGGCTGTGGTCGTAATCGTAAGCGAGAACAAAGGATAATTAACGGCGTGCGTAATGTGGATTCTGCAGGTAGAGTCGCTCGAAAAGGGCGAAAAACGTCAAGTAAACGCTCGATGGGTAAAGCCGTGAGAAAGAGGAGCAGGTTGGGGTGAGATGACGGAGGCGGCTGTCGCGGTGACCGTAGAAAGGTAGTTTGAAGGCTTAAAAAAAGAAAGAAAAAGAGTGGGAGCGAGAGAGGATCTGTCGACAGAAGCAAAATGTGGTTTGGCTTGCTTAAAGCTGGGACAAGCCGAGACCTTCAAAGATGTGAGGTGAAAGGACCTCGAGGTCGTTGGAGACCTTTGTAACTCAGTGGTCGGCAACTGGTGGAGGGGTACCTGTTGCCGTAGCGCGTTGACGGTATCTCTTTAAGCTTGGCCTTTTGGTGGTAATTGGTACCCTTTTTAGCCTTGGGGAGAGATGAGAGGAAAGAACAAGATGAGTGACGCCGACATGCGAGTCGCGTAAATCATGAGATTCGTTGTGCGGGAGGAAGATGTGAGTTCCAAAAAGCCGTTGCGACAAGTACTTTAGAAAGTTTCGAAGATCCTTTACGCGACGCGCGACGCGAAATAAAGGTAGATAGATGCTGAAGTCAAAGATGATGACGATCTGGCGCTTGAGCTTCAAGTCGCAATTAAGGAGTAAGGAGCACACAATTGACCCCAAAAGTCGAGTTCATCAAAGACCAAGGACGATCTGATAGAAGGTCGATTGGGATGGGGCTGAATCTGGCTGGCGTCTGTGGTTGGGGGATGATGGGCTTTTTCTAATAATAGCCCAACGGATCGTGTTCACTCTAAATGTACTCGTGCGTGATGGAGAAGAGGGACTTGGGACGGGAAAACGGGAGTGGGATAAAAAAAAGAAATGGAAGCAAACATGGAAACTCGCGGGACCTCCTTGCTTAGCTAAGTTGTTTATGATAGGCTGTTTCCTACCGTACTCACCGTCGTGGTGGGCTTGGTGGGCCAGGTTACGGCACTCGAAGCCCTGGAACAGTCCCCTAAAAAAGGCACCAACGTTGACAAGACAGGAGAGTCAGGCCAGGGCCCTACCTAAAGCGGGCAGCTGTTAAACCAATCACCTACTTTTTAGAAACATCATCGATGAACACATTTCTTGTCATACTACGTTAATTTTTCTTTCTCCCTTGCTTTAAAAGTGCAGTCAATGATCTAGTCGTACAGTATTATATCAGCCTCTTAGTAGAGATGAATCACGAGTCTAAGTAGTTCTCTTTGTACGTCAGAAAAGGCAACCTCGAATGAATATCAAGGCTAAAGCACAACACAAATCATGAAACAACAAGCCCAGGGCATATCCTGGCTCATGTCAACGGAATCAACACGTCAACTAGAGCAAGCAAGGCTAAAGCATCCGTCCGTCTAGATTTCGCTTCCCATCTTTCCACACTTCATACGGATGGATGTGCCTAGTCTCCTTTGTTCCCACCCTTTTCACTGCAACTTCTTTCGTATTCGATTGCATCTTTGAGGAAATTGAGAAAGACTGGTGTCTATACTTTGTTTAACAGTATTTGCTACTAATTGATCATGTGTCCTATTGTAGATAAACTTGAAGCTTTCTTTGTCTTTTTAACTGTGGAGGGCCTGATAGAACCCTTGCGGGTAAATTGAACAAAGTCGAGTGTATCCATGATAACCAAACTCGTTCACCATATCAGTTCCATGTCTCTCAGCATTTCCGCTATCAGATGTCAGTGTTCCCTCGTGGTAGATCCGGGCCCTAGTTTAGTTTCCAAGCGTGATTTTCCTGATTCTAAAAATACAATTATGCATAGCAGCCTCACCCAGGTCATGAAGCTTCCCCCCTCACCCTCAATCCCTACCACCCACCTGGCTATCTGGGCCAATTAACCCGGTTTCTGAGTGGACCAAGCGAAATGGGGGTTAATCTGCATTTTACATTTTGCCCACTTCTGAGACGTGAGAGGTCCAACTCCCCCCGTTTAACTTGAAGCACTACTACATTCTCTCACCTAGAAGCTCGCCTACGTGTGATAGACATCTTCACCGCATGTCATGTCGTGGAGCTTTTCGCTAAGCATCATATCACGTCGCATCAGTATCACGGGCTCAGCCCCCCGGGACGGCTAACTTCCGCTACGGGATGCATCAGAATCCTGCTGAGCCGAGCTCAATGCTCATCATAAACTTGTCGAGACAACGTGTCGCACATCCCCACAATCATGAAGTTGGAAACACAAACAGTATGCAAGTATGGTAGTTTGGATATTCTATTAGCAATGATAGTTGACTACCATCTCAGTCTCTCGGTATAATGCAATGCCGTCGTCGCTGTTGGTGCGGCCCTTTTCCATGAAACAATCCCCCCAACTCCATTCCAATGTCATCAACCAGTGTAAGTAATACAACCCCAAGAATAATAAACATGTAGCCGCTTTTTCTCCCTTTTGGTTCAATTCCCATTACCAGTCGTTTAAATCGGTGATCCAGCCGCGCCTCCGGGGGCGTTGTAGTTACCAAAACCTCCATGCTCAGCAGCGCCGTTGTCTGCCTTCATCGTACCGTTAAGCAAAGGACATAACCTTGAGTAAAAAGTTAGTAAAGGGTTTTAAAGAAGATATCTTGTTTGGTTTGGCGTATTCAGCGCCAGCCCTTCCCGTTTCGCCATTTCGGCGTGGGGTTCTTTTGTTCTCGTCGTATACGCTCGAGTTCGCGCAGAGCACGCTTGCGTTCTGCTTCGAGATCTCTTTTTTCTTTGCGCTGGCGCTTTAGTTCTTCTCTGACCTCTCTCTGCGCAGCTCTTGCTTCTTCTTGCCGCTTGGCTTCAGCAGTTCGTCCAGCCTGTCGCTTCGCACGTAGCCGCTTGACTCTAGCAGCCTCTCGCATGTGCACCGCTTCTCGTTCAGCACGCTCGGCTTCTCTTTCAGCAGCTCGTTGCTCTTTGCCTTCCTGGTCGGCAGCAGCTTTGGCCTCTCGAACCTTGTCCTTGTCGCACTGCTGCATAAGGATCTGCATCTGAGTCTTTTTCGTTCGTTGTTTCTTTGTCGTCCCATCCACTGAAAATCCAAGCCAATCATACGAAACACAGGGGGAGAATGAAACAAAAGGAAGAACTGGTGAAGAAGGGGGGGTCATACTTCTTGTTGGTCTTGATGTGGCCGACCTGGCCACAATTGGCACACTTGCGGGTTGTTCCAGTGGGGACCTTATCGCCATTGACACTGGGTGATCCGGCGTCGCCTGTGCTAGCCTTTTGGTGAAGCTCTTTTTGTTGTTCTCGAGCTTGTCGTCGGGCCTTGTTCTTTTCGAGTCGTTCCAGCTCCTTCTTAATTCTGCATAACTGTTAGCGATGATCATCACAAGGCCAAAAAAAAAAAACATACCTAATGCCTGCAAGACGGTCATGGTCGGCATTACCCGTAGGGCGCGAGCTATATATGCTGTTGATAGATATACGTAAGCTGGTGCTCTGAACTCCAATCCCACAATGTCCATTTGCGAGCCAGGGGTGCCGACTCCGTATGTTCGTCGAGGTCTTCTGGATACGACACCCCTGTTTCGTTGTTGCTGGACTGTCCGGGTCATGGTGGGTGGGTGCACGTACTCTCTCATTTCAAGGTCCGCCTCTGTTCGCCGCTTCATATACTGCGAAATTACTACCGGATCGTGAACGATTTCGATTCGGCTTTGCGTGCTGCCATCGGGCATTCGAACGTCTCGAGTGATACGGATAGCGCGTTTCTGCTGTCGACTTGCGGAAGTCAAACCACTAATTTGGCTGGTACCGTCGTCGAACTGGGCTGGGGTCATTACTGATTGAACATTAAATCGGTCGTCTTCATCTTCGGTTACTGCGACGTCCTTATCGTCGTGCTCCTGGCCGTCTGACAGAGTTGTCTTTTGCTTGTCCCAAATTTCTTTAATACCTTCCTCGTACATGGCTTGCTGCTTCTTGACGTTGTATGCGTGGCCACCATTAGCTCGCTTCTCACGCTCCATCGCATCTGCAGACGTAGCCAGAGGTCCTTGAACTGCCTCGATATATCCTCCCTTCATGGAAGTACGAATGAAAGAGAAACCAAGACCGTGACCTGTCGGATCTCCTTCACCGTGAAGCTGAAGCATAGCTTTTTGAGCGCAGGCATCAATGAATGCCTTGGTCGTTTTCCATGGTGCCATCTTGTCAGCGAGAGTTTCTTCTTGTTTTTCTTGTTGCTTCTTGGCGCCCTTTGTAATTTTGCTGCCGTCATCATCAACATCTTCTTCCTCGCCTTCCGCGTCATTGTTCTGAACATCCTCTTCCAGGGAAGCATTTCGAGGGTCGTAACCAGCATCTTCGAGTTCCTTAATACCCAGCTGCATGGCATCAAGAAGGCAAACTTCCTCAGGCTTGATCATGGACCGTATTGCGCTCTCGTCTGGTAGTATCTCTCCAGGTTTCAGTCGCCACATACCCTTCTCGCCACTCTCTCTGTCATATTGAAGAAATTCTTTCAGCTTTTGACGATTCTGAGTGTCGGTAGAGTCGGCAATGTGCTTAGTAATGTCAGACAGTTGACAGTTGTCGGTGTCACTGTGTCTGATCATACGAAATGCGAGCATTTTCATCCTGTTCTTGGAAGCGTTCGTGACCTTGCGACTATGTGGGCCAGGAACTTCGACCGAGGGAAATTGTTGTCCAACAACATAAAGGTGATCAATTTTGTGCAGAAACCACCTAGAGCCTTGCTCTCCAGTGGTGCTGCGCACCACGAG